TTTTTTGTTCCTTCTTTTATGTAAACATTATAGATCACCGTTCGTCAAATAACATTTTGTATACTAAACTTTGTTTATTTAATTTGATAAAACTTTTTAGACATAGGTATATTAAAACACAAATAAAATTTGTTTTCAATTATTAAATTATATCAAAATATATGTATAAAATATTTTCAATCATTTAAGTGTCATAAATTATTTTACTTTTTTTCATATTCCAAAAAAATATTTTATCCCTACACAATGCAAAAGAAAGTATATTCAACTAATTTAAAATAGCTTATTAAATTTACTTGGTATTTATATTTTTAAGAATAAGAAATAAACTGTTTCGGCAGTCTATATTTCAATACATAACCGTACTTAATTTGCCTATTCAGTACGCCGTGTAAATTTAATTGTATACTGATAATATTAAATTCTTAGCAAAACAATAATTTTGGTTTCAAAATGGTCATTTTATCATATTTTTTTCTTATATTTTGTGATTTATTTATTAGACAGAAAATCTAAAAAATATTTAATTTTTAAATTTTCTCTGCAGTTTTCACTTTTCCATACGAAAGAAAATATTTAAAGATATTATCTAAAAATATTATTAAAAATACTTGTAATTTAGTTGTTATTCTAAAAGTATTCATCGTAGAGTCTTAAAACATAGTACTTATGTTATAATTTTATAATTACTGTATAAATGTTGAAATATTTTAATATTAAAAGCAATTGAAATGTTAGGAATTTTTATAAATTCAATCAGATTTAATATTCAATAAACTATTTAACATTTAGCTTCAATATTAAAAAATATTAAACATAATTCCTCATGAGTTGGTCTTTTAATCTGAAATAAAAAAAATGTATTTTATCTTTTAAGTATTTTAAAGTTTAAATGTTCACAAAATTCGATCAAATATCATTTTTTAGTTCATCCATATTAACTTTCAATTTTAATTTTTTTGGTTTTTTAATAAATTACAAATTTCATATGTTTTACTTTATAATCGATATAACAATTATTTAAAGGAATTTCATAAACACATAAGCAAGAGGGTTCTACATTTTGATTAAATTTGATATTTCACGAAATTTTACCGATTTTAATTTTGAATGCAAATATAGTAATAAACCATACAACATACACAAAATAATACAATGTGGTATATGATCAATATTTTGACCATATTAATGAATTCAGTAGTATCAGTCAAGCGTTAAAATAGAATATTTTCTGTTCGCTCACTTGAAGAGACTATACATATAATTATTGAATAATAATAATTTATAAGATCATATTAGAATTGAAAGTTTAATTTTTAGCTTATTACATGAATATTTATTTGCTTGAATCTCCAGTAAATGCTTCAACGTGATGATTATCCTTATTCGATTAATTATTTTTTTTTTAGTTATGAATGATGTCGGAGGAATTGACAAAGCTACAGATAATATACCGTTTCATTATTTTATTATTAAATTAATTATTGATATCGTATTTCATGGTCATCCTCATCAATGATTAATTATTTCACGAGTTCAACAAAGCGTATTATTAAATAAATAATATAATTTTATAAGGCATTTATGAGGTTATAATTATTATTGTATTGTTCATATTGTTTTTAATAGAAAAATAAAAATGTTAAATTTGAGGCTATAAGTTCTTCAAAGTATATGATTTTTTTCTAAAGCTATTTTATTTATGAATATATTTAGAATTAACATTTCATATTCTTTATATTCCTTATCGCTCGAGGATCCGAATTGCATCGGCATCAGACCCCTCGATTGATCGTAAGAAGTGACTAACCGGGTTCGGCGCAAAGGGCGCAGAGAAAAATTCTGGCCGTAACTCCACGAAGAACGGGCTGATCCTAAAGGATGCTTCAGGGAGGTGTAGCTGAACTGATCTGTGATCCCATACTAAAGATATGATAACTAAGGTCCATTGCCTAACACACTCTGGATGAGCGTCCTAGAATACCTGAATACCCCAAAAAGGAAAAAAGGAAAACCTGATACATGTAATCTAATTCAGGTGGGTGAATGACTGATACTGGAAAGTTGATGATGCCTTGTAACCGAAACATCTCACCAATGACTTTCCCACCTAAACGGGGGAGATAATGGTACCACGGGCGGCGTGGATCCTATCGGGCATATACCAGTTGCTCCCAAAAGTATCTTTTTTTATACCAATTCCGCCCAAATTACCTAGAGGAAAATGTACCAGTTGCCCTCACATATTAATATATACACGATTACAATATACAGCTCGTAAAATAGGAGAAGTAAATATAAAATTCATAAATAAAATATAAAATTATTTCTAAAAATAAAGTAAAATAGCACAAAATTATAGAGTCAAATTCATAATAAATAATCTAATTATAATGTTATACCATATACATTTGATTGAACTTCTTCTCGTATTAATTTTAATGGGCGTTTAGAAATTTCATCCACAGCTTTCTAATTTAAATTATTAGGAATGGTTACTTTTGTTAAATTTTTACGCGGCAAATGTTTATGTTCGATAACCGATTTTAAAAGCATTTAATGATAATGATAATAATAATATAATAAATAATAAATAATAATTTTATATTTCTAAAAACCATAAAAATACTAAAGGCGCGTTTACACGATGACAGTATCACTCGACAGTCGCTGTCGTCATGTAAACATAATGACAGTTGCTGCCACACTGTCAAATGCCAGCTGTCGAACTATCTAGCTCTGACAGTATGACAGCCACTTCTATCGTGTAAACAGTGACTACCACACTGTCAACTACTACCGTAGTACGATTTTTGTATTGTTGTTATCAATTATTACTTATTATTACATATACCTACAATTTTTATTCAATTAATTTAAATGTTTAAATAATAATATATATCTAATTATAATAATTAATTGAAAATTATATAAATGAAATTATAATTCAAAATGGTTTTTGATACTATTCAATTTCTAAAATATTACGAAGAACATCCTTGTTTATGGGATAAATGTATACCTGACTTTAAGAATAGGCAAAATTAAAACAATAAGTGAATCAGTTAATTATAAATTATAATAAAGTGAATAATAAAATAAACTAGTGACACTGTTAGTCAATTTTAATTAGCTATCGCACGAAACACAATATTTGTTATGACAATTATTGTCACCGTGTAAACGCTCATCTTCATGTGACAGTAGCTGTCGCATTACTATACGACAGTGCTGTCATGACTGTACTGTCACCATGTAAACGCGCCTTAATAAATATATAATAAATGATAATAATTATCCACTCAGATGCATCTAAAATTACGCGTTTTGGTAAAATACTTGCTTTGCACCAAGTAGGCTATTATTATTTATTAGTTATTAAAAAATACAATATTATATATTATAATTCCAATTTCCAAGCATATTTATTTTTATAAATAATTTTATATTTTATTTATGATTTGTATATTTACCTCACCATTTTACGAGCTATACATTGTAATCGCGTACTTATAAATTAACATGTGAGAGCAACTGGTACATTCGATTGAGGGCAACTAGTACATTTGGTTAAGGGCAACTGGTATATTTTTAAAATCTCGATAAGAGGCGTAGGGGGCAACTGGTCAACACCTATCCTATCTGACAATGCACCATCGGACAAAGTCCTAGTCAGATACCCACTGAGGGGCTTAGGCTTCATGGTGGTTGTTTCAGGAGCAACTGAAATGTTTAATAAACAAACGTTTGTCCAGGAAAAAGTTCCTGGTGACGGCTGCTCGTCAGTGCGGTACACGGCTGCATAGGTGAAAGCTCCACGTGGACGTTATGTGGTGCAGGCAATGGCGAATATCCCAGAAACCTAGCTGCTCTACCGGTTGAAGTAAAAGACATCAAAGGTTGTCCGTAACCATAAACGGACAGAGGGAGGATAGCCCTCGATCTGACCAAGGTGAATGACGGGACATGACACCCGCGTTTAAATGATACGGGGCACAGAGTAACATGATACCCCAGGGCGGGTGGTCCTTTCAACGACCCGATAAGGCCAGGACAGTCTACTGCCCCGGTCACTGTTGAACCTCTGCGGCCCGTATATAGCTCTCAGAGCTAATATACGGTCTATAGTTGTAGTTGTAGGAGAGCGTTCGCAAGAGCTAATAATCCAGGGAGACTCATTTACAGTACACCTGCACTAGCATAATCAGGGAGTTCAAGCTGTATACGTTGTTTAATCCCTTTTTCAACGAGATTTAAGAAAATGTAATTTAAGTTTTTATAAATAATTTAAATAATTGGTCATGACCGTCTACTGGTTATTACTTCATGACTCTCCAGCGCCCTAACAAAAATCCTTAATACTCCTAGACATTCCCATACGCAGTTTGATCATATTACTTGTTAAAAGTTTGTAAAAATCAATTTTTTTGTTAGATATCTATTCCAAAGTCAAAATCTATCATCATAACAAAATATCTAAGGTGGCTATAACTTAAACTAAACTTATTTAATATATTAAATAATATTTTAAGTATTACTTACCCTAGATGTAACTAATATTTACATGAATATATAATTATAAAATTTAGGAGCCGTTAAAATGAAGTGTTGAACATGTTCAGACAATTGTTTATGATTTTGTCTTTCGGTGACTGGAGAAAAAAAAGTCGATGTTAGTACATAAACCAAGAAAGTTTACAAAACTTCATGAATAGTGATCGGGACTCAAGGATAGTAAGGATATGTAAAATAGTAAAATAAAAATAAAGTAAATATTATTAAATTTTCATAAAACTTACAATATAATATAAGTATTGTTTTATTTGTATTTAAAAAAACATACAGTAGCAACTGTAGTTACATTATATGGTCATTGGCCATTCTTGAATTTGCTTAAAAAAAGAAACAAATTTGTTAATAGTTAAAGTAAAACAATGTTTAAAATGTATAACTACCTATTAAGTAATACATAAATATTTCAATGCATATAAAATAGGTAGTTACTTTAATTTTTTTTTTATTTATCACAGAATGACTATAATATTAAAACAATTTAACAAACAAAATATTTGGTCATGTTTACACAAACTGTTTTTACCAATTAATTGCTGGTGTTTGTACAAGATCAATCACATTTTAAACACTATATTCAAGAACATTTTTCGGCAAATAAAAAAAAAAAAAAACATTTACTAAGAAAACAAATGAATAGAAAGTTTGGAATCCTAAATATATAATCGAGAATACATAATGATTACATTAACAAAATGCTCTTAACAGTAAGTACAGTATTATATTAAAATAAATTATTGATTATATTCAATTAATATTTAATTGTTCAATTGTTGCATGTTAAACTGTAACTCCCTTTAAAAATTGAATCTTCTTAACTTTTTAGACATATTGTATAAAATATATGTTAATATTTAGGATGGATATTCTTATAAATTTACATTTTGACTACTACTTTAACAATCAATTCCAACCATAGCAACTAAATTGTTATTTTAAAAATGGTAAACAAAATTACAAAACCTATTTGAGCATATAAAAAAGCAACATGCCAGTTGTTTAAGTTAAATTATTCCATTAAACAATGAAAAATACTAATTTGATAGTATACCACCTTTTTTAATACATAAACACAACTTTTAAAATTATAATCAACAATATTAATATAATAAATGCAAAGATATTTCAAGTTTTATGATTTCATAAATTTAAGCTTGAATATATAATGAATTATAATTTAATGGGATATTAGTTACGAATAATAACGTAATATCTCACTTAAATATCTATGGAACATTATTGAGCTGAATAAGACATCACCATTCAGATGTCATTTGATTTTAATGAAGAAATATACATGAGACTCATAGTCAGAATTTTATTAATTAATGTTTGTTGAATATCCATTTTGATAAACAATATAAACTTAAACGAATAAATAAAGAAATGTAGAAAAATATTAAAAATCTAATAATTTCACTATAAAAATTATTTTAAAACATAGGCAATACAATTTTAAGTCTCCATTTTTATACTCTACAGGCCAACATTTTTTTTTTTTTTTTTAATGACCAAGCATTATTTATTCAGTCTTACAACATGATACCAACTGACTAAAATTATAAAATAGTAAAAAGTGTTGAAAAACAATGATTCATAATCCTATAAATATCCCAATAAACGAATAACCCAAAAATAATATTTATAATAAAAATAATAATAAAATAGAATATGAAAATAATGTTATGATTGGTTTAAAGGTTGATAAATAATGCTACACTATAGTATATACAAAAATACCAATAAACCAAAAATAAACATTCAATAAATAGCAATGGGAAATTAAATAGAAACATTTAAAGCATTAAATCACAGTTAAATATTGGTTTATAGGTATTTTTATAATAATCAGTATAAAAGATAAAATAATATTTTCTTAACAAAGGTATATTCATTAAATAGTATATACAAATTTGTTCAACATCTTTTTTTTATGTAAATATGTTACTAACCATTGTTCGTTGAGAAGTTTTCATTCCAAATATCATTCATGGACTGCAATGCCATTTCATCTTTGGGTAATGCATCTATGCTTTCTAATGACTTTATATAAAACATTAATTCGGACGACACAATTCTAAACAATTTAAATAATATGCAGTCTTAATATGCAACATGCAATAATATTAAGTTATAATAAGACATGTGTTGACTTTACATCCAACTAAATTGGTCTACCTAAGTTTTAAAATAAATAAATATATTTAATTAAATTACCCTCGTAAAGGTCCATCATTATTTGTGTTATCCATTTTGTTAATACACTCATGTAGGATTTCTTTAAAAGTTATATGTATTTGTCTATATAAATATTGAATTTGAGTTTTTGGCAGTATACTTGCAATGGCCTCGTGAAGTTTACATATGTGCCTGCAAAAATATTATAAAAAAGAACATTGAGAAGAGTTTTTGAACTAAAACGCTATATAAGATCAAGAAATCTTAAAATATCATTCCATAATATCATGATAATTATTACTATGGATACGATTGGTCATTTGTAGAACAACAATTGGTGTAACTTCTTTACCACACTACACCTTAAATTAATAAATTTATTATGTAAATAATTCATACTTGCAAATATTTTGAAATGATTTGGACGGAATTGGAGGTTTAGCCTCCCAGTTTGACATTTGCTGCATTATTATCTGTTTGATAATATCATGCAGTTTATCTTGGATGTCTTTTATGTGCTTTGTTATATCATTTTTAACTCTGTTAATTATTGTGCTCACTTGATTTTCATCCAAAAATCCTAGAAATATTAATTTATAAAAAAGTTAATGTAGATGATAATTTTAGTTTGTTTATTTTAAACATTTTAAATAATTATAAAAATATATTGATACCATAAACAATAATTACTCGAAAAATGTGTTTGTATAAAAGGCATAATCCATAATAATAGTTGTAAAGCTCTAAGTGACAGCACTAAGTTGGTGCAGGTAATCTTTTTTAAACCTGTTCTATTTGAAATCGCTTTAGCTTGGAGTACTAAATAATATGACCTGGAATTGTACTCTCTTAAAATGTCACATACATAACGTAACAAGCTCTGTGCAGCCAAATTAATTTCATCAGCCTTTGTACAATATTCAGTAACCATTTGAATCAAAAGCAATATAGTTCTAAAAATTGTATTAGATTATATTATGACTATAATAATTATAAAAAGCAAATAAATATTTACCCAACCACTGCAAAACTTTCATCATTAACCATTAACATCTGAGCAGGTTTGGTAGAAGTTTTTGGTGATAATAGTTTGGGCATAGAAAACTGACCTACAAAAGCATTATAACATGATTAAAATATGTTACACATATAATATATAAGAAGCTTAACATATAATCACATAATTTTCATTTAGTTATTTTTTGTAGTTTAAAAATAGTTAATTGTATTATTTTATAATAATTACATATATATATATATATATATATATATATATATATATATATATTCAAAATATACTAAAAAAAACATGAATATTTCTTTAATGAAAATTAAAATATTAAAAACATACATTTTATTAATATTATCATTCTTAATTACTTTTGTGGATAATTTATTTATTATAATAATTATTATTTACTATCTTAAAATCTTTTATTTTTTTTTTCTTTGTTATATTTTTAAGCTCTATTATTATTATTTGTATTTATATGCATTTCCTATTCTTTACTTGAATTCAAATGTATATCTATTGTATTCAAAGAGTACCGCCTATTAATTATTATTAATAAATTAATAATATGAACAGAATGTATTCTATTGAATGGTATACAATGATAATAAAATATTTTATTCTAACTACTGATGCATAATTAAATATCATAATAAAGACCATAAATACCAGTATTTTGAATGTATTCAACTAAGTGTTGAAATTCTGATGGCACAACTTTTTGGCGCCAATTTTCACTGTCTAATAGTAATTGCAATTTATTAATTTTTTCAGTATGAAATTTTTTAATAAAATTATTGGCCTGAAATACATTATAGCTGTAATGATATATATATATGGCATTAACATTTAAAAATATAACCTCTGATTGCATAGCAGTTTGTAATATTTTAAACCCAATATCTTGATTAGAGCATACTTCTACATAACTATCACTCAGCTGTTTTATACAATCAGATAAACGCAACAACTGGTTCTGATCTGATAAACAATAATTACTGGATTCTTCATCACCATTAAATTGTTCAGTATTACCATTTACTTGTTCACTCTCAGCATTATTTAAAAAACTGAATACAAAATTAAGATTGAAGACAATAATTTATGTATTATAAATAAATTAAAGACATACTTGGCACTTGAACGTTTAGTAACTAATTGAGCATATTTTTCAACAGCATACTTAGTCACAGAGTTTAAAAGATTTGTCAGCTTAGATTTGACTTTAAAATAATCTTCTTCGCTCAAATTAGAGTCAAATGACGGTTCTTCTAAACTAAAATAGATTTTATTTAAATCATCAAAATTAAATAATATACAATGTAAATGTATAAGATAAAAACTTCATATCTTACTCTATAGTATTTTCATTGTGACAATTTAATTTCTTGGCACTGACATTTAGTGCATGTAGCATAATAATATAGCCTGCCTAAAATATGAAATTAAATTTTAAATCAATAGTTACAATCATTCAATATTGAAAGTTTTATACTTTTATATACAATCATCTAATAATTTTAATAGAATTAAAAATAGAATAAGTTTTTCGTCCATTTTAAATAAATAAGATAAATAATTTTTATAATTCATAAATAATTAATTCATTAAAATTATTAATCTTTAAACACTCAAATATCATATACAATGAAAATATGATTACTCAATCAGTCTTTCAACCAACCTTTATTCTTCGTAAAAGAAGAGACAAAGTGTATGAACAGTCTTCTAGCATACTCAACCACTCATTGGCAGTTAAACAGTGCAAATAACTTTCTAAACTTGATGACTGATTGACCTGGTGATCAACATCACTATTTGAAACTATATCTATTACACTTTTTTTTATTGCTGCACTAATTGCTGCTACACATTCTTTGTTATATGCCTCCAAGAATGCCCAATTTTTTCGTCGCAACATTCCCATAAGTATTGAATATAATTTGTCCTAGTAAAAAAGTAAAGAAAATATTTTATTACTATTATATTATTAATGTTCATCTAAAAAGTTGAGACATACTTTTTCCAAGACTTCTGTGCAAGTTCCAACTAATGGTCGATTGAGATCTGCAGATGAACACCTTTCAAATTCACCAGCCATTAAAGCATCTATCATTTTAATGATTTCATTCAGTTCTGAAGTTAAATGCCTAAAACAATAATTGAAACATAAAAATATATATTTTATCAGATCAATAAATACTTCATAAAAATACTCAAAATATGACTTGAAGTGACGATTCTATGACTTTCATTTTTATTGTTTATAACTTAACACAATAAAATGTATAGGCTATACACTAACTGTGTACAATCAAAAATAATTCAAAATAATACACCAAAAGTAATATACAGAATTATCTAAATTCTACGTAATACTTATTAGGTATACATGATTTTATAATTTATTTCTAATTATGCTATAACTTTTACAGCCGCTTGATAAACTACAAATATAAAGAAACAGACATAACAGATGTTAGCTAGTCTTTGAAAAATGTAATAAAATCAACAAATATTTACAAAGTGCTAAAATCAGTTTTATCAAATTTAAGTTTACCATTAGTCCATAATTTCAATATTAAGTCTTTTAAAAGAAAATATTAGTTGAGAATTTAATCATTTGTTGTAAAACATCAAGTTTAATACAAATTTTAGATTCTGACAGAATTTAAAGGCAAAGATATACTGGATATACTGTTACCACACATCCCAATGATTCCAATAGACATGCCTTTCGAATTAAAATTTTGGCAATTTCGAGTGTGACTTGCCTTTACAATAACCATCAACAATCGCTACAAATGTGTGTACTAAATTTGGAAAATCCATGCTTCCCACATAGACAGATGTATGTGGCATGCTCACATGTCGAAAATCTTCTGATTTATTTGTGTAAGTACCAGAAGGAAGAAGAAAAAACATTATGTATCTAAATGCATTTCAATAAATATCATTCAATTAAATATTTGAATTGTCAAGCTTTTCTTGATTAAACGAATAAATTTACATAATGATAAAGTAAATTGAATATTGTAAGATTATTACATAGTATATTTTAACCGTTACTTATCTATATGTATAAAAATATACTGCTAGCATAATCATAAATAAAAAATTGAATACACAATTTGAGACATATAAGAGGTAGGATTTTTAATGGGCTATGAAGTACATGGATTCAACTAATTAAATTATAAAAATAAATTTTAACAAAATACCAAAATAATTTTTAAAAATTAATATAAATAACTATTTAAAAACTAATTTAATATTGAATATATATTAACAATACAATTTTCATTAATATTTAAATATTTGATTCACATAACATTGAAATATAAATTAAAATGCGGTACCTAATAGATTTTATTGATACTTTAGATTATCATTGGTATTTTCATTTTTTTTTTTTATTTTTTTTTTTTTTTTGTACACAATGTATGTAGATAATACCAATATTGTAATAAGTTTGAGATAAATGTATTATTACCTGAAGCAATGTACACCTGAAAGTTCTTTAGATAATAGATCCTTGGTAGTATAAATTAAATCTAAAGCAGCAACGTAATCAGCAGCTGACAATAGTACTTGTATTGTTGTTTGTGTGTGATAAACTGTAGCCATTAATTTCAACTATAAAAATACAATTATAAAGTAATAAATAATAATAACACTTTTTATTATATACAACTATTTTATCTATACCTTATCAATAACATTGCTATGATTTAAAATGATGGTATTATTTTTTAAAATTGTCATTGATTTTGAAACAACTTTTTCATCTACTTGTCTGATTCTACAACTAAAAAAATGAACAATAATTATTTATTAAATGTAATACAATTGACTCAAAATATATTTACATGAATTATTCTACAACTATTAAGAACTAATTTAAGATGAAAATGTATACCGTAAATCTTTAGTTAGTTGAATTGATTGGCGAATTTGCTCCATAAGAGTATCATGTGATGTCATAGTATGAAAAAAAGCTTCAGATTTTGAACTTACTTGTTGTGCAATTTTTACCTCAACAGTATCCAAATAATGGCTTAACTAAAAAAAACAATATAAACATCAAGTTAATAACAATCATTATACTGTATGAATAGTATACAATTAAAATTACTTTTTCTTGGATAGATTTATCAGATATTCTAATATTAGCCGTAGAAACATTGACATGGGTAGATGTATCTGATGTGAGAAAAATATTAGGAAACACAGCGAAAAATGTTTCATGTTTACTGAGATCGAAATGAGGTTCCAAGAATATGGATGGCACCTCAGATAAATCATAAATGACCTTGTCTAAAAATAATAAACATACATAGCATTTTAAACTGTATACATAATTTTCTTTTATTAATACTTAAATTTCTCACCTGTTGATTTGGATAATCGTAAATTCGGAAATTGCTGAAGAACTTCAGCAGGATAGTCTTGTTTATCTCTTTTCTCTTCGAGTTCTACATGTTTTTTATGACGCTAATAATTAATTATAGTTGTTAATAAAAACGAGAAATAATGAAAAATCAAATTAATTCCTTACTTTAGCTATACGTTTTAGATAAGTTTGAAAGTGCTGAGGTCTTATTACAGGTAAATGTTGAGGCGGTGAAATAGGACATGTATCAGTAAATTTATCGCCCCATATCTTGGTGAAAAAATCTTTCTAAAATTATAATGTTCAATAAGTTTTTAAAAATAATTATACACAGTAATTACATTTTTTTTATATAATACTAAAAACATACAGATCGAGGACGCCTAGGATCATTTAAAACAGTTGCAAGACTCTGGGAAGCTGAATAAAAATTCCATTCATTTGTTGGTCGTTTACTATCTGAAGTCTTACGGTAAGTTGTGAGACAAGGAATTGATCGGAATGCATGATCATGTACAATATGTTTTTTATAATCAGACTCATTAGAATTTTTTCCATTCCACATAAAGCAATTTCCATTGGAGTTGTACTCACAGAAGTACTGACTATCTTTTTTTCGACTGTGTACTTCAAATAAATGTCTATAAAAATATAAATCAAATATAATAAACATTATTATTTATCAATAAAAAATAAGCATTACATAATGCATTTATTGATTTTATTATTTATCAATCAATTGCATACCAGTTTAATAATTTAGTTATAGATTTGATTATAACCAATAAATGTATTATTTCTTAAATGACAACTAAAATTATAAAAAAAACCTATAAAATAGTTATGATAGTCTAACTAAGGAAGATACCTAAGAAAATTAATACTCTCATCCAACATATAAGCAATCTCAATAACTAAAAGTTCAACAGCCAATTTATGTAATATTTTATAATATAAAAACAGAAATAAAATACTAATTGAAAGCTTATTTTTCATTTTAATTATTTATCTATATTTTTTTTATCTATTTATTGTTTTATACACACAAAAATTATAAAATTGGAAGAACTCCATAGTTGAGCAAATCATAAATTATTAATAGAAGTATAATATTCTTAATATGAAATATATATTTTAACTAAATTACTGAATGATTTTCAACTTTATTTATTAAGAGTTTTGAATGTTATTTAACATTTATTGACCATTATTCTTGAACATTTTTATGTACAAATAAAACAGTCACAATTACTATTATTAACCTTGACTTCAAACAGATCTTAGTATTACAACAATTTATATTTCAGAATATTACAAAACAATGGTCTAAAAATGCAGAAGTTTTCAATCAGTGCAATATTTTAAGTTAACATTTAATTATATACATCCAATTTAAACAAAAAACCATGTACAAATACTGTTGTATAAGTAATGACTATATAAAAGTGTGAATATACTATGTCTATCAAACAACTATGTACTCACTGCTGAAACTGATCTAATTTTTCGAACGTGGCATTGTGGCAAATGCTGCACTTATGCCAGATCGGTTCTCTGGTCACAGCCCTATCCATAATAGCACCAATAACATATTTTATGCTTTTAAACTAGCATAGGCTGATTGATCGACTCCACGTTCGTTGGTGGACAGACTACTCGTCGTCCCAAGATCTAAGACGTCATAACTCTAATTTCATGGGTACGTGACGAACTACTGTAAGCGAATCGAACGGAAATATCTTCCGCAATTAATACCGAACAATAATATTACAAGTACTAACGTTAAAACTCCAAATGTTAAATGGAAAATATCTATACGTTATCAACGAACAGTGACGTCGAATGTTGATAACATTGAATAATCGATAACAGGTATTGTATATCTTATCGGTATGATAGCAACACAAAATAGATTAATCTATTCTGTGATAGTAGGTCTAAAATGACTGTAATATATATATAGAACAAAATAAGAATTTGAATTTTCACCAATTATTATCTAGTATTTTTTAACTCATATTTATTTTTTCCTCCTAGAAATGGAATCTGCCCTAGATATAAGAGGCAACAATAAGCTTTCCATTGCCAAGGAAACTTTAGAAACAGGTATTACACATTAGAAAATAGTAGTAAATACATATTAAGTTTTTAAAATACTTTAAACTAAGTGTAATATTTATAATCTTTGGAATGTGTATTGTATTATAATTCTTGCTGAGTATTTTTGGATGTACCCAAAGCTTTCGATACTGTCTGGCATGAGGGACTACTCTTCAAATTAAAAACTTTATTTCCAGCCCCTTATTATCTCCTCTTAAAATCGTACTTGGAAAACCGCACATTCAAGGTTCGCTACAACATTCTAAACAATTCCCCATTGCTGCAGGGGTCCCGCAAGGCAGCGACTTAGTACCTTTTCTGTACATCATTTACACGTCTAATCTACCTACCTCTGATGAAACAACCATTGGAACTTACGCAGACGATACTGCACTTTTATCCACAGCTGCTGATCATATCACTGCAAGCCTTCAACTACAATCACACATTGACACACTTTCTCAATGGTTCTCTAAGTGGAAAATTAAAATCAATGAATCAAAGTCTTCCTTCGTCACATTTGCACTCAGGCCTCATAACTGCCCTCCCATATCAATAAATAACACCATTATCCCTCACTCCAATGAAGTGAAATACCTTGGCTTAATATTCGATAGATGTCTAACATGGTCATCTCACCTCAAAGACAAACGCAAAAAGCTTAACTCAAGACTTCACCTTCTAAGACCACTCCTCCACTCAGATCTTGCATTACACCTCAAACTTATATTATATAAAACTCTTCTACAACTACTCTGGATATATAGGGTAGTAATATGGGGCTCCGTAAAAAAATCAAACAAGAGAACTATCCAAGCATTCCAGAATATCTGTTGTCGTCTAATTACTGGAGCACCCTGGTATGTCTCCAACAATGCATTAAACTCTGACCTAAAAATCTGTTCTGTCAACGAAACTGCTACTATATACTACAAACGCTTCCATGCTAAGCTTCAATCCAACCCCAACCTGCTCATCAGGGACCTCGCCATACTCATACTACCTGGAAATCCAACAAGAAGACTCAAGCGGAACTGGTGCTGCCGTGATCTAAAAATTGTATAAATTGTAAAAACAAAAATTGTAAATTTTAATTGTTAATGTAAAGCCACTAGGTGTCTCTATTGTGATATTTCCTACCATGTTATCTTAGTTCATAGTTTTTCACCCACCACAACTATTACCCATTATACACCCTCGTATAGATTGTAATTTCTCAATAACGTCATATTCTTTTTAAAATAACATTTTCATAAAAGGCATAAACTTTTGGATGTTACTAATTTTATTTGTATAGTTAAGATTACTTCTATTTTAATGTTAGTTTGAGTACACTATTAAAATTATATGCTTTAACATTTTTTATGACTTGAGTAATGTACATTTTTGTAGATAAGCGTATCAATATAATAATAAAAAAATTGCATTTTGTATTTAGCATCAAAATTAATACGCAGAAAAATACCAAGAGCTGGTCATTTAATGACTCCAAGACATTTGTGGATTCAATCAATTCCTTCCAAAGTAAATAAATAATAAATTTTTAAACTGTATAAAATATAATATAGATACTTAATAACATAATAACCTGTTCATATAAATATTGCATTTTATCTTGTTGAAAGTTTTCTCTAATAAATTGTTCCTAAAAAACTAAGAACTTGACCTAAATGGAATATTTTTGCGGATCTTAGCAATTTTGTCACTTTTGTAAATGTTGACAGTTTTTTTCATTTATTACTAAATATTACTCGAAATGATCATTAAACTATTTGTCTATTAAACTGTTTTATATGAAGGCGTGTGATGTTGTCTTAACATTTACTAAAACTACAGACTACAAAATTATAGAATGGGTGAAATCACAAATTGTTGATGACTCTAATGGCTTAGGTCTATCAGTGAATGTCCAATACCATTCATCAACTGATTCTTACTGTTTTTACTTAACAGCACCATTTTATGTGTAAGTATACATTTTTGGTACATTTATTATCATGATAAAATTATTTTTATTCTATATAGTCTTATGAAAGCTGCTCAAGATGTATATTTACCAAAAAAAACTATTAATGGTGGAGGCTTAAGAGAGTTTATACTCTCTGAAATGAATACATTTGAAGGAATCGAAGAGAGTTCTAACTTTTTTACAATGCAAGAAAGGCAAATGTTAATTTTGTATGTTTTAAATACACGTAGAGTAAAAAGTTGTGATTGGCTCACAGAACTAGTTGAAAGCCAACCATTAAGTAATGTTATATTTATTATTTTATATGTAATAGATTTGTCTAATGTTTAATATTTGATTCCAGTTACAGAATGTATATACAATGGAATCATTGAACACTTATTTCCTGTACACGAAAATAAAACAATTAAATGGTTGCGTATTATCTGGGTGAAGTCTTTCTTTAGCTTCCAACCTTTGGATAAAGTTTGTGATTATTTTGGTGTCAAGATTGCCATGTATTTTGCTTGGATTGGACATTATACTAATTCTTTAATATATCCTGCAATTGCATATTCTGCATTTTGGGTAAATATATTATTATTATTGAAATAAATACTCAAAACATTTCAAATTCCAGCTATATAATATTTGATAATCTCATTTTATAGTTTGGGTTTGGAAGGAAATTGGACCAGTGGACGGAAGGAGTGTGGTTTGTTGTGTTAGCTTTCATGAATGTCATATGGTTAACAGTGTACTTAGAGACTTGGAAACGTTACTGTGCAGAATTGGCTTACCGATGGGCTACACTAGACCAGAGACATCAATTTTTGTTACAACCACGTTTAGAATTTAAAGTAAAATAGTATGAATTTAAAATGATTTATAATAAGTTGTTTTTCAATTCTTTTTTTAGGGTGAAAGACGGATTAGTCCAATAACTGGCAAGCCAGAAGTATGGTATCCTAATTGGAAACGAAGACTGTTCAGTTATTTTGTCAGCGCTCCTATAATTGGCCTTTGTTTAGTTGTAGTTTTTGCTTTAACAATATTTCAAATAAAATTTCAAGTAAATTAAGCAGATTTTTAACCTCTTTATTTTTTAAAACAACATGTACCTTTTCTAATGTAATATTTTATTGTCTTAGGATTGGTGGGACTCCTACATTGAAGCAAATGAATATCCTGCATATTTGTGTTACATTCCAAAAATAATGTTAGCGGTCATCATTGCTGTACTTGATGATATTTATAGTATCATTGCTATATGGCTAAATGATTGTGGTAAGTTGAACAATTAAAAGTTTTATAAAACATCTAAGACTCATCATTTTGTAGTGCCTACATGTCTACAAGTACAATTTAAAAATGTATTTTTATTAATATATGCCTAAAATTATTGTAAATGTGCGTGATAAAAGGTTTATAAAGAAAGATCAACTTGTTTCTATAAAATTTGAGTTTACTCGTTTTATGTGCACGCTGCATTAGAAAACTATAGGCTAGACACTGAATATGAAAACCAGCTGATCATTAAAGTTACACTGGTTTGTATTTTACAATAATTCACTAATCAATAATGAGTTATAAAACCATGTATCCAAAACTTAATACATTTTAAAAAATTTAAAAAAAAATGTATTGTATAGAAATCCTTCAGATTACATTAGTTATCAGATTACATATAGCATATTTGATAAAAAAAAAATTGAATCATGGTTATAATAGTTTGTTATTTAAAATAATAATAATAATAATGTAATTATAAATATTGGATACGTAGTTTCATATATTGAGCATTTTTGACATTTTCAATTAATATGTATCATAATAAAATATCTTAAACAATTTTTAGTTTCAATTTGTCAACTCGTTCTTGTCTCTCTTCTATATTGCTTTCTATTTACAAGATCAGGAAAGACTTCGAACGGTAAAAAAATCTCTTTATTAATTTAGATACTTAATAATTTTGGTGTTTTAAATATTTTCACACCACACCCAGATATTATTCCTAGTACCTCACAATTAATCAAAATATCTTACAACTTTCTTGATACTCCATTTCACATGTCTCTTCCTACCAAGCATGTCTCTCCAAACGAAATTGCTAATGAGATTTAAAGATTAAAACCCAAAAAATCCCCAGGTCACAACTTAATAACTAATAAGATGCTAAAACATCTCCCTAAAAAAACAATTGTGTTGTTGACTTTCATATTCAATTCTATGTTAAGACTATCGTATTCCCTATCATCCGGAAAATGTCCATTATTATTCTCATACTAAAACCAGGTAAACCCACCAACTTAGCAACTTCTTATAGACCTATTAGTATACTTCCTGTGGTTGGCAAATAATTTTTTAAGGAGACTAAGACCGATCGTTGAAACCCAAAATGCAATACCCAACGCCCAATTTGGGTTTCGTGCAAATCTTTCTACTATACAGCAAGTACACAGGCTAGTCGACAAAATGTCTTCCTCTTTTGAAAATAAACATTATTGCCCGGGTATTTTCTTAGATGTGGCTCAAGCCTTTGACAGGGCTGTGTGCCAAACTCTGCTTACTCTACAAAATAAAATTACTTTTCCAGCTTCCCTTTATTTATTAATTCGTTTATATTTTGAAAACAGAACCTTTAAAGTACGTCATGGTAATTATTTTAGACAAAAGACTAACTTGGAGTCCTCACCTCAAATCCAAAAGAAAGTTATTAAACACCCGATCCCACTTATTACGCCCTATATTAAAGTCCAAACTTCCTCTCCATAATAAAATACTAATCTATAAGTCAGTGCTAAGACCAATTTGGTCATTCGGTGCCAAAATATGGGGTTGAGCCAAACCAACGCAACTAAAAACAATCGAAACCTTTCAATCGATTGCCCTTCGTACAATCACTTCTGCCCGATAGTTTGTTTCAAATTTCATCTTTCACAAAGACTTAAATATCGAACCAGTTATTAATTTAGTTAAAAAGCACTATAAAAGTTTCTATCCCGAATTACATCTACACCCAAACCCTTTAATTGCAAACCAGCATACTGTCTCAATCCCCGGCAACCTCCCTTAACGTCTTAAAAAATGTTGGTGACGTGATCTTTTAGAATAAAACTACCATCTGTTCGCCTTTGAAACTCATCTGAAGGGTCCTTTCACTAGATAGCTTCCCTGACCAATGTCTCTCAGTTAAGTTTATATAATTATCATAATTACTTATTGTATTTATTTTAATACAGATTGTAAATTTATTTATTTTTAGTAAAAAAAAAAAAATGTGTATTTCCATATTGAATTTTAATGCTAGTATAAAGTACAGCTCAACTTAAATTTTCATATTACCATAATCATTTAAAACACTAAAATTATTTAAAATTAAAATGTATTTTTGATTTACTACTATTAAGTGACAACGATATGTACTAAGTTTTAAACTTACAGCAATTGGCCGTTCTTCTGATAACCAGACAATTGATGCGCAATATCAAAGAGTCAGCACTTCCATACTTGCTGGAGCAAATCCGTTTCGCCAAGATTAGTTTCGACCTATTTGGTGCATTGACGCCGTCTGATGGACCTGTCAAATCAAATGGCGAACGCATTGTTTCCCAGCCAGAACTTGAATGTTCTATGTTTAAAGTAAGTATATTGTACTTGTCGCAGCTATAAACTAATTTATACTTTCCATGAGTGCAGTTCAAGTATATAAGGGGCTAAGTGTAGCCCACTTTGGAAAACCGTAGGCTTATACAACATAAAGGAATATGTAAAAGGTTATTTATTATCTTTGATATATTGAGCTCTTGTGTATTAGTATTGATTATAGAATAATTTTATTATTTATTCAGGTCAATTCAAAAGTCTTCATCCGATTTCAAAGGTGTATATTTATTTTAAAAATAAAGATATAAGGGTGGAATGAAGTCAAAAATATTCATAAAATAATCAAGTTTTATTTAGTTTAGTTACAACTTATAAATGTTTAATATGACCCTTACAGACCACCCAACATACATCTATACGATATTCAAATTATTCCCAAACATTACTGATCATATCTTGTGCCATTTACAGCATCTTTAAACCTCGTTTTGAGCTCTTCCAAGCCTGTAGGTAATAGTGTTATATAAACTTTATTCTTTACACAGTACCATAAAAAGAAATCACAATTGAGGAAAAAACTGTCCTGAAATGGTAAAAATACGCTGTAAATAAGATTTTCACATTTCAAGTTATAGTTATTTAGTCATAATTCCATAAGTATTGTGAGTAGAAACTTGAAACTTTTACCCTATACCCTATTTTTTTCGTATTGTATAAAAATTTATATATTTATACAAAAAAACTCAAAAACTATTGTTTTTCTATACATAATGAGTAATGAGTATTTAAATGTAAATTAACATAAACACATTTAGGGGTGCTCATTTCGAAAATGGGGGTGCTAAGCACACCCAAGCCCCCCCCTCCAAATTGCGCCTATAACCAACGGGCAACGACCAACTATTTACTTATAACTATTAGTTTTACACAATAAGGTGCTTGTGTTAAATTATCGGCGAAACGAGTATGCAATAGGTATACCCAAAATAAACTTTGAATACAGTCAATAATATCGCTTTTATCTCAGTTATCGGGACCAGACGACCGATTTAGAATCAACCGTTATAGAAAACCTAAATAATATGTTCCCAAGAAAAAAATATCAAAGTAGTAGTAAAGTATCTAAATATGATCATAATATTATGAAATGTGTGTGTGTGTGCAGCGTGTATATAATACGTTTATAATGGTTAGCGATATGCTTCGTAAAAAAATCTTGGAAAAGAAGCAAGAAGCTTTTAAAAAAAAGATTATGGGTTCGACAATGGATTAGTAGAAGAAATAGTGTTGGCGCATCAAATTGTTTATTTTGAATTAAGAAATCACATTGATCTCCTGGTTCACTATTCGTGTTCGGGAATAAACTGGCCTAAAATTACCTAATTGCATTCAACTTCTGTCCGACGTGTTGGACTTCATGCAAGTTTGAGCATGCAAGAGCTTGCATACGTATTATAAACATTCACATTTGTTCAATTTTGTTCTTGCACGAGTAAAAATAAGCATACAAGAAATTACAATAGTGTGAACTCGGTATAATGATTTATTTTTAACATTTAACATTCACATACGTATAGTATAAATCTAAAATACACTATCGACGGACGGCGATTATCGTATAGATAAGCAATAAATGTACTTATGCATTGCGGTCGTTTGACGTTTATTAAATATTTTACAATGAAAAATTCTGCAAAATTTTTAAATTTTACCAAAATAAGGTAGGTACACTAAAAATTTGTTTGAACCGGAACGATGAACGTATTTTTTTTACGAACCGGAACGCTAAAAAAAAATTTTTCGTTGACTGTGTTCCGGTGCGTTCCGGTCCATTTCTAACCCTGTTTGTTTCTGTAAAGACTATTTAGTTATTGTAATTAGGAAAATGAATTCCAATTATAAAATGAAAACTAAAATTCCTTCATCGAAAAGAAAAAAACAAAGGTTTCATAAAGGGAATAAGACCATGAACCAAAATAATAGAAATAATGGTACAAATTACTTTGCAAACTATTGGTAGCTATTTTTTTTTAATTATTGTTGTACATCAAAACATGGGTACCTAATTTTCGATAACTACAATTCAACAAATATAGTATACTGCGATAACGATTACAATGAACGACTACCTGGATGATGGTACGGAAATAAGTGGTACCCGCATATACGCTACATATACACTAAATAATAATTTACAACACATAAATTCGGGTTGCGACGATGTGATTAGAAATTGCCTAAAGGTTGCTCCTTAAATAAATGCTATACCGAGGCCCCATTGTCCATAACAAATTTTAGAGGTGTATTTATTGAAGATTGAAGGAATATTTCCACTCTAATTTCAAAAAAATCATATAGGTATATTTATTTAATAAAATATCTGTAAATTAAGTATTGTTAAACATCAATTTAAAATGATATTTTTAACTGTCAATAAGTATCCTTTCAAAAGTAATTTTTTTACACATCCTTGCCTAATTTGTACCCGTTTTGTCTACTCAGTTTGAAGGTACATTCTCCGAACACTTGGAGATTTTCATCCAGTTTGGCTATGTAGTAATGTTTTCGTCTGCTTTTCCACTTGCTGCATTGTGTGCGTTCCTCAACAATCTCATCGAAATTCGCAGTGATGCGTTCAAACTATGCTATGTTTACCAAAGACCATTTGGTCAACGGATTAAGGATATTGGAATGTGGCAGGTACTTACGTGATTAAATATATAAACACAATCATATACACCGCAAAAGAAAAGCGTCATGCTGTTATTAAATTACTAAATTCTTTAAGGATAAGCAAGGCTAAATTTGAGTTTTTTTTTGACATTATAAAGATTAACAATTTTCTTAATCATTATATAAATATGTCATTCATATAAAATATTTATTTAAATTGTTTTTAAATGTTCTTAATTATTTTTTAATAAACATTAGTATCTATTTACAGCCTGGAAATACTTAACCTTCTAATTTCCCATGAGAAAATGTCATATTTTAAATCTGTACAAAACATTTCTTGTTAAAAATTCAACATTTTCATTTTGTTTTGAAATTAAACAGCTTGATAATTTCTCATTTTCATCTTTTTTTTTTCATTTTTTTCTGATTTAAAGATTTTTTTTAAATTAAACATTAACAAAGTATATTATAATCATGAAAATACTGTTTATAATGTAATATTTTTTATTTATTAATCATTATCTTTTTATTAATACTTTAAATTGTTCTCTTGCTTACAGAATATCATGGAAGTTATGGGATTTATTGCCGTGTTAGTTAACTGCGCATTGATTGGCCTTAGTGGTCAAGTACACCGTTTACTACCCGACATGACCGCCATTCAAACAGTTTTGTTAATTGTCGCTCTCGAAGTTAGTATTATATTAAATATGTTTAAATTGTTGTAATTAATGTTTTAATCATATAGCCTTCTATAAGAAACTACAATTATTTCGGATTATATATTTTAGTATGAAAATTATAATTATATTATAATTCATATTTTAAATTAATACATACATCTATGTATTATTTAAATATCTCTCTCATCATGAACCCAACACCCCTTAATCTTGACTAGCGATCCTATGTGGTTCTTTGGTTTGACAGCATATAATGTTGGCGTTCCGGTGTGCACTGAGCTGTCTGATCCCAGACATACCCCAGTGGATAGCTACTGAGATGGCTAAGGCCGAATATATCAGACGAGAAGCAGCTTCCAGGTCTCCGTAAGAACAGAAAATTGATTGTCATAGTTCACACATCTACAATTAATGATGTCTCAGCACTTCATTAGACAAGGCTTCACTGGATTTTATTTTTTACTATCAATTTTTTTCTTGTTTTTCGATAAAAAATTATTCGACTTTCTTTAATGAAATCTCTTTTTTTAATACACGCACAAAACTACCTATGGAATAAAAACGTAGGAATTCTTTCAACTTAATTTTTTTTGTGTCTCACTCAAATTATTAGCTAATAACTACATTAAAGACCTTTATGACTTGCTTTTTTTAAATTTATGCATATTATCAGGGTCAAATAAATATTTTAGTAGCTTCGGTTTTTTGACAGTTATCTACAGTTATATTATACATTTTAGTTATACACAGTTATACTTGTTATGCTAACAATTTTTATTCAATGATAAATTCTTAAGATACAGGTACATAAGTGTGAAACTATTTTGTTTGAATTATTTTAAAAATAAAATAATAATTTATAAGGGTTCCTGGCAAACTAGTTTTTATAACTTATGACAAAATTATTAGTATTATTTTTTTTTAGAAAATGTTAATTTTTGTATATTTTATTATAAAAACAAAAATTTACCACTTTATTCAAATGTTCAATCCTCTTAAATGCTGAAACAAGATTTATAATGTTCATCAACCTTTAATAAAAATAAAACTATTTTAAATTCATATGACCATTTCGTTTTTGTAATTAATACTATAGTTACTTATCATTTCATTATATGAAATGAATAACAACTACTGTAACTTAACCATGTAATTACACCTTTATTAATTTAAATTAGATTTTTTATTCATTATTTACAATAAAGTGTAAATTGTTTTACTATTTAAGATACTCACTAATGTAAATTCATTACATAAGTGTCTCCTATTAAATAAATAAATCCTTATTTGTATATATTATATTATATTTTAAAGTCATACAGGGTGTATCACTAATGTTTTTCCCAGATGTATCAATGATATTGTTCTATACCAAAAATAAAAAATAAATTTCTTCTGATTTTCAATTCATGATCAGTGGCAATATAATTACAATATAACCAATATATGTTTTGTTCTGAAATCATATTGTTAATACTTGCTTATCATTCAAAAATAAATAATTTTATTATTTCAAATTATTACAACAATGATGAACAGTGTTTTAAAAATATTGAATTAAAATAATGTTTATGTTATATTATTTTAATGATTAAAATCACAGAATAAAAAATACACAAACAATACCAAAAGAGCCTGAGTTCTTGGGAATAATTGGCACTGATCTTTCATCATATATTCACCAATAAGTCATCAGTTTTTCTATTATTATTTATTAGTACTATACTTCAAACTTCAATAATAATTATATTCATCGTTTAAAAATAACGTAAGTGCTACACATTTTTTATTTAAGATATTTTATTTGGTAGTTTTAAAATATATACATTTACATATTTCATAAAATTGTAAGCCAACATACATTTACAGACATAATTAAATGTATCAAACCAATTATACTTTTGTATACTGTATAAATATTTTTTAAAAAAAAATCAATTATTGCATAATTTAATTTTAAAGCTACATAATATAAACATGTACTCCAAACTAGCCTGATTGTATTACGTATATAGTTGATTAGAATGTTATAAGCAATATGCCTGCTACAGTACTAGTATTACAAATAGATATAGAGATACACCCTGTTCATCTGGAATATTTGTTCTATAATATAAAACTGTATTCAAATATTATGTATTTTAAATTTGTTATTTTAAAAATAAATACAAGACTGATACCTTTGAATCCCTTTATTTCAATGTTCTATATTTGTTGTTGCTAAATAATAAAAAAAATATCATCAATTATTTGTTTGCGTTCTTATATACTGCATTACCTACTATAGCTATTTATTTACACAAATGAATATCAGAGGGACCTTTGGAATTAACATCCTCTAAAACTTATATTTTATTTTAAAATGGAAATATATCAATAATTTGTGTTTAATATCAATTTGGCATAAATATACCTGATGGATATTTTTTCTGGGCATAATCTGGTTTACTAAATATGACAATCCGTAGAAAATATTTCTAGTGACTACTTGGTGCATTCAAGTTAATACATTTATTATACATATACTTATTAAAAAATATTGATGATATTTATAGTAAAAAAGCTGTATTAATAATAATATAAATATTTTAATTATTCTATATAGATGAATGAAACACTATGGGATACAGGTCATGCTTATTGGAATTATAAATTGGCTAACAAAAGTATAATTAAATATAATAGTAAATTCAACTATTGGACAAAAATAATATTTACAATTATACATATATTATGTAGCAAGAATTATGAAAGTATGATACTCAATAGTCTGAATCTGTGTTATATAAAAAATCCTAATAAACTCTTAAAAATAATTTAATAGTGATAACTCCTAAGGGGGTGAGCGGTTGTAACAGCCGCTTGCTCACCAGGGAGCGGCACTTTGTTTTGACCTGACGTCTTGTGCGTTTGGGAGACGGCCCATGCGTTTGTTTAGTAGTGTTTTTTTTTTATATTAATTATATTGTGATGTTAGAATAAGTATATGTATGTTGATGAAACAATAAAAGGAAAAATTAACAATAGATACATTATGTTTCGATATTTCTGTTACAGAAATGAAACAATTATAATTGAATAGAGTAGGGAATTTTGGTATTTATAAAGATGAAAGATGATATAAATTACAATAGTTTTTACATATTATAATTTTTTTTCTTTTTACATGTATATTTAACAAATATTATACATAATAACAATTTTGTACATAATAAAAATTTTACAAATATACAACAATTTCTTCCTTGAACATATATTTTTTTTTTTTTTTATGAGGTTGGATCAACTTCTATCATCGTACTGAAATATATTATATTATTATTAGTTAAATATTTCATAACTATATGATATTTATTTAACTTACTCAATTTTTTAGTGGCCATGTGGTCGTATATGTATATGATCGTCTAATACACATCTTTTGTCATCATAAGAGTTATGCGTAAGCTTTTTAGTCTTTATTGTTAACAGCCGGTGGTTGAATGACCTGATTGATACATTCTGTCTATAGGTATACATCTAACGTTGTATCTCCAAACAAACAACACTCGGTAGTGTAATGGTCTGTACCCCCGCCTGTCATGCGGGAGACCGGGGTTCGATTCCCCGCCGTGGATCCAATTTGTTGGAAGTGAGTCCGATTTAGAACGCACAATCCAGCATAATATGATGAAAATCAAATAGCTATGATGTGTCTTATAGTATAACGGTGTTTATTATGGTGATAGACATTGCGCGGGTTACGTGAATTAATACAATAGATACACAAAACACAATTGACAGAAATAATGGTTTCTGGTGGACGGTCCATGACGCGAGGTCATGGTATTCCAGTCGCGGAACACGAAGATACACCGATGCGCTCGGTAGAGGTGCATGTCTGACGTCCTCGCGACCATTCCAGGTCCGCCTCCTATGGATGGATCGGAAACCGGGTGTCGTGATCCATGGTGGTTGATTGGAAAAATAGACGCGATCGTCGATGGCCGTTGTAATTAACGGTCGCGGCGCGGTTCGCGTCATGGTCTTCAAATGTTGTATGATTTTTGACAACGTGCCCTCTTATGCCTTTGGCTTTGATTTTTTTTTCTTTCCCTTCTAAGCTGATTGTGTATGCTTTAGCTCTTAATGAACAAAATTCCTACCTAGTCTCCGGTCCGAAAACAGTCAAGAAACATTTTTTTGCTCGGCAGTAAAACATGGATGAGTTGATGGTAATTGGCTGTATCCATACGATCCAGCAGGATTGGATTGACCTTGCAGTCTTAATATAGAAATCTTCTGTCTCAATATAATATACCAACGAATCTGGAATAGGTAAAATAAATTAATAAATAATTAATAAGATAATCATAATAATTTACCTGTATCAGTATATATGGATGGCGCGAGGGGGTGGGAAATAGGGGCAGTTGCTTAGGGCCCCACGCCTTAAATTTTAATTAAGGCTCCGCAATTCTGATTCAACTGAACTTAAAATATTTTATTAATATAAATTATAAGATCCAACATTTATTTTGCCCAGAGCCTCGCGAACTCTAGCACCGTCACTGTCAGTGTACCTACATCAAATGAATAGCCTCCTTGTAATACACCTTTATGATGTTGTAATGATAATTATACATTAAATATTTGGATACATTCAACACTGCAAAACCAGTAATAATAAATAAATTATAGCTAGTTGTTAATAATAATATATACATACATAGTAGTATGTATATATATATATATATATATATATATATATATATATTTATATATATATATACATACATACATATATAGTAGTATATAGATTAGTTTGCAGAAATCTAAATCTACGATTTTATTTTCTAATGTTACAGCCGTTAAATTGTTCTCGAAATCTGTGCAATACTTGAACGTTGTGCGATTTATCAATGTCTGTAGGTACTCTTTTTTTGCTTGATAATATTTCTATCTTTATCCGCTTCCTCATGGACTCCATTGTTTAATCAATTTAATATTGCCCATGTGTGTATTATGTTTAAAACTACTCTTTGGTTATTAATGTAATGTTCCTACGTGTGTGTACTATGTAATTAAATACCTATTTATTTAATTATTTATTTATTATTAGTTATAATAATTATAACATATAATATAATATAATTAATATATAATATATATAATATAATATATATAATATATAATATTCCATTGGAATTATGCGTATGAATTTAACTTTGAGTGTACGCTGAGTGGAAAAAAGATAATATTCCAGGAATATTATCTTTTTTCCGCTCATTGTGACGCTAGTTAGAATGTTTGGTTTATTTTCGTCTATTTTTAGTAAAACGACGACAACCACGACAATCGTAAGATAGTTTTCGATAATAATATTATTATCGAATGTTATTATCTTAATAACGAAAACACATACACATACACTGAAGGGACCGCCAAAAGGGGTCCAAATGAAGTCTGTAGCTTTCTTAATAATTTTTTCAACACTATACCTGATAAAGTAAAGGAACTCCATATATTTAGTGACGCATGTGGTGGCCAAAATAGAAACCATACGGTGACTAGAATGTTTTTGGCAATGATGATAAATAACAGATTTTCCATCATCCACCAATATTTTCCAGTACGAGGGCACAATTTTTTGCCCTGTGATCGCAACTTTTCAGTGATCAAGCGAGCAGTAAGGAGGTTTGATCGAATCTATGTACCTAGTCAGTATGAAAATCTTATTAAGACCGCCAAAAAGTTCTCACCAACTTTTGAAGTAAAATCAATTAAAAATGATGACATACTAAACTTTCATGGATGGTGGCCTCAGTATTTCAAAAAAACAGCGATTGATATAGAAAAAAAAAGGTGAAAAATTCAGTATAAGCCAGTACAGACACTTGGTATATAAAAGTGAACTAAAAGGATATGTGAAGGCTTCTAACTTTATTGACGGTCTTCTAAGTGTAACTTTTAAACTAAATAAAACAAAAGAAGTGCTGTTCCCGGAGGATAAAATCTATCAAGATAAAGTTGCAGTCAACCCCAAAAAGATTCAGGAGATATCAAAAGTCAGACAATACATCCCGCAAGAATATCAAAGATTCTATGATGAAATTTTGAACCTGCCAACTTCGAATGGAGCAACTAGTGATGATGATGATGGAAATTAAGATTTTAAAAACCTATCAATTATTTTAATGTAACAACTTTAATTATTTTTAAAATGTGTATTATATTTAAACTAAAATAAGACAGTACTTTAAAATACTTTTGTACTAAATAAAGCCTTTTATTAAGAATAAAATGAAGTTTTAAAATTATTTTAAGATTTTATTATTACAGTGAGCGGAAAAAGAATAATATTCCAGCACTTTATTAGTATTATATATATATAAAAAAAAATTATCACGATATCATATTTTAGGAGGTTAAAGGTTAGATACAAACAAGTATTTTTTGTATACATAAAATTAACATACAAATAAAAATTAACGAATTAAAAAGTTTTTTTTAATTTTCCGAAAATCGGATGTTGAGGAATATTATCCTTTTTCTACTCAGCCGTTCAATTATGTGTGCCCATAACACGATAAAAGATAAGTAAAATAGAATAGTTTATACAATTTTATAAGAATTAGTTATAACTTATTCATTTGCCTAAAATTAAAAACTATTAGCGTCATATTTAAATATTATTTTCAAAAAAAAATTAATTACACTTCAGAAAAAAAAAATTGAAATTAAATTGAATTTAAATTTTAACGATTTTATCGATAAATATATAAAAGTTATAAGTTATATAAGTTGAGTACATATCTTATAGATCTCATGTGGATATCTGTAATAAATTATTTAAAATTAATTTTATTGCAGAGTAAACAATTTTGTTTCACACATACCTAAAATAATTTACCGTGTTTTTGATGAGACCTTTTTTTTTGCAAATTTTATAAGGATGAAACATATCCTTGTATTTTCTTATTATTTTTCAAATTATTATCAATATTGATATTATTAAAAATATTTCACTAGCTTTTTAATAACATTTTTAAGAACTGGAGGTAGTAAATGTATAAAATATAAATACATAAATAGAATATACTACAGACAGCCATTCAGGTTATTTTAATAAAAAATGAATAGGGTTTGCAAGGGCCTTAATATTTAAATAAAGTCAACATTATCCACACATTTAAGCTAATAATAACAGTTGACCTATGTTATGATATACAGCTAATTTAGATTTTATCCATAAGTTAAAATTACCCATATCATATAAAATTAATAATACATTCATTACTAGATTAAGTAGACTTGTATTATAAGTTTTCAACATCATACAGGGTTTTATTTAATAGAATAAGGTATGTACACATAAATTATATACATCAAGGTAAAACAATTCTTCAAACTAAAAAATAATTTAAGCTCCTGTACATCCATCTTTTCTTCAAAACAAGTTTGTAAACCTTATTATAAAATAAAACATATTATTTTTATAAGGCTTTATAAGGTTTATAATTAAAAAAATACATATTATAAAGTATTATTCATATAATATATTAAGATACCAAAACCTTAGATTAAACATTTTTTTTGTATAAAATAAAATAACTAATATAATTTTACCCTCAATATATAGTAGATTAATATAATCACATAGTTAATATAATATTTATATGATATATCTAAAGTATAAAAATACAATATTATTCTATATTAGATAACAACAGTTCATGTTTGACATGACATAAAAGTTTATATTTTAAGATTAATTTTATTAAAAAAAACGAAAATGATCATCGCAACAAACATTATGGTAACCATGGAAAATTTTAGTTCAATTGCATATATAAATATATATATATATAAATAGAAGAAATAAATCACAAAATAAGATTGTAACAAATTATTGTTACTCATATAAAAACAAATTATATGTATTAAGTTAATTCTGATAGAATATTAGGTTTATAGTAAAAAATAGAATATACACAAATATAATTTCATGCCATTCCAGAAAACATTAAAATAATAATTATTACACAAATATCACATAATTTCAACTAGTTATAAAGCATCATGTTTGTCAAACAGAATTGGTAAATTTACTAAACAAAAATATAAAATTTATACTAATTCTAATAATTAAAATATAATGTTCCAGGATCAAAAATATCGATTTCATTGTTCTAGACTTCTTCTACAGTAGGTTTGTCAGGTTCATTTTCACCACCATTCAATTTTAATTCTGCTTGTTGAATATCATTACTGTTATAAGCATTGTCCTAATAGGAAAACATATCACAATTACTATAAAATCAATGGAAAACAGTCCAGTCTAAAGATAATAAATCTAGTTACTTGTTGAGAAGTAAACCCGGTAGAAGTAGTACTAGACCAAATTTCATCACCCCAAGCAGTAATAGTGGCTGTTTCAGAATGCCACTGTGTCTAAAAATTAAAATAAATAATTTTAATTACTATTTACTTAAAAATATAATATTATTAAATGTATAATGTTGATGCTTGGAACTAAATATATTTTTTAATATGTATACAATAAATAATTTTAGAAAGATTAATAATATTCCTAACTTTAAATTTAAATGGGTTTTAAACAAATAAAAAAAGTTAACAATATTGAGAAAAATAAATCTCACCAAAAATTGTTGTTCTTTTGTTTGAATGTCTTTTTCAATCCGTGCTAGTTGTTCAGACAATTTCTCAGTTTCTTTGGCAGCCTCATTGCGAGTAGCAAGCTACACAAATGTATTATAAATAACAATGATAATATAAATAAAAAAATTATTTATTACCTTTAAATCGTTTATCTTTTTCTGTAGATGTTTTAACTGGTTTTTCATTTTCTGCGATTCTACCATCAAACTGAAAACAATAGAACATCCAAAATTGTTAGTCATACACTACAATAACTATAACTACTAAAACAATTTTCAAACTGTGTTCCATGGAACCATAAAGCTTAAATAAACTTTCTAAGGACTCCTCATATCAATGTAGGAAAATTTAATCAGTTTAAAAGAAAATTATAACCAACAAAAGTATAATATTTATTCCAGGTTTCTTAGGACATTAGTGATTTAATAATGGATCCACAAAGAATTTGATAATCGCTCCAAGTCCGTAGCAAAGAAGGAGGAGGCATTCCCCCCGGATCTGATTGTTGTCCCCTCAACAAGTATTAAATGTGCATATGAGTTATGTAGTAGTATGTTATGCACTTTATTGTTTTTTTCTAATTCCCCTCCTAAAATTTGGTTCGCCCATCACAATATTTGGTCTGACTACGGGCCTTGAACCATTCTTATACCAAAGACATTGCTGCGTGCTTTGTTCTACGACCAAAAGTTATTAATACCAACCTCTTGGGCGTTTTATGGCCACCGAAAAAGTTCGAAGGTTCCATTATGCCAGCCGGGCTGTGTATGGTAATGTAACTCTGGCCTATGGCACCTACAGGAGACGCGACTATGTGCGCGGCGGCTGGGTAACCCTGCGGCGAGTTGAAGTACCAGGACGCGGCCACTGGACTGTTATGTGTACCGCGCAGCGTGCCCAATGGCGTCGTAATGGTCGTAGTCGTTGTCGAGCTGAAGAACTGGGCCTGAGCGGCCGCGGCAGCCGCGGGAGTGGGTATTGACAGAGTGCACGGCCGGCGCAAAGGTTTGCCGTTCTTCGCGCCCCCGGCCAGTTGATTGTTGTTATTGCCGGCTGATACCGGTGGCGGCGGTGGTGGGGGTATCACTGGGTTGCTGCCGTTGCCTCCGATAGGACCGTACTTGCCATTCACCGCCAATTCGAACGGTACGAATTCATCAGGATCGGCCAATATCGAATCCGATCTGCGCAAAACCATGTTTTCAAATTTTAACTAGGGCTAGGATTTAGAAGCAACACAAACTGTTCTATATCCACGATGTTTGCAAAAAGTTGTGTATAAATATGAACAATTTTGACGTGCTCGCATAACGTATAACGTATGTATTACACAATTAAGGCTTATTAAAGCCTTTGAGGTGAATAAACTATTTAAATGCATAAAAATTATATTTATAACAAATTGTTTAGCAAAGTAAATTTTATTAACGATTATTTTGGTCACCCGCCGAAGTCATGGATTTGGTGTTTCAACAATTATTTCGCATTCCTCAGTTATACATTACATAAGTTTGATTGTAAATTCAACTTATTTTAAATAATCAACCATTCAAGGCGTAACTAGGGAGGATAAGCCCCCTGTCATAAATCCTGATCCCACCAACGGAGCTACGTTTTTAAATTATCGCTTTATTTTCTATTCAAATCTCAGACAATTTCGATTTTTTTTTTTTTTATTATATGCTTACTATTAATGATTGTATGTACTTTGTAAAGTATCATGCCGTATAGTAATAATAAAATAAAAGTAAATACAAAAATATATTCGTCATTTAAAAGAATAAATGTGTAGATTTTATTTTTGTAATATTAATGTATACAACTATGATATAGACCAGGGTGGTCCAACCTTTTGTAGTTGGCGGGCCAATTTACGATTTCATAAAAACATTAGAAAAAAAAATATCCAGTAATATCTGCAGTTAATAATCGCCGCCTAATTATGGCTATAATAATAATAACAACGACTTTCACGATCTTCCAAAATATGAAATCAGATTCACTGTGGTTGCTATAAAAGATACAGTATAATACAATGAATTTTTTTTTTTAATATAAATTTTCTATGGAGGGAGGGCAAAAACAAAAAGGCTTCGAGGGTCACAAGTGGGCCAAGAGTCGGACTACCCTGATATAGACTAACGAGTACTGGGAGCTATAGGGGCAAATTCTTCACTTAATTTTCTATCACTATAAAAATGTTAGAGCTGGAGCCACCCTTAACTTTAAGGTTTAGTCACGTGTACATAATCATTACATCGGAAATTGAATTTCAGTAATTTTCGTTTGTCTATGCCACGACTTTTATCAGTTGAACAAGAAATGCGAGTGTGTTTATCGTCGATCCCTCCTAGAATTGAACTATTATGCAAACAACATCAAGCATACGTTTCACACTAAAATTTATAATTATATATTTTTTTTTGTAATTTTAAAGTTAATTTTTGTATTAATTATTTTTATTTGTATTATATATTTTAATATTTTGAAAAAAATCATTTTATGTTTTTTTATAAAAAAAAGTTCAAGTTGTCGCGACACACCTTTCAAATTTCACGGCACACCCTTTGGGAAACACTGGTCTATGGTTTCATTTATATATTACGTATTAAATACACTGACTGTTATAAGATTAAAGCTATTTATTTTTATTGATAATTATTGAACGAGTAATACACTTTAAGAAGTTGCATTGAAGTTCGTTCATTTTGTATTTCATATAAGAAAATAAAAATGGCCGATCAAAATTCTACGAAAACAAGCCTAAGTGAACTTATTTCTTGGCGTTTATTAAAGAAAAACCCATCTGGTGGAATAGTATTGGGAATTTTTGGTGTCGCGTTGGTTATAGATGGACTTTTTTATCTTCACTTTTTGAGGCGTAAAGAATATCAAGTAAAAAACATGAATAATATATTGGTAATTAATTGGTAATTTTTATTTATTAACTGGCCAAATATGTCTGACAAATAGGTTGACCACAAAAAACGTATGTGGAATGAACGTTTTGAAATGCTGGAGAATCCTGTCAAAATGAAATTATTCAATTCATCAGAGGAGTCAGTGCCAAAAATAAGTCAACCATTAATAGATGTTTACAAAAAAATGAACCATGAAGATAAAAGGCGTAAACAAGTTGAAGATTGCATTCGTTCAATTAATGTTAAAAAAATAATAAAATACAACTGTCTTACCTTAGTAACATTGGACGTCCAGTTTGAATATTTACAGGAGAAGGCAGTCCAGTTTTAGAGTGAAACAATCCGTTGTCCCACATTGAATAACGATCAAAATCCTTCAATACACATAAGGTAACATATAACATTAGCTGTTTTTATCTCCCATTGAATTATACACTTACCACTTGATCAGGTGTTAGAGTACAGGCTGTCATTACCCTATCAATTTGACCCATAAGTTCTTGCTTACGATTCTGAAGAGACATTAGACTTGATGATAAATTTTTCTAGGTAATACAAAAATAGATATTTAAAAAATTCAGTAGCATAATATAGTATAAAAATACCATTTTATTAGAATGACCGGGCATATTTTGATCCATAAATATTTGATTATTTGGATTTATCATCATGCCATGGGAATGTGCTCCAGAACTAAAACATGTATTTATTGTTTAATAAATTTAACATATTATCATTTCAAGAAATGTAAAGTATTTATAAATATATATCTAAAATTATTCATATTTAAAGTATAATTGAATTAAATAAAGTTAAAAACTGAAGAGATTTCACGGTATGATGAGGTACAGGAATGAATGAATAGTATTACTATACGAGTAATGGTCTTTTAACATAAAATCAGTGTACTATTATTTTCAAAAAAAATTTTTTTTTTAAGGTCGAGATGAGATTGACAACCTTTAAAGTTTGCTGGGTGATTACCACTACACAGCGCACATTTGGCTGGGGAGGTTCGATCCTTAGTGCAGGTTACTGACTGATGATGCTCACCACAGCGAACGCAGCGAGGAGAGTGATGACAATAACTACGTGTGTGGCCGTAGTCCTGACATCGATGACATTGCGGGATTTCTTTTTTTGGATAAGGAGGTTCAACTTTAACTTTCGTGAAACACAGTGAAGTTATTTTAAAAATGTCAGCATTTGTTGGATTGGGTTCAAGATCAATGAAGAAGATCGGAAGGGGAGTTTTGGTTAACTTATGGGTTACAGGCGTTATATTTCTGGTGACAAATCCTATGTTAAGAAGTTCCTGTGTAATAAAAGAGGTATCAGTGGTGTGGTGCAGATTTCTGATTACGACACGATATGCTTTTTCCTCTTTTAGTTGAAAGGAGTGAAATGAGACATTGTTAATCTTGAGGTATTTAATGACTGTTCTGTAGGATTTAGGGCTATATCTTTGGAGTTTAAGTCATTTGGTAGAGCTTTTACAATCAAAGCCGGTAGCATCAGTTAATTCGATGATTTTTGCACAGAAGGTGTTGTAATTTATTTGATCTTGTATGAAGATAGGAGGTGGTTTTGAGGTTTTGTTTTCATTGTTTGATTCGTTATTGACAGTCGAGTCCATTGGTTCATCAACGGTAGCAGGAGCAATCGGAGAAAAACGATTTGCAGAAATAAAAATGCTTTTATTAGATGCTTTTTTAGCAACCGGAGATGCGTTATTAGGAGATCTGTCATGTTTAAATAATGGTGGGACTGTTTGCCAACCAGATTCGTTGTTGGAGAGGTCAGAGGGGGAATTTCCACCTGTTTGGCCATTTAATGGCTGTTTACTGATAATTAACGGATGAATAAGGTTCATTGCAGATTTATTGTTATTAATTATTAATTGAGGCTTTTTGACGATAGGAGTAGATGGACGACGAGAGTTACTCATAATGATGTAGATAAAATATATTATGGGTTGGCTTTGGGGAATGTTTAGATAATTTATACATTACCAGCGGTACAGGTACCGCGGCGAACGCTGAACGAAGACGTACAAAAACAACACGCTAACGAGAGCTGATAAAAGCGGTGCGCGAAACAATTAACGTGTGGACTGTACGGCGTCTAGACACAAACTGTTATAATTTTTACAAATAATTAAAAAAAAAGGATCTAAAATTTGGAAAAAAAAACAAAAATTTTAAGTATCTTTAAATAAACAACAATAACTTCATTAAAATATCATAAAATAATGAAATGTCTCAAACTAAATAATTACTACTCTTCAATGGAAATTTGTTGAAATATCCAATTTCATCAACGCTCATAAATCAATTTTGAGACTTTCTAACCCTACTATACTGTATTTTAATAATCTACCAAAATCTTTGCATTATACATATATTACAGGAAAAGATGATAACTAATTAAGGTCAACAATGAAAATGTCTGATTAAGCAAGGAATTGTCATAAATGACTAGTAATTGATGTAATATACATAACTAACGGTTAGTCCATAAAAAATTTTTTACAGGGGGGCGGTATCGCCCACGTTGGGAGTCACTGATTTAAACCATTGATAAAAATAATGTCATACTTATACATAAATATATACATATATATGTTCATATAATCTTTTGTACACTTATTTTTCCAGCATTAGTTATTTTGGACTGCTTAAATTTTTTTTAAATATGTTCACAACATTCGTTATGAATGAAAAAAGTTATTATCGTTAATTTTTTTTTCAATTAATAATGAAATGATGCTGTCAAATTTTAATTGCATATCATTTAAATCCATTTTTTAAAATATTAATTAAACACTTTTCTTAACACAGCATAAACACCAGTGTCTTTATTACAAACTGTTACAATACGATACCAATAACCAATTATTATAGGCAATAAAAATAAATATTAATAAGTCATTAATATAAAACCAAGTTGAGATTATCTGTAATCTATTTGATCAGTTGTGTCAATTTACAACGTTATCCAAAATAATACGGAAATATAGATACAACAAAATATTCAACAACGACTAGGGAATTATGAAAATTCTTAAATAGCAATCTTTAATTTTTAACTATAAAATTTTAATATTAGGACCCCTGTTTTATTTGATACTATATAAAAATAATTTAGGTAGTATTTTTTGGTGATAACTCAGCCCTTTTTTATGCCTTAGATGGTTGAAAAATTACTTAAGAGGGTGTATTTCTGGTTTTTTAAGTTAAGTTAAGTTATATTAGTGAATTCTATAACTATAATACATAGGATCAAAACACTGAATATCAAAATTGTAAGGTATTAAATAACTTTTGCCATCCATTATGTCAAATTATAGGTACCTGGTTGTCAAAATTTAATTCAACGGAATAGTGAACCTTCCAGAAAACCAGTTTGAGAAATTCACTTTAGTTGTTTATTATTCGTATCAGGAAAAATCATCGTTCCATCTTTGTATGCAGAATAAAGAAATTTCACTTGTAACATATTTTGTAACAAGTAGAATATAATCTAAATTTACCTAAATGTATATTTTTCTAATTATTTTTGAATTGCTTAAATAATGGTATATCGGATCATTAATAACAATTATATTTACATAAGCAAAAACTGCATACGAAACCAATTAAAATATATGATGACGACATGTGAAAAATATAGTTTCAAGATTTAATAATTATTTTAAAAGAACAAATGCCCAATTAATTAGTGTCAGTCCAGCAAAGTAACATGTAATAGAATGGAAATATATAATAACTCTATTTCTAATGCTTAAATGAATACCGAAGCGCCAACACCAAAGTTAAGAAAACATGAAAATTTTGTTTTTGCTCTTCTGAAAAATAGTAAAATTGTTGACTTAGATACTTTTGCCTTTTACCAGTCGATATTATATTTTTTAAAAAAGTTACCTACAACTATTTTACAGTAGGCCAACCAAATTAATAAACTTACCCATAAATATCATGACCATATTGTCCAACAGGGTACATTTGTTGTTGACTAGGTTGATAATAAGTCTGACCAGTTGGTACAATGTATGAATGTTCAACAGGAATATTTGTAATGTCTTGAGAATCTAAGTATTTTAATATCATTAGAAACAAAAACATCAACATAATTTTAAAAATTCTAATGCCATACTTTCAGATAATATCATTGGTTTTTTATTACCCATGAAATCATATTGTTCATTTGGCATAAATTTAGATTTATTTGTCAAGTATTCATGATCAACAGTTATAGGAGCCACTCGATTGTTTTTTCTGTTCTTATTTCGGTACCTGAAAAAATTAAAAATTATAATAAGCAAAAATAATGTAAATAAGTGTAGGGAAAGTGGCACTCCCATCGCCCAGCACTAGCTGTTGCAATAGCTACTCTCTGGTCTCAGTTGGCTGGGGGGTCTGGTCCTTCAGGTTGGGGGTTTAGCGTAGAGCTAACAGCTCTAGTTAAAACTCTTATGTTATGATATCACAAATATCGAAGCCTAGGACAATGGATTTAAGGTTGAAAAATGGAATGTAACAAGCCTTTGTTTTTACGATGGCTAGACGTTGGGCAAACTGATGTAGGTGAGTACGTAATATACTACTCTGGATAGCTCGTATCATTTTGGAAGTGGTTTCACGGTGCATAGAAAATTAGTGCCACACGTCATAGAGTTTAGGCCGATATCAGATAGATTGTCATTACTTATGTTAGACAATAAACACATGTATAGTAAACGCACACACTCCAATGGAAGTTTGCTATCAAAATAAAAAAAAGATTAATTTTATGATGAGTCGATGAAAACATACGGGAAAATACAGAAGAATTCAATAAAAATAGTGATATGAGTGCAAAATGTGGTTGATAATAGTTAACAATAAGTAGAAGTTATAGGGGTGCCAATTGAGACACAGACCACTTCTTGCTCATTGCAAAATTTAAAATAAAATTAATAAGGCCAGAAAAAATTAAATTCGAGAAAAAATCTAAGATAAATATTGAAATATTAAAAGATCCAGGAGTAAAAAAACAATATCAAATGGCTATTGACAACGCCATCAAAGAAATTAATGAAAACAATGAAGAGCTAAGACTGGGAAGCAATTCAAGACGATCATAAAAATAGCAATCCTAGACGATCATAAAAATAGCAGAACAGAACATAGGTGTATTGAAGAGATCAAGAAATGTTTGGTATAACAGCTAATGCCAAAAAGCTGTTGAACAATGCAAAAAAGCAAGAGAGAATCATCTAAGAAGGGGAATAAATGATAATCAAAAGATTTTCATATCCAAACATAAGCATGCAAGCAAATCTTACAAGAAAAAAGAAAATTCTTCAACAATATACTCCAAACTACGAAAGAAGACCGAAGTCAAAATAAAATAAGAAATTTCTTTCGTAGACATATACATAGATAGTTACCAATGTGGTTTCATAGAAGGAAAATCAACAATAGACCAACTATCAATTATAGGACAAATCATTGAAAAAAAGATAGGAATACAGACAGAACATATGGCAACTGTTCATAGAATTTAAAAAGGCGTATGACAACATACACAGAGAAAGCTTATACAACATTATGTATGAATTTGGATTCCCTAAAAAACTGATTAGACTAACCAAACTCTGTATAGAGAACACAGGCTTGAAGCGGGTTGTCTTCATTCCTATTTAACCTGGCACTAGAAAAAGTTGTGAGAGAATTACAGAACATAAGAAACAGTCAACAAATAGTAACAATGCCCTGTGTATACTCGGTTTCGCAGATGACCTGGATACTATAGGAAAATCACTTACAGAAATAGCAAATGCATCAAGGGAATTGAAAAAAGCTGCGGAAAAAGTCGGTCTAACAATAAATACAAATAAGATAGAACTAATGAAACTGATAGATAGTGACATAAACCCACAGCAAAGGGAGAACAAAATGTAGAAGAATTCAAATACCTAGGAGCAACTCTGAGCATAATGAACGATTGGTCTAAATAAATAAATATTTGTATAAACAAAGCGAGAAAAACCTTTTATGCGTTACTGACATTTTTCAACTCAAAATCGTTCTCGAGAAGATCTAAAACGAGATTGTATGGTCAATTATAAGGCCCACATTGACACACGGATAGGAAGCTTGGACTATAACTGCGACAACGGAAAGGAGGCTAAAAACTTTTGAGAACAAGATATGGTAAAAAATATGCGGCCCTGTATTTGATGTGAATATGGGTATAATTGGCGAAGAAGATTCAATAGAGAACTGTAGGAAATGATGAATCTGGCTCCAGTAACTAACTTCATCAAAGATCAAAGGATTCAATGACTAGGGCATATCCTGAGAGAAGAAAATGGTCCTGTACAGGTTGTCTTCAAATGGAAATCTGTAGGAAAACGACCAAGGGGAGGTCCCAGAAAGAGGTGGATTGATTGAATGACGGAAGATCTAAAGATAATGGGCGTAGAAGATTGGCATAAAGTTGTTTAAGACAGAGAAAAGTGGCGACTAAAACTCTTAGAGTAGAATGGCCAGACAAAGAAGAAGAAAGACAATATAAAGTTGAATATAATTACTTTTCTAATTCATCTTCTGAATGAGCAAATGTACAAATTCCTCCTCTTGGACATGTTCCTCGCATCATAAGGTCTCTACATAAACTAACTTTATACCTAGGTACATTTGTTTGGCTCTGCACAGTTTCATTTTTTAATCCTTTATTACTACTGCCATGAGATTTGACAAAATCAATTAAACCAGCTACTACTATTCTAGCACTTTCAAGAACAGAATGTAATTTTTCCCAAGTACACCATTCCAAGTCTACAAAAAAAAAAAAAAAAATTAAAAAAAATAAATATTAATGTTCATAGTATTTAAAAATTTAAATATTAAGTGCTTACTAGGATTAGGATCAACTGCTGCTAAAAGTTCAAAATTTGATCTTAGAGATGATAATTTAGCAGGATCACCAGTCCTCTGTAAAGCTATAATGAGTTCTTGAACAGACTGTGAAAATGACTGAGGACTCTGTAATTTATCCATGATACTTTGCATGTGTGATTTATGAGCTGAATCACCATAAAGTAGAGCTGACCATTGGTCAGGAGCTATTCGAAGTCCAGCTTCAGTGGCAATTTCTACAATTTGAGCATCATGTTCTCGTCTTAAATTCTCATAAGTGCGAAATTCTTCTTTTAATTGCATTAAGGAAGAATCTCCTTCACGCTTTGATACCTAATAAAATGTTATGAAATATTAAATAAAAATAATCATGCATATAAAATAAAAATTTAGAATAGAATAACATCAAATGTAGGGACATAAAAATTAAAAAATATTTTATTTTTTTTATAATTTATCTATTTTTAAATACAAGGCACATTCAAAAAGTAAGGGCCGTTTGTTTATACATCAAAATCGACAAGTCATAACACGTTTAAACTTGTGAATAACTGTACGTGCACTACTCGTGCATTTATTTCAGGCGTTATTTTGAATCATTTTAGGACGAAAAAGGTGTTCTTTTGGTTGATTTTATGGAATGTGGGACAGCAATTACAGGAGAAGTATATTGTGAAACATTCAATAAAATAAGACGTGCAATCCAAAATCGACAACATGGTAAACTGTTATCAGGTATAATCCTTTTTCGTAACAATGCACATCCTCACACTGCAGTCAAGATCCAAGAGAAAATTCAAGATTTTCGTAGGGAACTTTTTAACCACTCATTATACACAGTCCTGACCTTGCACCTAGAGAATACTTCCTTTTCTTACATTTCAAAAAATGGCTCAGTGGACAACACTTTAAAAACAAGGAACTTAAGAACGCCATTGAAAACTGGTTCAGCTTGCAGGCGGTCAAGCTTCTATGCAGGGGGGTTAAGGAAGCTGGTGAAGCAGTACAAAAAATGCTTAAAAGTGAACAGCGATTATGTGGAAAAATGAAGTAGGAAACTAAATGTGCTAATAAAACCTATTTCATATAGTTATAATTTTTTTTTATGATAAAATGGCCTTTTCTTTTCAAATATGCCTTGTATTTGAATTCAAAATTTGTCAAAAAAAAAAGTAAAACAAAAAAACTTTTTAAAAAATAGATTTGTATGTATAATTATATATTAGTCATATTTACTCATTATATATTAGTATGTATATTACATGGACAAAATAAAAATGTTTATGAAAAAAAAAAAAAAAATGATCAGAAAACTGGACGAGTTAAAAAAATTTTTATCATGGAAGGGTTATTATGAACTCTAAACTTCCCGATTATTATTTGTGATGTTAAATAACAGTATAATATAGATATATTGTATTTATAAATATAAAATTAATATACCTTAAAACATGATGCTCTGTAAAGTAGTTGAACCACATGTCCAATACTAGTCTTAGATGCTTGAGGAAAATGTGGTTCCAATCGTTGAACAACAAACATTACTAAGACTTTCCTAGATAAAGCAGAACCATCCTCTAAAGCGAGTAAAACAAGTTTTAAAACTTCTTCTTGCATTGCTGGCCCCAAAAATTGACAACCACGAGCTCTAACAGCTGCCCATAAGTTTGTAGACAACTGTTGAGCACTCTGATGATGAAGTATAAGTTCTGTCATACTACGTTCTCCTAAAGACCTGGCTGCTCTGATGGCTCTCATACGGCCTTCATTTTCCAAAAGTTGACAATTAACTAAGGTAACCAATTTACGTTGCATAGGCCGTGACAGTCCAGTACTCGTTGATTGACCACCCCCTAGTTATAAAATGATTAAAATATTAAGGTACTTAATGATCTTTAAAAATAATACTAATTTACCAGTAGCAAATGATTTTAAATATAATGCAAGGTGTTCCACACATTTTTTAGATTTATTATATAACAATCTTTCATCAGGTGACATATTCTTGAATAAAGATTTAGGAATGTTTTCATTGTTTGGTATTGAAGCTCCCACCAATTGAAGTAAAGCATAATTTATTGGTAATTGATCAATATCTATATTTATTAAATTCTGTAAAACAAAAAAAATGAATAAAAGATTATAAATATGCTGCAATTTAATACAAATTTTACACTGCAAAATTAATAGTAATAATAATAAAATAATAAAATTATACTGAAATACATAATTTGTTAAATATACATTATATGTAAATATAAAATGTTAACATAAAAACATGTTGGTTTTTTTTGTATCACCCTAGAACTTTTAATTTTAAATTGGGTGTTTCGATTACCTAATAAAACTTAGGAAATAAATATTTCAACTATACATAAATATAAGTAACTCATATATTTTGAACTTCAAAAAAATATATTCAAAATCTTTGACAGTTTTTGATTCATAGACCTAACTATTGATTACAACAATAACAATTTCTACATATCGGATATTAAAGTCACAAAAGTTTTTAAGTAGATTCTATATTAAAAAAGTTGATTTAAGTCAATTAATGGTCAATTATGAAAATAAAGTATACCTAAAAAAAACCAAGGTCTTTAATTTAGTTCAACAATAAAAAAAATGCTTGTAATTCTTATAATCAATCTATAAATATATTAAGTGAAATTGTATTTTATTAAATCAAATAATTTTCCTTCAGAAAAGTTTAAAATTACTATTCTATACTGTTACTTATGTAATTTAAGTTTAAATATTATAATATAATGATTTACTAAAAAAAAATTAAAATTTACCTATTATCATCATATAACTTCATGAAAAGAAATGTATAAATTGAGTTATTTAACAATCCTACTCCAAAAGAAAATAAATGTAAATTACAAAATCAATATTACATAAACACATAATTTATAGTAAAATAGACATTATTTTTTAGAACAAAATGCATGGTCTGTGTCATAGTCATTAATTAATCTAAAATATGAAATAATTAACCAAAATTGTACATAAATTAAAACAATTAGAGATAGATTATGATTTTTTCTTTTGGTATTCAATAGAAATATTGTTTACACAACTTTATACATGCAAAGATCTATTATCTAAATTATTTATTTCTATTAATAAAAATAATTATGTAAAATAATGTAGATATAAAATAAATATTGTTAAAAATAACAAACAAAATATATTTAATGTGTCAGTATATTAATTAAATTTGATCTAATTAAATATATATATATATATTATTAAATTTAAAATTACATAAAAAATAAAAAAAAATAGTTAATTATGAATTAAAATATAAATTATTGCTATAATTAAATAATAAACATTTAATACTAAAAGATAATCAATGAAAAATAAATTGATTTCTAATTTTATCAATAGATAGTAGTTATCATAATAAAACATAAAAATTGTTAAATATTTGAATTGTAGTTAATTGAACAAAAATGATATAATTATGGAAAATAAAACATATTAATAAACAGCAAATATATTTTAATACTTAATGCTCAATATAAAATTGTTAAAAAATTGAATGTTCACTAAATGGAGGACATAATTTAAATAAGTATCTATTACAATATTAACAAAAGTATGAATGTTTTATGTACAGTTAACAATGTAATAAAATTATTAACATTCAATTTTAAATGATAAATTAATGGAAAGAGAAGTTTCTTAATTTCTTTTAACTTATTATCATAACACTAAACCTAATAATTATATTCAAATGACAAGTGATTATCTATTGTAACCATTTGGCAAACATAAAAATCATGACCATGAAAATGCAAGTATTATTAAACAATTACTATTTATGTGAGACATAAATATAGTGTTTAAAGAAATTACATTAGAATAACAAGAAAAAACAGCCTAACAAATATAAGTCGTTAAGAACTAATGATATATTATACGGTTGATTAAGCCACTAACTTGATCAAACGGGCATTGTTTTATGGGTAAATTTGACAAACATGACTTGCACACAGTATGAGCGCATCCCAAACTAATTGGATGCCGAGCTTTGATGTCGAAACCTTTGCAGCACACTGGGCACGCCAGGAAATCGGTCCACTGCGGAGCTTGGATCGGCATCGCTAAGTAAAATATAAATAAATATGAGAACGATAACGTCATCGTTTTAAATTTGGGAAAAATTTGAAGAAGAAAAAATAAGGACAAAAACACTCTCACCTGTTGTTCAGCTTGTCGTTTCGTGGGATGTAACAGCGTTATGGTAGGACTTTCGACTAACGACCATTAGTGTCGAGAGAAAACGGCTTCAGACACGACGAATGCCTGACGATGTCAACATCGTCAATAGGAGACAAATATAGGAACTTTGAACTGCGTTTAAAAGAAAAAGAAAGGCTTCACTTTAGATGACCGAAGACGCGTTTATTTTTACACGGGAAATACGCAGTTCAGAACGCGCATATGAAACTTATATTATTTTTATTATATTATTATGTACCTGATATCTCTGTTGACGTTTATTATTTTTTCTCTCCTTCGCTCTCTCGCTAATACTCACGCAAACACTTTCTTTATCTCTTCGCCGCCGATTAATAATAAGTTATTGACGTGAACGTCATCCGGAACAACCGAATCGCGAATAATAAAATGTATAGCCGAAAAAAGACGTCGCGTCACTCGTTGACGTCGTTATCACGACGATTGCAAGCTCGTGGTGGTGACGGCGATGACAGTGGTGGGAGAGTTGGACGGCGGCGGCGTAGTTGCGGTGTCGACCAGCTGCGCCCTGCGCGGTGACGAATTTCGCAATTCGGCTTACGCACTTTTACCGCGTGCGACCGGAAGAACGGCTCTTCTCGTGAGTGGGCGGTCGGAGGCGGGAGTAGGAAAACAATCGAGTGTGCCAACCGGGTGGGTGCCGACGGCGGTACTCGACAGAGAGAAATCGTACGAGACTGTTGCATTAAAATATTGTAACATGCGTGTACACGATCGAATTATTATTTTTTCAAAAGCTGAAATACCAAAATATCACCACGGGATCATGGAGGAGAGAAGTACCAATTATGTGATCACAGAATTAATGTAATTGCGATTTCCTTTTGAGAAAACAAACAGTTGTTTGCAAGTTCAAATGCCAACATTTTTGGTGATTTGCGCAACGCTCATTCCGGTTTGGGTCGGCGAACTAAATTCGATTTGTTCACTCCACTTCATTGATAAATACCTCTTGATCACTTTTTTAGCTTTAAAGACTTTAAATACCAGGAGTCAGGACATAGAAAAATATATTGTAGTTTACTATAAAGTAGTTATATATACATATGCATATATATAATTTATTATAGTTTGAAATACATAGAATAGATGAAATCAGAATGGAAACTGATGAGATATGCAAGGGCTTTTATGGCCAAAAATATTTCGTAGGCTAGTAAATATCGTTTAACGATGTCTTGCGCAATACTTGGGTTTTGATATAACACTTTCAGTTCTTTATTTTTCCGAATTTTCCATTCTTTAGTATTTACTTCTTTACATGGGCCATATGTTTTTTCTGAGTACTTAGTAATCTAGACCATAGTAACTTTACAAAAGACATATATATATTTTATAAAATAAATTTTTACATTGACCATTAATTATATACTATTTTATTATCAAGATTAATTAAAAATACTCTTATTTCTCCTTCAATGAACTCCATTTCCATTCGTTTGTTTTTATGTTAACAAGAGCGAAAAATCCTCGTTCACAGAAATATAATGTCGAAAACTACAGTAATATTTTTTGAGCTTTTTTGCCAATATAAGCGTGCATTTTTTCAATATCATCCAAAATGTATTTAATGGAACATTTTTGTATTTAATAAAAGAGTTCGATTGTTGCGATTCAACGAGTTTTACTTCTTCTTCAAGACTGAATTCAGTAAAACTTATATTTCTATCATATAAGTCATTTATCCAATATTTGAAAAATTAAATTGTCTAAACTTTTTTTGTAAAATAATTAAATACTCCAACACAAAAGGCATAATTTTAGAACTTTCTTGTGTTACAGTTAATGAAGGAACATCTAACATTAAAATTTATATTTTTGTACACGATATTTCTAGATATTTAACTTATTTTTAAGTTATAAATAATTTATTAGTAGATATATTTTCATTTGATTCTTGTATACTTGAATTGATGTGATTTAAGTGTGAAAATATGTCTGTAAGCAATGGCATAAATTGAATCCAATTTCTGGTGGTATAAAGGCATATTCTCAACTTATAATTTTCAACATACTAACTATCCAATTTCCTAAGTAAAATTCTTCCTAGTAAACTATATATTTTCCCTTATATTTCTTTAAATAACAAATAAATTTTGAATGATTTTAGCATTAAAACCTTTATTATTATAATATTAATAAAAAAAAACAATCAAATTTTGTTTTTAGTATGCTGATTTTCTTGGCTCTTGAAAATAATATTATAGGTATATAAATTTCAATGATTTTCTGGTGGTGCAAAAACATATCTTTGCACCACCACATTTTAGATGTAGTGTTGCAAGTGCCACATTTGCACCAATCAGTTTACTTCACTGTTTTAAAATATGATAATTTTATTAACCATTTTTCGAGAGTAAAAAATACAAAAAGTTTATTTTTGAACTCGCGAACAAAATGTTTTATAAAATAAAAATAAGTATTTCACAGTAAATAAGCGCTAGAATGATAATTTTATAACAGTCTACATCAGTGGTTCTCAACCAGAGTGACATGTCACCCAAGGGTGACATGGAAGTAGTGTAGGGGTGACACAAAATCTTCACTGTAAAAAGAAAAAAATAAGAAAATAATTGATTTTAATAAAATCATATTATTACCACAACAGTCATGTAAATAGTATACCTTTATGTTAGTATCTTTATATTATTTAGATCTAATAAACACATGCAGTATTGTAATTAACGCGAAATCGCTGCATTATCGATTATTATATCGACTTCACCGGGGTCGTTAGTCAGTTATTTTACAGCCACTAGATATGTAGTATTATTATATACAAATCATTAAAAAAAAATTTCTCTTTTTTTTTTTTAATTTGCAAATATTAACTTTTTTGAATACGAATGTTTATTGAACCCTGCAACTCAATAAATTATAGGTGTATTTATTGTTTTGATGTTGTGGTAACGTGTTGTTTGATTCTAGTGGCAAAAGGTGACATGAATGAGAGTCACTGGTCTACATCAATACAATCAAACTGATATTAAAACTAAATTATATTAAACATTTAAATATTACAACAAATTATATGAAACATAATAAGTTTTGAATTATTGTTTGTGTTATTAAATACAGCTATATTTTTTATGAAATCATTTTTCTTAAAAAATATATTTCAAATAATTTCATGGAACCCTAATTAGGAACCTATACTCAATAGCAATAATAATTTTGAAATAAAATAAAAATGTTATTCAAATTCTTTGAAAGTATATTATGTTCAAAACTTAGAGTTATATACTAAGACCATAATATATTCTAAATATTCTTTTAGATATAATTAATAATTATAATTACATATATAATACGTCTCTAATAAAGTATAATTCTTATTATTATTTAACTCAAAATTAATAATGAACATAGAAATATTTAACATTTATTTTTGAAACATACACTTATAATTATTATTTTTATTGTTATATTTGATATTTTTAATGACAGACATTAAATGTATTGAAAAATCAAAATGAGTACCTTATTTTGAAAAAATATTCCAAATAAAAAATATATTTATGTTTAAACTCATTTAACTTCTGCTGTACATAAATAATATTGATTTCTTTTTTTTAATCTTGCTAAATTAATTGAGCAAATTCAGCATTAGAATTTTATACTGTTACATATGTTCTTATACACAGTAAATAAATGTTAAATATGTAAATAAAATAATAAAATAATTCAAAATATTTATATATTTTTTAAGTATTAACTTTTACAGTGTTAACTAATATTTTTTTAAATATTTAGCCCAATTAGAATTACAAGGTGTTGATGGTAAAATCCATCCAACAGGAATACTGCTAGATGTTGATGTTTTATTTTCGTCGACAACATATTTATCCCAGTCTCTCCTAGAAGTAAATAATATATTATAAGAAACATTAATAATTAGTTATAAGTATTTTACCTAATATTAAGGAATGTTTGTAAATCATTAATTATAATTTCGTGAGATTGAAAGTATGGTCCAAATAATATTTGATCCCATTCAGCCAATTTTTTTTGAATTTCAAATTCTCTCTTTTCATGTTTTTCAACTTCAGCTTTAGAAAGCATATTTTTCAATTCTTTTTCTTCATTTTCATAGACTGTTAATTTTTGCTGCCAGAGAAATTTTAATTTATCTATAAATAATATTAAATATAGTTAAATATAAATATTATAACTAAATATAATTAAATAAATATACTTAATGATTCTTCTAAAATTGCATTTTTTCTTTTGTTAATACAATTCTGAAGCCTACATTTTCTCAATTTCTCTAAAGTATCAAATAATGATATCTGATTTTTAGCATCATCAATTTTTCCTCTCACTCCTTTCAAAAAAATATTAGCTTCAATTTTAGTTTGGTTAACCTAAGATAATATTAAGTAATATACATAATAAATTATTTATTTATTAAATAATATTTTTTAAAAGTTACCCTTTTTTCTTTTAATATATTTTCCTTTAAGTTATTTTGCCAAACATCAATCTTTCTATTTATTTCTTTGATTTCATCTTTTTGCTGTGATTTAATTATTTTAAGATTCGATTTAAGCCTTTTTACTCTATCTCTTTTTTTTCTTCTTTTAGTTAGCATTTTATTTAATTCAGATACAGAACTATTTTCTAAATTAAAATTTTGTATTAATGCTTCAATCTGTTCCTGCAAAAGAACAAGAAATTAAATATATATTTTATGCTTTAAAATTGTATTCGTTATTATTATTCGTACTACATTATATTCATACTTGTATTGAAAATAAATTAAAACAAGCTTCATTCCATTCAGTTGTTGTCATAGATAATATATTTTGTTCCATAAGTTGTTTGTTATTGGTAATGTGCTCCAATAATATTTTACATTCTTTAACTTGTTTACTGATTTTACAAATCTGAAATCAAAGTTTAATAAATATATAACAAATTTACAAATATGCTGTTTACTTATTTACAGAAAATACCTTAACATTAGTTTGTTTTACTTTCTGTACTGTAATATCTTTATTTTTGTTAGCTAACCAATTTTCAATCCAAATAGTTGTTTCATCTTTATGAGGTTTTGGTAAAGGACATAAATACTTCAATATGTATTCTTCATCAATATTTTCCGGCAGAGGTGGAAATAAATTATTTGTATACTGATTATAATGATCTTGATGATTTAAATTACTAATATCATAACTATAAGATAGTGATGTTGGTCTTTGATTTAGTCTATTATACGAAGGCGCATATGGGCGATTGAAAGGTAATCCATAATTTAAATTATATATTGGTGTCCTATTTTGAATAGGAGTAAGAGAAGGCGGAGGTCGTGTTAACCAAAAATGGTTATCATTTACTTTAGAGAGACCGTTATTATGATTAATAAGGTTCGACATTTTTTAATAATAAAATAAAATTAAAAAAAAAGTAATGAATTTAATTTATGTTAAAAAATATTAATAAAATGTTAGTATAAATGTGCAAAATTAAAGAATGATAGGTGTATTATTGTGAAATTTCTTTTTCAGCTTCAGCCAAAAATTTTTGAGCATTTAAATAATCTTCTTCCGAACTTAACTCTTCACAATCAGCTATTACACTTTTCAAATCTTGGAATGCCGCTTTTAATCTTCTTTGAGTATCTGGTATCATCATCTGTGACTCTCTTAATACTTCCTCTTGTTTTTTAAGATTACTTTCATCAATGCCTGTTGAAAAAACAATTAAATATAAAAAAAATTAAATATTTATTTAATTAATTAAATTAATTTGATTTAGTTATTGAAAAATAGAATAAATGTAATACCTAAACAATATTTACATTGTTTAACTAAATAAACAAACTATACGAAAAAGTCCTTTTAAATAGGAAATATAATTATCAAAAAAAAAGTAAATTATGTAAAAAATACAATTAATAAAAGATATTTTATCCGAGAGTAGAATAAAACCAAATAAGTAGGTATTGATAACTTTTTAATATCCTTATTACACAATATAAGAAAATGATGTAGCAATTTATTAATTTTTAAACAGTAAAGGTATTAAATATTATATTTTTATTCATATATTGTTTTCTAAAATAAAAACTGATACAAATTGCGTCCGATTGTTAAAACAATATAAAAACAAAAGATATAATTATTATAGCAATTTGTTAGTTTATTAAAAAAGTAGACTAAATAAAATAAAATACTTTGTACTAAATTAACGATGCATGAACATAGGTACAAATTTGCTTTATTGGTAAGTTGTTTTCCAAATACTTATTGAATTAGCTATTGTCCAAACTGATAATAAAGATTATAGGTATAATAAATTATAATAAAGTTAATAACTAACTATGAAAATAATAGTAAAAAAAGATCATGTATTATGATAGTTGGATAACTCATTTATCAATAAAATTTTAATTTAGTCAGAAGTTCAAAATTATTATTAAATCTTTGATATACTATGATATGATAATATAACTATTTTATAAATTAAATTATCTTAATGATATATTATTGTAACCATTAGAAAAATAACAAAATTTAACTTACCAGATGCTTTCAATTTTTCAACCTTTTCTCGTTGTTGTTCTGTTTCTTTTATGTACATAAGTTTCTCTTTAGTCAATCTTTTAACGACCCCCGTTTTAATCTTTAGAGTTTTAATACGAGGATCGGCCATTACTGTTTTTTCTAAGGAAAAAAATTAGAAAATTCAAGTATTTTACTATCCGTAGTATCTAATTAAATGCACAAAGTTACGATTTAAAAAGCAACACTGTAAATCCATAACAATGAATCCCTTAAATGTAGTTTGATCAATATAAATTCTATACCTATTATGTTAGCAAACGCAGAGTGAATAAAAGAAACAAACAATGGCCAATAGGGTCAAATATTTTAGTTGGTGAAAAGCTTTTTATTCGAATGAAATTAAAACAGAAACAAAATTTCGAAATTTTACTATAACCTAAAAACTTAACGTAAATGGTTTTCAAATCCTGACGGCTAGATAGCGATAACTATTGTTGATTGTGTTAACAAACTGACGCAGTACAATTAATCTAACTATATCAAAAAAGGCGTAGTTCTATTAGTTCTACATTAACTGCATCACTTTTTGTCCAAAACTTTTACGAATCTACCGTATATTCTTCTATAGACTATACCTACTAATTTTCATAACTCGATAACCAATACCTAATTTATTTTGAATTTTGTTTGTTCATTTTATTACCATAAATCTAAGTTAATTTTGTTACTCATAGATTAACATAATGGATGTAGATAATAATTTTCCAGCAGCTAAGCGAATCATTACTGAAATCCAAAATATAATCAATAAAGACCCTAAACTGTGAGTAGAAACAAATTAAAATTGTGTGGAACGGATAAAATTATAGACAAATTCAGATAACATGTTTACAAATGTATTAATGGTTAATAGGAAAGAATTTGACTTAATCATTCAACCAGAAAATCAAAATAAATCGCCAGTGATTTATAGAGACCATTGTTTAGGTCTTGAATCATGGTGTGTTCGTCATGTATACAAATATGTTTACCAAAGACTGATTACCATAAGAAAACAATTAAAAAGACAAGGTAATACTCTTATATTTATTATTACTTAATATTGCATTAATATATTTTAAGTGTTAGTTGCTTCAATTTAATTAAATTACATTTTAATTAATTGTTTTTTGTTTAGCATCAAATGAAACAATAACATTGCTCACATCAGCTCTTTTAGTAAATCCAGAAGTTACAACATTTTGGAATATGAGAAGAGAGTTAATTATTGATGGATGTCTGAAACCAAATGATGAGCTAAAATTTTCTGCTATTGTTTTGACGTTTAAACCTAAATGTGCAGAAATATTCAATTATAGGAGATGGATTTTTTCTAGTATTTCAAAAAGTAAATAAATTTATAACTAAGCTTTTAATAATCTACTTAATATATTATAATAATTTCATCACAATTCATAATTATTGATTTAAAAAAAACATACTTTATATTTTAAAATAATTTGATTTTGAAATAAAATTTAAACAAAACTACATCACAATATAGTATATAGTTATACTTAAGATTATTATTATTAGAAAATGAGAAATTCACTGTAAACTTATTAATTTTATCTACCTATTGATAGTAAATTAAAGTAAAACTTAATTTTATCCAATATGAATTATTTATTGTTTTTTATTTTTATTTTTTTAGGTTTAAGCTCTACCGATATTGTGTTAAATGAATTATCTGTTGGACTAACAGCTGCATCTCGATATCCAAGTAATTACAATGCATGGAATCATTGTTTTTGGTTTGTCCAAAAATCACTGGAAAATGAAAACTTTTCCCTGATTGCTCAACAGTGGGAAATGAGTAAGGTTTGGTGCCGTGAACATGTATCTGATCATAGCTGTATGCAATACAGGCAACGGTTACTTAAATGTTTAGTTGCTGACAAAAGATGTTTACAACATCTTGAGTGTTGTGCATCTAAATCACTTTTAAAATTTTTTAATTCTGATGAAAGACCTAAACTTATGAGGCCATCAGAAGACTATTTTAGCGAAACTATTGGAGTTACTTTAGATGAATTATACTTTAATGAAGATCTAATTGTAACTTATCAAAGTCATGAATCTCTATGGAATCATCGAAGATTTTTATGTTATTTGTTAGTAAATATTTATAATACAGATTGTATCAAAGAAGTATTAATGAATAATGAAAAAAGAATTTGTACTAATTTATTAAAAGGCAATGAACTATATGTTAAGAAACATGTTTTATGGTTTCAAACAGCATTATGCATTCCTATCAAATTACCATAAGTATAACTATAATAATTGTTAAATAAACTTTTTTTTCACAGAACTATTATTTATATAATTATTAATAGTTCTCAAGTATATAAAAGAATAACATTTTATTGGATTATATACAAATTAAAAATATATATTTAAACCTATTTTTAGTATAGGCGTTTCATTTTCAATTTCTTAAATAAATGTGACAAAACATGAGTGAGATATTAATTTGTAATTTAATACTATAGTTGTAATAACTTTGGTTATGTTTATATTTATTTTGATTATTTATTGTTAGTTTTATTTTTGTGCCAATGAATAAATGTTAAAGTTTTATATTGTCTTAGAAAATTATTTTAGTATTATTTTTTAATTTCATTTTCAATATAATGAAATTTTAGTTTCACATATTACTTGAAATCAGAAATTTATGTGGTTTTTTTTTTAGAGTTTTGAAATATTGTTAAAACATGTCTTAATTGACATAAATAATCAAACTATCCTGCAAAATAATATGCGGTACATCAACTAAAACTTGCTTGCACTATTTATTCCTCTACTTTCCTACCATTTGTAAGTTACTAGACCAGAGTGATTAGTATACATGACAGTAGTTGTACATTTTCTCATTTTTAGTAAATAAATGACGAATAATTATAACAAAATATAAAATTAATTTTTTTTAAAAAATAATTAGCTCTATACATTTATACGTTAGGATTTACAAATTTTGTGTTTCTAAAATTCAAAATCTAGTAACTCATAGTCATAAAATAACAAATAGAACCCTAACTTGATGCTTCAAAAAATAAAAGTATAGTAAATTTACAAATAAAGGGAAATGTAAAATGCCATCTTTTTAATGGTAATGTTCAAGACAAAGAGTATAAAAAGATAAATATTTTAAATGTGAATGAAAACTGATTTATCTTATGTACATCAATGCAACTTAAATTATTAAAATAAAAATTGTTATATTTAAAAATTTATTTATATTTCCTTTGGTTACACCATAACTTGTGAACAGGAGACTTTCTAAACATTTTCTTTCTACAAACTTTGTCCAAACAATTGCGAATACAAAAAAAAATCAATAAAGCTGTTCTCAAATTATGGAGTGATCAAAGGATTGGGATTTATTTTTATATATACAGATAATTCTTAAAGTGTAATTTAATGAATATTTACATCATGTTAATAATGTTTATCATACACATGCTAGATTTTCTAATAAAACATTTTTCACTATCCACAGTTTGATCATATTATATAGTAGAAAAAATGAAAAAAAGACTAACAAAGGTCATCCCAATCTTGTTTGTTAAGCTGCTGGTTGTAAAAACTAATAATTTAAAACATCATAATTCATAATAAAACATTTTTAAAAAATAAACAAATATTAATAAATAAATTTTTATTAATTAAGTACTACATCTAAATTTAAACAAGATAACTAAGGTTTTATATTCAAACCATAAATTTAACAAATTTTTATTTTTATTACAAAATAATTAAGACTAGATGATCTTAGAGTTCTCTATTACAATGTATCATAACTTTGATCGGATCTCCTTTTCCGGTTTCAGCTGTACAAAAAGCTTCCAATGATTCTTCAATTTTAAAATGATGAGTTATTAATGGTTTCAAGTCCACTTGGCATGAATCAATCAAAGACAAAGCATCTTGATAACTGAAATAAAAATAAAAATATTTATATTTATAACAAAATAATAAAATATTTTGTATAATTCACTCATTAGCATAGCGAAAGACTCCTCTAATGTCTACTTCTCGCGATAATGCATTAAATAATGGTAATTCAACATTATGTGATGCTCCCATTCCAACAATCGTCAATACTCCTCCTGATTTTGTTAACTAAAACAAACATCCATAAATATAGTAATATATTATGTTAATAAACTTATTAAGTATGATTACCATCACAAATAAATATTAGATGATTGTTCAAAAATATAAGTAAAACAACCACCAATAATTTATTTTAAGTATTTATTATATTATCAACATATACAATGTGTTAAATTAAACGTGGCTTAAAACTTGAAAAAAATAAAAATGTAAGGATTGAATTATTATAAAATGTTCTGTTCTTTATGATAAGTTTTAACTATAGTGCAATACTAACATAATTTCAAGTATATTTACTTCAATTCCCATTTTAATGGTTTGTTGGAATCCACTACAATCAATTGTAACATCAGGAAGTTCATTGTTCATCTCAGTTCTTATATTTTCTATTGCTTTTTCATCTGAATCATCCCTATTAACTTTGATTACTTTAAAAGCTCCCATCTTTTTAGCTACATTTAATCGGAATTCTATTAAATCTGTAATAAAAATTTTTGAAGCTCCCATTGCTTTTGCAGTTGCCAATGTAACCAGACCAATTGGCCCAGCCCCTAAAATTAGTACTGAACAACCAACTTTAACACCTCCTCTTTTGCAAGCATGAACTCCAACTGATAGTGGTTCTAATAAAGCACCTTCTTCTAAAGTCATATGCTTAGGTAATCTAGAAAATATACAAATAGACAGCATTTAAATTTAAAAATTAATATTTAACATATTTTGTTTACTAAAAAATATGAATATTAATAGTAAATTATAATTTTTAGAATATATATAATTAACCAACCACATTTTATCCATTATGAACTTCAAAGTTTATGTCTTACTTATAACAAAAATCAGCAGCATGAACATAATAACGAGTTAAATTCCCATCAACTGGTGGTGTAGCACAAAATTTCATATCAGGACATAAATTGTACTTGCCACTTTTACAAAACTGGCACATACGACATGAAACACCTGGTTCAATAGCTACTCGATCTCCTATTATAAATATGGTATATTTTTTCAATTTTAAAAGCCTTGTGAAATTATAATTTATTTAATTAATTTATACTTACCAACACTGAGATTTTTTACACCTTTCCCAAGTTTGACAACAACTCCACTAGCTTCATGCCCTATAACCATGGGTTTTTGAACAACAAAATTACCAATACTTCCATGAACTAAGTAATGCACATCTGAACCACATATTCCAACACATTGAATACTTAACAACACTTCTATAATAATAATTAGGATATTTCATTATTAAGCAGAGAATGGAATTATTTATATTACCATTCAACCCAGGTTCTAGTATAGGACGTTGTTCCTTGAAAAAAAAAAAATCAAATAAAATTATTAAAAACTTTAGACATTTTAAAATTAGGACAGTGAAATACTAACGAGTCGTAAATCTCTTATGCCATAGAGTACTGCAGTCAAATTATTTTGTTCATTTTTATTTTCAGTAATGTTACTGTCATACTCATTACAGGCCATATTAGCTATAAGTTTAAATATAAAATCTTTCTTATTATAATTACAGTAGAATTCGTTTAAGACTCGCTCGATACGATTTCCTGCGTAATATGCTCATTTTCATGAGTCCCTTGATTTTGAAAGAGGTTAACATGTAAATGACTCTGTATAATACACTCTGTCAGTGATGTTACGTAGTATAAAATTAATAATCACAATATCGAATCAATGATTTTCAAAATCTAGAAATTTCTTGGGTATACAGAAATTGATGATGATATCGCTACGAATAGCCTAAGTATTGATCAGATAATTATTGGCATTTCATCTGCTGATGTCAGTACTATAGAGAAAGGAAGCAAAAAGGAGTTAGAGGATGATACAACACAAATTCTTCCCATAACAAATCACACGATTATGTACACGAACTAAGACGATTAATTTCATCTTTTGACAATACAGAAAAAACATTACAAAACCTTAATAATAAGTATATATGTATTAGTAAACTTGTAATAATATAAAAAAAAATTCGTAATTATATGTACAATTTTTATTTATCAATTTTCAGGTTTTTCCGCATAATACGATTTCTACGTTTTTTTTTACCTGGTAGATTGAAAAGCGTCTTAAACGGATTCTACTGTAATAGTTTGTAAAAATTAAATTTGAGTTCAACTATTTAAATGAGAATATTTTTATAAAACTATGATTTTCTAATTGCTGTCAAATATTCATCAGTTTAATTATAAATTAACTGACGTAGTTAGACGTTTAAATTAAATTAATAATTATTACACTAAAGAAATGTTTTTGGCTTAGATCATATATATATATGATCTAAGGTTTTTGGTAATAACAAATCAATATTAATATTATTAAATGGTTAACACGTTGATACATACTCCAATAAACTGATAATGTGAAATATTATATATAATAGAATTTTTTAGAACACGAATGTTAAATTTTCACTACAATATTAACGATTTAACGTTTTGTTATTACTGGGTATTTATATTTGATAATCAACATTCTTTAGCACGGTCTTGGACCTTGTTCCATAGTATGAAATAAATGTAATTTAATTGTAAACAATACAAAAATTATAAATTTGAGCTATCATAAATAAGGATAAGAATAAGGTTATCTGATTGAAGATTACTATGATTATGATATAGAATAGCTGTGTAGGTATCTATATATTTATATTTATTCTTATAGTAAGAACATTAAACGTATATGGACAAAATGTAAACAGAACCTAATTAAGTGATTCATCAAAATGAACTCATAGCTTAGAAGATAAATTATCACATAATTGATAGACATAACACATAATTTCTATGCTATGGTCATATATCATTATTCTGTGATAATAAGACCATTACTGTTATTTATGATACTATACATAAAATACTTATGTAAATTAGTTATCTTATTGTTCGCTAATGTTAAAACAACTTCTATGTCTGAGTTTAATTTTTGCTAAGAAATTTCTAAACATTTGAATTCCTTTTGAAATATTTTTCCAAAACTCAAAAAATGTTTCTTACAAATCAAAACTCTATTTTTAAATTTCATATTATCTTATAGATTTCTAAATAGTATAGGATTATGGCCAAACTAATATATATTTGTAATTCAAATTTGTAGCAATATTTTGTATAGGTCTTCATACATACATATATATATATATATATACATACATTCATAGATACATTAAGAAATAAAAGTATTTAAATTATTTCATTAAAATTATATACTTCATATATCTATGCTAAGGAATAAAACTACCATAAATAACTTTAAAAACATATACTTACAAGAACAATTATTTATTTTTAGTAACTAGTAGATAATTACTTTAAATAATAATTTAAGAAATTATAAATTATATAATAAAAACTATTTAATGAATACTACACTAGTATGTAATGTTTGTATGCAACAAAGCACAATTACAAATAGATTTAATTTAAAAGAAATTAACATAAGATTTTATTGTTAGTATCGATAATTTTTAAATCTTTTGAGCTGAATGTGTTTGCAATATTATTAGTAGGAGAAAAAAATGTTGTTAAAGTATTATTAAAAACATATCTATATAAATAAACATTAAATTATATAAATTTAATATTATTTTTAAATTATATTATAATTTATAAAATACAAGTGTTGAATTAGTAATATAACTTAACTAGTTTCTACCAACTACTTCTGAGTTTGCTTTAAATAACAAATAAATTAATAATATTAGTATAAAAGTATAATGTATAATATTGAGCATTTAAAATAGTTATTACTTATAATTGTCTTATAAAAACACGAACAAATTAATATCATACTTAAATATACCTGGAATTCAATAAGAAGGAAATTACAATAAACTTTATACTAAAAATAACAATGAATAAATTGGTTCAAAATTTATATAACGTTAAAAACAATATTCAACCATAAAAAATGAGTTTAAGGTCATGTAATATATAGTATAGAAATGTTATATTTCCATTTATTTTGTGACAATACAGTACATAATAGATAAAGAAAAAATAAATATCAATTGGTACAACATTTTATATTAGAATTATTTATTTTTACATTATTGGGACCTTCTTCTGGATCAATTTCAAGTTTTATATTGGTTGGTCGTTTTGAACTTTCTACCATTTCTATTAGGTTTCGGCCAATATTTGTAAATAAATCTTGAATACCTGAAAATAAATTTAATTATTATACATACAAATTTAAATTGTTTTATTTTAAATATTTTGTTTCTAACTTAATAAATGAAAATGTAGATATCTCATTGAACAAACATTTTTAAAAATGTAATCCAAGATTTATAAATACATGTTATACTGTCTTTACATATTTAACATTATAATAGGCATTTTGACAAACATTTTGTACACAAATTAATTACTTATTATCGGAAACATTTTAAACATTAATAGGTATTAATTAATTTTTTATTCTCAATACATTAAAAAATATTCATGTTTTCAATATAAAAATAAACTGAGAAAATTTAATATAAAAAAAAAACTATAAATATTACTGTAAAAAATTGATTGAATTTTACCAGAATTTGAATAAACACTAGTTTCCCAATAATGAGCATCAACAGAAGTAGCAAATTCTTTAGCTTCTTCATATGTAATGATTCTAGAATCAACTAAATCAGTTTTGTTGCCAACTACATAATAAACCACAGGTGTATCTGTATTCTTTTTTACTTCTAAAATTAATACAAAAATTAAGCTGTTTATTATTTAATTTATAAGACATATGTATATATTTTGGACAGATATAATAATTTTAAAATTACCATTTATCCAGCTTTTAACCTGTCTAAATGATTCTCTATCTGATACATCAAAAACAACAGCAATTGCATCTGAATTTCTGTAATACATTGGTACTAAACTACGAAACCGTTCTTGTCCAGCTGTATCCCATACCTTAATATAAACAATAATAATATTTTTTACATTTTTTACCAGCTGTATCCCATACCTTAATATAAATAATATTAATATTTATTACATTAAAATTGTAACAGGGCTGGCCCAAATAAAAATAGTGCACTAGGCAAAATCAAATTGCTACCTTTAAAAAAAAAATTATAGCTCTTATTTTAATATAACCCGTCCCCTATTTTTTATGTGATACATCTACATACAATTTTTTTTAATTTTTTAGTTTTATGTATAAAATTATATGTAAAAAGACTTAAAAATTATTTCTATAATTATTACTCAAAACCTAACATGGAAGTGATTGTGAGGTTATTTATATTTTTGAAATCATTGAAAACGCCCAGCGTAAGCCATAATATAAAGTAATATAATAATTTTAGACAATATTATTTTATTATATAGGTAAGTGGTTTTTACAAATGAATTAATTTAAATATTTTTCTTAGAAAACACCGATAGAACTCAAAAAAAAATGTACGAGTCAATTTTGAAAATGTCGCCCTAGGCAAGTGCCTAGCTCGGTTATACCTTGAGCCGGCCCTGATTGTAAAATTAGAAGAAATAATAATACAATGAGTAATGAGTCTTAAAAAATTTCAATATTACTTTTAAAGTAATTGTATAGTCTCTTATAGTAACTTTAGCATACATAAATGAAGCACCAATTGTTGCTTCACATTCCTTTCTATAGTCTCCTTTTATATATCTTGTAATTATACTTGATTTACCAACTCCTGGAATATATGTAGACATAAAATATAATAAATTACAATAATTATGGCCATAAATAAACTTATATTAAGTTAGTAATGTATTATTATTAGACACAATATGTCTGAAAAATTCCCAAATTAAATTTTGTTAGAGAATATAAATAGCATTATTGCTCATACGACTAATGCTTCATAGATTTATTGAATATGCGTACAAAATATTGGCATGTTTAATTACATCAGTCTTGAGTTGTTTTAGGCTATGTCTGGTGTTTTTGTGGTACTTTGTTACGAGCTTGCAAAATGGAACAAAGAAGCGCAATACAATTTTGTGGGAGACTTTAAAAATTTTTTATAGAAACTTATTCTATGATACAGTAAGCTTTCAGTGATGGAACTGTATTTCCTACTAGTATGTATAGTGAAAAAGATTTAAAAATGTTTAGTTTGGGAAATTTTCAGACATATTGTGTATACAATATGTTTTAATTTTTAATTTTGTTACTGACAATAATTAATAAACATAATTTAACAATTACTAACCAAAAATAATAATAAAAAAGTTAAAAATAATTCTATTCATAAATTTACTTTTATTTATTTATTTAATTATTATTATTTAATAAAGCAATGCCCAAGGGGCAAAGAGTACAGATAATATAAATAATTGAAAGAAAATATTACATTATATTGTAATAAAATATTAAAATATGCAATCTTGGATAAAATACTATACTAGGCAATACTTAAGAATTAATAAGATGTTAAATATTTGATTACATTGTAAAATGAGAACAATCTTTATTATTTGGCTAGGTAAAAAAAAAAAACTTATTTCTTTATATTCTATTATCATTCAATTGACTGATACCCAAATTAAAAATCTATTATACAGGTGAAGATAATGGTTTAGTTTGTAAGAAGAAATTCTATTAATTTTATTAAAATTACTAATAATAAAAAAAATTATTACTAGATTTTTAAAATTAATAATATTACAAAGAGAAAATGATAGAACTACTTGATACCAGTTATTAAGACCCAATGGCAAGTAATATTACAACACTTAAGTCATTGAAAGAAATATATATAAAGAAAATAATATAATTCACATTATAAGAGTAAATGTTTATAATTTAAAAAAACATTTTTATTTACTGTAAAAAACACTGCAAATAAAAATTTGATAAAAAAATATATGAATTACATAACAAAAATTTTAAATGGAACATGAATGAACTAAAATAATTAATTTAATTTTAAAAATAAATATACTTAATGTTGAATTTATTTTCCTTAAAATTCAAGAAAAAAGTGAATATGTATATTAAAAAAATATGGCTTCTATTATAGAGCATTTTCATTGGCTATCAAAAATATATACTATTAACATAACTCATAAATTAAAAATAAAAACCTATTTTACTAAAAATATTGAATAAAACTAAAAATCTAATACATAGGTACACTAAAAATCTTTCATACAACAGATATAAGAAATTATATTTCTCTGACTCTTTGTAGTGTTTCTATATGGTTATGTGAGTCTAGTGAGTTAAGTAATTAATACTATAGCTATAACCAGAGCTCGGAACTTATAGCACTTAAAATCATTAAAATAACCGCTTAAAAACATCATTATAAAAACTAAAATAAGCATTTAAAAAATTTAAAATTAAGCAAAAATATTTATTAAAAAAAAAAACTACAATATTCTAGCTAAAAAAATCAAACAAAATAAAAATAAATCTACACTTTTAAGACTTTAAGGATTTTATGGATTTCCTAAGGGATTTTCTAAAAAATAATATGTAAATTGTTCTCTCTGTTCTTGATCATTCTGACGTTTGACACTCGGTTCTATTTTCAACATTGGAATATTTTTGTTAACCATATAATTAACCATACAATGATGTCTTGGACGGGGAAGAACTACATGACAACGTAGATAAGAATTATTTTTAAATTTTAATTCTATCAAAAACGATTTTGCAAGAAAAAACTATAAATACGTAAAAAAAACTAATCAAATAAGCAAAAATAATCAGAAAAACTGGAAATAAACATTTTTTTGAAAAATTGCTGAAAAAAGCAAAAAAAGGCACTTTCAAATTTCATAATTGTATGTGTTATAGGCTTGACATACACTTCTATAGCACTCTGCTACAATCAATAAAAATAAGCAAATGCTTTAACTCCCGGGCCCTGGTTATAACACAATATAGATTCTATTCTGTAGTAAAAAAGAATTCGTGGTGAGAACGAAAAAATTATTTTTTAACTTACCTTGAGAACCCATAAAAACTAATTTCGCTGTTAATCTCTTCATATTTTCAGTATATATTTTGTAGGTATTAAAAACTATTTGTGTTTAACCGTGTTTCCTCTACGTCGTTTTTAAATCTGAGTTTGAAAAAAAAAAACTATTCATGAAAATATAAATAAAGTGTACTTATTCTAAACATTTGAACGCTAAACACAATTCTAATTAACTATAGCCATAACATAATTACACAGCGATCATATCGAATGTTCATACCACAAACTAAACAATAAATACTCAAATAATTGATAGTTAATAAAAATAATTGTAAGCGTCTAATCCATACGAGTGAATAATTCAATAGTTTGTATTAATATTACATAATATCACATTGAAACGAGCGCGTGCGACGGCCGACGATGTCACAACTCGTGGATCAAGACCATTTTACTGGATACCGGTTGCCGAACACCACGGTTATCACCTCTGACCGAGCACAGTATACAACGAGGACTGAGCCACCTAGGAGTCTGGGTAATCTTATTGGACATCGAACCGGTAGACACGTAACGAAAATAAACAAGCACGCAACTCTGATGCGCACTGCTCTGACGTCACGCGAGTATTAATATTTCAGCATTAATTCCATATCGGTACTTCAAATAAGTAAAAGATAATAATAATGTTTAGTCAGGAAAATCGAAATAAATGTCCATCCAGTGGTCTGCTATCCATTGACTCGTTAAGCGACCGTGTCGCCAATCCGATAAAAGACATTTTTATTTTATCCATTAATGAGACCGGATTAAGAAGGGGGGTCTAGCCGGGGCCCTCTTGAGTACCAAAGTGAAAGGGACCCGAACAATTTTAAGCCGAAACACATTTTTTATCATACTAAAATTAGTAGTTTTATAGACATAAATTGTATATACCTATTAATTTTATAATGCAATCGACAATTTATGAAATAGTTAAAAATATGTATCGTTCTGCGAACGTAGCAAGCAACTTTGTAAAGCATGTTTTGTCAAAAGGGCCCATATAAAATTTCAGCCCCTGGGTCCAATAGATGTTTAGTCCGGTCTTTTGATCATCATATACCTACTGCACTCCTGCACACGGTTATAGTCTACCGAACTTCAAAAGGTATGCGAGGCAGTGACGAATTTTAGGGGGGGGGGGGGTGAATGGGACAAATGCCCCAAGCGAAAATTTTATGGCAGCCACAAAATATTCTAACTTTTTATTGATGTGTTCATGACTATTTTAATTTTCACACCTTTTTCGGTATTATTAAGTATTTTAAAAAATATTGTTAAGCATCTAATAAGAAATTAAAAAAATTATACTATACCTAATTAATTTTATAAAATATTGATTGTTAACAGTTATATATTGTCTTATATAAATAGTGCTTGATTCAAAACACTCACAAAACTCTAGTGAATCTAAATCTGAAGTTGAGGTTTCTAGTTTTTGCTCTAATGTTCCTATAGGTAAATCATGTATAAAATATAATATAATATTATATTCCTCGCTTAATTTGATGCATTACAATTTTTGTAGATAACTGTGATCAGAAATCAAATTATATAGATCAAGATGCAGTTAACTCATTGTTATCAAAGAAAACAATCATATGATGAACTTATTCATCAATACCAGTTTTTGATTTCTTTAATCACTATAACCAGGGCCGGATTGGGTAGTCTCGGCCCTTCGAGAAGTATCGTTCAACCGGCCCATATTTTACTGTTAATAGTGCCTAATAACCAGGGCCTGATTTAGGCATTTTGTGGCTTTAGGCAAAATAAAATATGTGGCCGCTTATTATCAACAGTAGCATATATAGCCATAGCCCCCCTCCACAAATGAGTTGTATAAAACAAAATAAATTTTTTTTACAATTTAGTATTTACTTATACATTTTCACAAACATAATTATAAAGTTATACATTTTTTTATCTCAAATTTAACCGTTCACTACTCGCTGATAAACAACATGTCTTTCGCCCAGGACGGTCTACGGTCACATGTAACATCACTTTGTGTAATTATATATTTGGTTCTTTTAATGTAGGTACTCAGGTTGATGTTATATACACCGATTTTTCCAAGGCATTTGACTCTGTTAACCACATACTTCGATCTTCTGGTTTTGGCGAACCTCTTCTGTCTTGGTTTGAATCTTTCTTAACTAATAGGCCTCAGTGGGTAAAGCTGTTCGATGTTAGATCTGAACCCTTTATTGCCACTTTGGGTGTGCCCCAAGGAGGTCATCTCTCACCATTACTCTTTTCCCTTTTTGTCAATAATGCTCAATCGGTACTACACCATAGCCGTCTGTTATGTTTCGCAGATGATATGAAATTGTACAAGCTTATTAGAACCTCGGAAGACTGTTCACTTCTCCAGAGTGATCTTGACAGGTTTGTCACTTGGAGTGAATCCTTAGGCCTGAATCTCAACATTGCTAAATGTCATTCGATGTCCTTCACCAGAAATCGGTCTCCTATAATCTATACCTACTTAATAAATGGAGCTGGAGTTTCATCTGTTGAAACTATACGCGACTTAGGTTTTATATTCACGCCCTCTCTTTCTCCGCGCTCACATAAAACTAGCATTGTATGTAAAGCCTATAAGTTACTTGGATTCATTAGAAGAGTTTCAAGTGAATTTAAATTTACTAACTCACTCAAATCTTTCTACTGCGCTCTCGTCAGACCAATTCTTGAATATGGTTCAGTGGTTTGGGATCCGCATTGTACAGTCGTTGCCAGATAAATTGAGACAACGGCGGCGGCGCGATAACGGAAAACCAGTGGTCCTCCGTATTTCAATATTATTACTGAAAATATATCAATAAACCAACTATTGTTACAAAAAATATTTTACGATATTAATTTAAAATCATATATTCCAATAATAATTTTTTATTTAAGAACAAAAAGTAGAAATTGTAAAATAATATAATTAATATAATAATAATACATAATATTAATAATATGATGAAATAATAACAACATCTATATGCATTATTATAAACAAATATTGTTGATACGACTGGAGTGCTTGTGCGGTCAAAACACACCGGGTTAGGTTAGTTGTTTTTAGCAGTGTAGGGCAACCAGAACGGGAGAGAGAACAGAAAATTCTGCAGACAATTTTTTGCACTAAGCCGGGTTCGAACTGGTAACTGCACGCGTCGTAGCTAACTGTGAGACCTTTGCACCACACTATCAGCGACTAGTTTGGGCTACACTTAATGAAAAGCGCCGCCGCCGCCGTCTCAATTTATCTGGCAACGACTGTACTGATCTTTGTCGTCAATTTGAGGGTGTCCAAAGGAAATTCCTCAATTACGCAAACTACTCATTGAAAATTTCTTGCCCCCAGCATGATTATTCCCCTGTCCTATCTAGGCTCAACCTATCCACATTAGCTAGCCGTCGATATTCTCAAAATATTTTCTTCCTCATTAAACTTATTTCTTTGGATATCGACGCTCTAACACTTCTCTCATTAATTAATTTTAGAGTGCCTGCGCGTTTTACTCGCAACTCGATTCCATTTCACGTCCCTTTCTGTTCAACTAATTAAATGTATAATGAACCTATAAATCGCATGGTAAGAATAGCAAATGAGGATCCCCACTTCATTAGTATATAAGTTATTTTAGTTTATAATTATTATTTAAAACTGTTTCTAATAATTTGTCGTATTGAGAATATTATTATATTATCATGTTATATGTACCATTTTACTTGGGCGCAAGCCCGTTTATATGTAAAAGTAAAATAAAAAATAAAATAAAATAAAATAAATTGTATATCTTCAAGTAATTGTTCAACAGAAAGATCATTTTCTATATTAAAAAGCGTCAAAACTTATTTAAGATCAACAATGGGAAAAAATCGTCTCAATTCATTCTCAAAAGTCAAGAAAAAAATTATAATTATCGATAATTTTAATATATATAATTAATAATATATTTATTCTAATAAAAAACTATATATTGTTAATCATTGTGCATACAATAAGTGTTGATTCCGTTTTCTATATTTAATATATCTGTATATATAAAAATTTCGTGTCACGATGTATGTTCACGATAATCTCCGAAACTACTGAACCGATTTTGATGAAATTTTTTACACCGTGTGTAATTTGGTCCAACTTAAAATATAGGATAGTTTTTTTTCAAATTTTTTAATATTTTAAATATTTTAATTAACTTTTTAATAAATGTGTATAATTGCATGGTGTATTTCGGGTTTTCCCGTGACCGACCGCGACAGTATCTATATAGCTACCTGTAATCTGACCTTTTTTCTATTGTTTGTGTTTTATCGTCGGCGGTGTGTAGATATGAATTGTTCCGAGAATTATATAACTAACCTAACCTATGGTTTTTATCTTAATATTATTTTTTGCATTACAATTATTGTAATAAATATATAGGATAGTTTTTATCTCAATATTATTTTTTGCATTGCAATTGTTGTAATGAAGAAAGTTATAGAATTTTCGAGAAATGTTCAAAGGTATAAAATGCGAAGTTCGGTACGACGTAAATTCAGAAAATATATATGTTGGTTTGTACTTAATTTCAACATTTAGATACTTTACCTATTACTTTTAAATTTTCTCATAAATAATAACACTAATACATGGCCTACGAAAATGCCAAAAAACCAACTAATACGCGGGCAACGCCGTGTCGGGACAGCTAGTATAATATATATATAAGTGAATATAAGGTTAACGTTAGGATATGTATTACTATAAAATGATCTAATAAAATATCGCAAAACGATTGAATCTGATTTTTATGATTTGTTTCTTAAAATTAATTTTTTTATTGCTTAACTTTGAATTTATTTATATTTTTTTTTTTTTTTTTTTTTTTGGTAAGGTAAAAGGCGGAAAAATTATTTTGTCCTGGGGCGCGAATATATTAAATGGGGTTCTAAGCAAGAGTATGGCCAACTATATCTACGCCAGAGGCACACAATTATATAAAAGTCTTGTTTTTATTCTACCTATAAGACGAAAATTTTCCGTTATATTTTTTGAAGTGTGTATATAGATTTTATCTTATTGTACACACTACGTGTGAATTCAATGATGAAATTATGAAATGAGCACAAGGAAATTTATAGAGAAAATTTCATACGAAGAAATAAATTGTACTTAAAAAAACATTAGTAAAATTAAAGGTTAAAAATACATCATCATATCAAATTTTTAATCGGTTAAAAGGTGTTTTTTATATGTTTGAAAGGGGTGCTAGCGAGTCTTCCTACGCTACTGATGTGAGAATAAAAACTTAAAAGCGTTTTGAATGGGATTTAGATTTTTTTTTTCATGGGACAGATTTTTAAAATGTAATAAAGTAAAAAATTGGAATATTGATGTCCCGCGTTTTTGGAGGATTTGAGAAATAGGACATACGCGTTCCGATAAAAGTTAAAATGTTATGCGGGACAAATATGTTAAAAATCTGGAATATCTTGCCAAATCGGGATGTATCTAAACTAGTGATGGGTAAAAGACTATTTGTTACTACCAACTATTAGTCACTTTTCATTACGTACTACTGATTAATTATTCGACTAAAAACTAGAAAATAATCATACAGGTGAATATATTAGTTACAGTGCTCAACTTGGAAAAATTAAAGAAGGGGGCTCTTTTTACTTGAAAATTAGTTGGGGTACTCCGTCCCTCTACGTCCCCCTCAAGACGAGCACTGATCATACATAATAAAATATATTTAATGAATGGGGAATTATGCACAAAATTATAATGATTGTAACAGATTCCGGGGCTAATATTAAATCTGCTATAAACAAATTACGAATACCATACATAGGTACTTACATTGTACAGCACACATGTTACATTTAATTGTTACCTAAGCACTAATATTTAGAAGTCCTTATGGTGACAATGAAAAATTAAAACTTATTAAATCTTAAAATTTAAATCATTTCTGAAGAAGTGCCCTTCCTTTGTGACACATTAGAAAAAAAATAAAATGTGAAATGGCATATTGGAAATTGGCCGATAAATTATTACAATTAGGAGTTCCAAAATTAAAATAAGACGTATCAACAAGATGGAATAATAGTCTATTGATGCTAGAACAATTGTTCAAATTAAAAGAACCTTTGACCTATGCTATGTTTTCCCTAAATGATAGACCTATAATATTAAATGCTCATGAATGGGAAAAAATGACAAGATATTATCCCAATATTTAAACCTTTTGAATTAAGGACAACCGAATTATCAGGAAAGGACTATCTGACATTGACAATTAATTAATTAATAATAATAATAATAATTAGTTAATGAGTAAGAGATAAATAAGAAATTTAGATCATAGTTAATCATAGGTATTAACTGGGAGGGAGAGGGGGCAACTGTCCCCAACTAAAAATACGTAATATTCAATGTCAAAAGGGTTAAGGCCCATATAACTAATTAAAATAAAATATTTCTGAAATCAAAACCTGATGAGGATACTATAATTTCATCAAAGGAACCATTATCCAACACCTATGAAAGCAAATCATGAAAAATGTCAAATTGACATAAAAGTAAAAGAATTATCTTTGATTGAATCTAGTAATAATGGTAGTGAATTACTACCATTATTACTAGATTATTATAACCATCACTACAAGTGATGCATATACTCATTATAAATCAAATATTGCATCTTCAATTCAAAATCGATAATTTTCTGATGGGATCAAAATTTCAAATACTACACATTTTTTACATGATCCTTTATCTCATAACAGTATTTTTGTAAATCCATCAAATTTCCAAAAGTAAAAAGTATGGAGAAAAAAGACTGGAAGATATTATAAGACAATGTATGAAAAATATTGATACGAAGATCCGTAGTGCATGTGATTTTATTTGTGGTAATATAAAAATGCATATTCATTTTTTATTAATTTATTTTTAGAAAACTATAAAAGACACTAACTCACATTTATTACGTGATGGAGGTCTAAGATTAAAACAAGCTATTAAAAAATAAGAGAATGCATTAAAAGATACTAAAATATAATTAGATAATTTACTTGAAAAATTAAAAAATTCCCAGGTATATAGTTATTTTTAGTTATAAAATCATATGTAAATTCAATAAAAAGCAAAAAGTATACATTTTTACTTTAATTTTTGGGAATAATATGTAGTGTTGATAAAAGTACCATCTTAAGTAATCAAGATCAATTTATCATTATTTGAGTTAAATTTTTTTTAAATAATAAGTAAAAAAGATATAATGTCAAAACTAGTCGTTACTGTTGTTTTGATTGGATTTACGTTGAGGTTTTTTTATTTATTTAATACTGTTTTATTAAATTTATACATATTATTTATATAAAATATTAAGATAAAATTAACTCATTAGTTTGTCAATATTAAAATTAATTAAATTATTGTATTTTGAAATTTTCACAGATGAATTTTCAAACCATTTAAATGAGCCAAAATTACCACTATCACTTGGTTTAAATCCTCCAAAATAATTTAATTTTAATAACACACTTACAAAAAAAAAAAGCTACTGCTGCTACTATTGATATTAAGGTCATGGGTGACAAAGGTATTCTTAGTATATTATTTATTAAAAATAATAAAAACGATTTGATTAATGTAAATGGCCTTTTTTTTTTCTAGCTTTGTATTTATCGCACACAACAAACAATGACATTAGATATACACAAAGTATATATAATTCATTAAAAATATGTTCAACTACTGATATGTTGATTAATGATCCTCTTGGACTGAATGTAGAATTTATGGAACACCAAAAATATGCTCAATACTCCATGTATTTATATATATATTTTTAAATTATAGCTTTTAAATGTAGCTATAAATACAATTTCATTTACACTTAATAGTGTTGTTTATCAATTAATAGACATTTTTCTCAAACTCATTATTCGTCTTTTTCCTTATTTCTGTGTTTAGGTTGATAACCAAACGAACTGTTGGAACTGTACTTGGAATTATATAATCTAAAAAATATTAAAAATAAATGTATAAACTTAACAAAATAATAAGGAATATTTACCATTTCAACTATAATAATTTTGACTACAGCTTGTTGTAAATTCCATTGATATTTATATATATATATATATATGTGTGTGTGTGTTTTTGGAGTATTTGAGTGAAGGTTTGAATTTTTTTTTTGAGTCTATAAACAATGATAGACATACTTTTATTACTTTTTGAATATTTTCACCTTAATGAACGTAGTTGTCTATACCAACCCAGTAAAATTATGTTTATCTTCATACAACTCATAATTATTTCCAAATCGGCGTTTATTTATTCATTCCTTCCCGTGACATATTTTGCTAGAATTGCCCATTTGAAGTTTTTTCATCAATATTTTATGGAATTATTACTGCTTTTTTATTTTTGATATCAAGTGGTAGAGGTAAATATAATAATCTATCCATTGGTATTTATTGACAAACACCCAATGACACCCCATCAAAAGTTTCTTAGGAAAGCCACTACCTTTATCTTGATATACATCTTCCTTGGCTAATATAATCTCAAATAAATCCTCTACTATCCTGCTTATATCACTATTGGCAAAAATAGTTCTAGAAGGAGTCTTGAACGTTTTGTTTGGGAACAAATTTTTGATAAGCATTTTAATAAGTGGCTTCTAATTTTAAACTAAAGTTTTCACGTAATAAAACGTAATCTTATTCTTAAACGAAGTATCAACTCTTACAAAGCCTATAGAATCTCACACTAAGTTTGATCGATTTTTTTTTGAGCGTCTATAAATGCAGTTTTCATTATATAAATGTTTATGGTCTTATGTCCTATCTTTAAGCCCTATAAAGTGAAAAAAATATAAGTCTAAGCTAAAATAAAGTAATCCGATAAATGAAGTGAAAATTAAATAATTTGATATACCTATAGGTAGTGATGTGAGTTAGTATTATACAAGGTATTATATACATGGTATAAAATTATTTTATAGACAGTATATAACCTTTGTTAAATTCCTTATAATTTAAGGTACTGCAAGGTTCTATATTATATAATACTGGTATAATACAGTATTATATAAAAAATAAATGAAATACCGTATTTTAACATCATTACCTATAGATATACAAAAAAAGTAATTTATTATAATTAACTTTATTTTTTTCAGTGAGTTCCACTTAATGTAATCACTTTGGTGCAGGTCATTTTGATTCTATTATCCAATGGTAACTATAAAACAATTACAACTTTCTTTTTTCATTATTCAATCTTTTAATACTGTTATTTATTTATTTATTCATTTTTTGTTACTTAATAATTCTATATTTAGGTTTACATTAATGCTTGCAATAAAATTTAAATTTAAATAAATACATTTAAAATATTAGCGTTGGTTGAAAAATGTTCAGAGCTAATGCAGCTTCTCTCAAAGAACATATATCCAACTTATTAAAACAAACGAGTAAATCTTTTTTCTTTTATCATTTCGTTTGGTTGACATTTCAAAAAAACAAGTCTGGTTATGAGCTACAACTAAACAAACTAAATGACACAAGTACATGACGTACATGATATAAAAAATTAAATGACGTAGCCTACAATGATATATTGTCATCTTGATAAGTTGAAAAATAAAATGGGTTTTATAAATTAATCAGTTTGAAATATAAAACGGATAAGATTGTTCATAAAAGTGATTCAATTATCTGGTACTTAGTGATTCTAATAAAAGAACAATTTAACATTAGATTATAAACCAGTGATTACATTAACGGAACTCACTGTATAGTAAAAAAAAAATAAGATATTTAGTTAAGAAATATTAAAATAAATCTTACCTCCTTTTTTGCAAAAATCTACAGTATCAATCACTTTTCAAAATCAGACATTTCATCATACAACACATGGTCTTAGAAGATAAGGTCGAGCATCTATGCTTCATCAGGCATCCCGCTTAGTGAGACGAATTAATTTCCAAATTATACCACTGTAAAATTGAACGCTGCCCTAGAATCGTTTTATGAGGTTGTGGCTTTAAATAAATTTCAAACCAACTTTAAATCACGGTATTAGACATAGACATAATATATATTATGTCTATGGTATTAGAAGATCTTCGAAGACCGTGATAGTAGATATTTAAAAAAATCTACAAAATGTTTTCTACACCACGTGTATATGAAACAAACGAAATACTAATTCAAAAAATGATACAGTTTAACCACATAATATATGAAATATATTTTTAGTTTCATATAATCTGTAGTTTGACCTGAAATTGAACGTTTCTTTTTTATGTTATTTCTAGTAACACTGTTATTATGAATTTTTTCCGTAATTTGAATGTTTGAATCATTCTACATTCTACTACCGTATTGTGTATAAATCGTTTATAATCATCTGTATGGTAAAAATCTAACGGCCTTTATGAATTTTGATAATACAAATAATTTTAAGATTTCAAAACATTTCATGTTATGAAAGTAATTATTATTTTAATGTTTTTATCGTAAGTTTTCTTGAGCTTCTGTCAAATTATTTTTTATTTATATAGTTGTATCCATTCTACATTTTCAAGAAAATTTAGGTTGTAAAATAATACATTTTAAAAATGAAATCGTCTCGTTCTTCGTCCTCCAGAAATACTAGGAGAAATGCTAGAAGATTTATGTCTGAATCGTCTGAGGATAGTGAAAATGATTACTCTTCAAATAGTATTCAGATGGATAGTGCTCGAGCAGAAAAATTATTTTCTCATCGAAGACTTCCAAACTCTATGTCTAATAATAAAAAAAATCAACCTAATCACATTGAAGCTAATAGAACTTTATTTAGAGTTTCTGATTCTGACACTTCTGATTCGATATCACAGAGGTAAATATTTTCAGCAGCCTTATTTAATTTAAATTCAAAAATATTATTCGTGCATTATAAATATAAAATTTTAAACAATACTATTAGAGTAAAAGTAAAAAAAATAGTACATTTTTTTTAAGAATCTACCATTTAACATTTCAAATCCCATATTATGTTGTTTAGAAAAAACAGCTTTAAATTTATCATTGAAATATTGTAAACTTTTTACTATAGGTAATAATAATCTAATCTACTTATTGATTTTTGTCAGTTACTTTTTAACACACCCAAATATAGCAATAATTCTACTGAAGTATGACCTTATGTCATCTAATTATAAATTACCAATTAACCAAAAGTATTTTAATCTGAATACGTATCCAAAATTCTCAAATAATTTAAAATTCCAATCAATCCTTTGTTAAATATATTAATATAGCTTTACACTAATTCTTAGTTCCTTCCATTCTTATTCCATTTTAAATTATACCATAGACTTCTATTGTTATTGCTATTTATTGGTCTAGGTAAAATATTGATGCAATAATTTACTCTAACTTTATTGTTAATCAATATTATTAAAACTGAACTATTCTTATCAATAATTACTTGAATATAAAATTTAGTATATTTAAATTATTTTTAATTTTTTTGTAACGGCTGAACTATAATTGTTTTGTACAAACAATTTTTAAGTAAAATATATTTTATTTTATTCATTACATTGTTAGTCCTATGTATTATTTACATATTTTTTGTTTTAGCAACAGTGCAATAGACAAAAAATTATGTAAAAATCAACAAAAAACTAAAAAACATTTTGATGAAACTAAGAATAGTAATTATGATGTAAGTTTTTATTATTTTGATTTAATTTTAATAATTTCAGTACTTATTGCAATTTATTTTTTTTAATTTAGATTTTAAATGGCTTTAGTGTATCAAAAAATAACTCTGCTTTAGTAGACTCTGACTTGAGCGTTAAAGATTATTCACAAGAAAAATATGTAGATAGATTAATTCAATCTGCTTCGGAAAATAGCACAGATAATGATTCCATTCTTAAACTGCCTAAAATGCTTAGAAATCAACGGAGAATAATAGATTCAAGTGAAGAGAGTGATGTGGCTACAGATATTAAAAAAAATCAAACAAATCACATTGAAGATCATAGATCTTTATTTAGTGTTTCTGGTTCTGACACTTCTTATTTATCATCACAAAGGTGATTTTTTTTAGCAGCTTAATTAGATTTAAATTGGTAACTATTATTAGTGTGTTAAATAAATATGGACACTATTATTAGGTTATCTGTATACAGAGATACTAAAAAGAAACTTAACACTTAAGTGATTTAAATCATTATAAAATTACTAGTCGATTACTGACGTAGCTCCACTCACAAAGATACTCGTTAATGATCAAAATCACAAACAGCATAAATTAAGTAGTTGTGTTATATACTTTAAACAAATTAGTTATGCAATCATGCCTTGTATGGATTTCAGTGATGAAGAAATTATGGTATTGTACCATTATCTTTAAAGTAGTATAAGGAAAAAAATCGTGGGAGAAAATCTCGTGAAAAATTTAATGACTGTTATCATATATTTTTAATGAATAAAATGAATGTCAATAACAATAAATTAGAAACTAAAATAACTAGGATATTGGGAAGTAGCTATCAACTAGTGAGTAATGTGTTACAGACAAGTTTTAAACAGGTAGCATCGTGTGTGGAACTCCATTAAATTAAATTGCTAACAATGCCAAACAAAATTTTTAGTAACTAGAATTACTAATCGGTTATATTTTGTTATCTCTGTGAGTAGTAGGCTTAAAAGGCTTAGTAGGGGTTAAAAGTAATTTAATTCTTTGTTAATGGCCGAGCTATAATTGTTTTAAAAAAATAATTCTCAAATAAAAATTTTTATTAGTGTAATATAATTTAATGGTAATTTTTGTTTTAGTTATAGTTTAAAAAACAAAAAAATATCTAAGAATAAAAAAAAAGCTGTAAAAGAGTTTGATGAAACTTCTGATAGTAAAATAACTAATGGTGTGAATACTTCAGATAAATCGATTAATGAATTTATGCATAAACCAAGTAATCATGATTTTGTCAAGTATAGAAATATATCATTACGAAGTGATGATGAAGAATCAAAAAGTAGCAATTATAATGTAAGTTTATATTTAATTCTAATTTTTTCCGTACTTATTACAATTTATTTTTATAACTTAGATTTTTAATGACTCTTGTGAATCAAAACAAAATTCAGCTTCAGTAGACTCTGATTTAAGTGTTGGAAATGATTTACAAGAAAAATATGTAGATCAATCAATTCACTCAGCTTCAGAAAATAGCACAGATAATGATTCCATTCTTAAATTGCCTAAAATGCTTAAAAACCGACCACATCAAGTTCTAGAATCAAGTGATGAAAGTGATGTAGTAACTGGGCAAAATACTGTTATAAATGTTAGTTTTTTATTATTTGCATCAAATAAAAACATAAATCATAATTATTAAATTTATAGGAGACTAAAATAATTCAGGAATCAGAATCTGATGAGGATATAATAAATTCATCAAAGGAACTTTATCCAACACCCATGAAAGCAAATCATGAAAAATCTCAACTTGATATAAAATTAAAAGAACTATCTTTGATTGAATCTAGTGATGATGATAGTGATGCATCTAATCATTATAAATCAAATATTGCATCTTCAAATCAAAATCTGTCATTTTCTGATGAGATAAAAATGTCAAATACCTCACATTTTTTACATGAGCCTTTATCTCATAGTAGTATTTTAGTAAATCCATCAAATGTCCAAAAGTACAAACAAAGTATGGAACTGATTACTTTAGATACTGAAAGTCCAATTGTTCAAAATCCAAAAGAATTCTCTCTAAAACAAAAGAACCCCATAATTATTGATTTAACTAAAAATAATTCAGATTCAGATTCTTCCATAATATTGTTAGATGATAATTCATCTAAAAATCCAAAAAAACTAACTAATAATGAAGCTAACTCTTTAAGAATGGAGAAAAATAGATTAGAAGATATTATAAGACAATTTATGAAAAATATTGATAATATGAAGGTAAGTAATATCATATTATAATGTGTGATTTTATTTGTGGTAATATACAAATACATATTAATATTTTTATTAATTTATTTTTGCTTTAATTTTAGAATACTATGAAAGTCACAAATTTACATTTATTACCTGATGGAGGTCTTAGATTAAAACAAGCTATTAAAAAAGAAGAGACTGCATTAAAAGATACTAAAATACAATTAAATAATGTACTTACAAAATTAAAAGAATTCTCAGGTATATAATTATTTTTGGTTATAAAATCATATGTAAATTAAATAAAGAGCAAAAGTATACAACATTTTTACTTTAATTTTTGGAAATAATATGTAGTGTTGATAAAAGTACCATCTTAAGTAATCAAGATCAATTTATCATTATTTGAGTTAAATTTTTTTAAAATAATAAGTAAAAAAGATATAATGTCAAAACTAGTCGTTACTGTTGTTTTGATTGGATTTACGTTGAGGTTTTTTTATTTATTTAATACTATTTTATTAAATTTATACATATTATTTATATAAAATATTAAGATAAAATTAACTCATTAGTTTGTCAATATTAAAATTAATTAAATTATTGTATTTTGAAATTTTCACAGATGAATTTTCAAACCATTTAAATGAGCCAAAATTACCACCATTACTTGGTTTAAATCCTCTGAAATCATTTAATTGTAATGATGCACTTATAAAAAAAGCTGCTGCTAATATTGATATTAAGGCAATGGGCGACAAAGGTATTCTTAGTATATAGTTTATTAAAAATAATAAAAACAATTTGATTAATATAAATGGCCTTGTTATTTTTTTTCTAGCTTTAAGTGTTTATCGTACACAACAAACAATGACATTAGATGTATTACAAAGTTTACATAATTCATTAAAAACATGTCCAACTACTGATATGTTGGCTGATGATCCACTTGGACTGAAAGTAGAACTTATGGATCACCAAAAATATGCTCTAAGTTGGTTAATGTGGAGAGAAAGTCAAAAACCACATGGTGGTATTTTAGGTACAACATTAATACATATATTTATATTACTTTTTAAATTATAGCTTCTAAATGTAGCTATTGATGTAATTGAATGTTATTATATAATTTTTGAAACAAATTAGACCATGTTTCCAGTGATTTTTATTTTAATATTAATATTTTTATTTTCCAGCTGATGATATGGGCTTAGGAAAAACATTAACAATGATATCATTAATTTTAAAAGCTGAAGCAGAAAAGAAACAAGAACATTTTGAAACAGACGACTCTGACCGTGGTGGTATATAATAGTTATTTATTTCTGATAAAATATTTAAAATATTTTTTTGACAAAATAATTCTTTGTTACCTTGTTTCTCAGTTATTAAAGGAGGAACTCTTATTATATGTCCATCATCATTGATAAATCAGTGGATAAATGAAATAAAATCAAAGTTAAGTCCGAGATTATTAGATTTTGTTCAACATTATGGACCAAATAGAGAGTCTTCTCCAAGAAGATTATCTAGAAAAGATGTTGTTATAACAACTTATCATGTAGTTATGTGGGATCATAAAAGTCATCAGCATACTGTTTGTGAAATTTTAGTTGCTTTAAAAACAATTAATAAATGTGTATCCCATATATTTTTAGAGTCCACTATTTCAAATAAAATGGAAACGCATAATTCTTGATGAAGCTCATACTATTCGAAATCCAAAGAGTCAGACCTCAATTGCAATATGCGCATTGTCTAGTGTTAATTACTGGGCATTATCTGGAACTCCAATTCATAATAAAGAAGCAGATTTCTATGCTTTATTAAAATTTATCAAATGCCATCCTTTTGATGATTGGGCAGTAAGATTTTATACATTTATTTTTGAAAAATTATGAAACTATATAATCAATATTTTATTTAATCCCAGTATATATATGTTATCCTAATTTCCTTTTTTAAATAGTATATTTTAATTTTTTTTTTTTTTATAAGATAACTTACCTAGTTTAATTATTGTTACATTATTTGTTAATCTCTCAGCATTAATATATTTCATTTTATTGTTAATTAATTTGGAATGTCTTTTAGCATAGATTCAATTATTGTAATTATACTATTTAAATGTTATTTTATTTTTACCACATTCATACCTTAGTTTGCATATATATTTTTTCCCTGTAGGTTTGGAAAAGGTGGGTAGGAAATAATGATGATGCTGGGAAAAATCGACTTTCTTTATTGGTAAAGACTTTAATGTTACGACGAACAAAAGTTGAACTTAGTGAAGCTACAACATTTAAATTGCCCTCAAAAACAGTCCATACTGTTAAAGTTGAATTATTTAAAGAAGAAAAAGAAGCCTATGAAAAAGTTTTACTTTTTTCTAGGTTTGTTTAAAATAGAGTGATTATGAAATATTTATATTTATTCTTTTAAATATTTTTTCTAGTAAACTCTTCGCCACCTACTTGTATGAAAAAGCTGAGAAACAAAATGCTATTGGAAATGCGTATCCAGTTTATAACAAAACTAAATATTTACATCGTAAGTAAATTTGAAGAAAAAAAATCATCTGAAGTATTATAGTTAATATATTAAAATTTACTGTTTAATATAGAAAAAAATATAGATGACAATATATTTAAAGACTTACCAGAATTAGATAAATTATTTAGTCAACTGAAGAATAATAATAACATTCAAGCACATCATATCTTGGTTTTAATATTGCGACTTAGGCAACTTTGTTGTCATCCATTTCTTATGAAAAATGTATGTACTTAATAAGTTACAAAAATAGAAATGTAATATGTAATATACTTTGTTATAGATGTTAGAAAGTGAAAATCTTAAGGTTGATGGAATTCAAGATACTGGAGACTTAGAATTAATAGACAATATGAGTCGAATGTCTATAGGTATACCAAGTGTTGAAACTAAGCCACTTTCTAATAGTAATCCGATATTTGACGACTCATGGATCAGTTCTAAGGTATAAAAATAAATATATAATATTTATCCAGAACAGATATTTTACCATAAAATATACTTGTTTATTAAATAAATAATTAACCTAAATTTAATTAAATTTAATTAAATAATTAATCTAAGAAGTTATTTGTAAAAACAATAGATTTTAAATTTATAAAAAATATTTATTTTATCCCACAAAGATTTACTGATTTCAATATTTCTTATGTTATTAAAAATGAAACATTTTATTTATTGCTTTAAATTTATATGTTTTTTAAATAAATTAAATGTTTTAGTAAAATAGTTTAAAAAAACACTATTTTTTTTTTTTTTTATAATTTCCTGATAATTCCATTATTTTTCTAAAACATTTTACTTTTCAACTTCTGTATTGTATGAATTTGATGATTTTTGATTTACAAAAAATAGTTTGGCTAAGCAGAGATTTATGGATAAATATAAATTTAATATATTAAGAGCTTGTTTGATATACAAAAAATCTAAATAATACTAATATATATTGAAAGAGATGTACATCCTTCTGGAACAATAATACTGATTTTTTTTTTTTACTAGTCGAGGCCATCAATTGCCTTCATATAATTTCCTGCCAGTAACGAGCGATAATCTCCACTGCCTGGTTGTTAGCTTCCAGAAGGTCTTGAGTGTTGCATGTTGGGAGGTTTGGACAGACCAGGAGATATTGCATGGTCTGGGTGTAGCCACACTCACATTTGTCATCCTCTGTCAATTTCCACCTGAACATATTTAATTTACATCTACCTACTCCTGTTCTCAATCTACTAATGGTTTTCCATGTTGGATATAACAGATTTTCACCCTTTGATATTTGTTCTTGCAGTTTGAAATCGGAGACAGGGACTTTTTGCTTCTATAGGTCTATTCTATGAGCTTCAGGTATTGTTACAATTTCCTATGTAGATTCCATGAAACTTTTCCTCGACATTGGTCTTCTATATTGTGGTATATACTGGTGTAAAGTATGTCTTGTATCATTGATTTGTTTTCTTCTTTCAATCTCTACAGCTATTTGTCGACGGACGTCAAACGGGGCTATTCCTACTTTGGGGTAAAATTTATGAAGTGGTGTGGGCTTCATTGTTCCGGTGACAATCCTCACGGTTTCGTTCAAAACAATATCAACATGCTTTGCATGGAGCAATTTTTTCCATACTGGTGCAGCATATTCTCCAGCAGAGAAACAAAGAGCGAGTGCTGAAGTTTTAAGTAAATTCGGATTGGCGCCCTACTTTGTACCTGTTAGCTTGCGTATGATGTTATTGCACGAAATGATTTTGCACTTTGTTCCCTTACAGTGCTCCTTATATGAGAGAGTACAGTCTAATTTGATGCAGAGGTATTTTGGTGTGAAGCAATGTTCCAATATTTGACCTTGCCAGTTGATGTTTAATTTGCTCGTTGATTCCCGATTTTTTAGGTGGAAAGCACATACCTGGGTCTTCTGAGGTTTTGGGCGAATGTGGTTCGCTTCGTAGTACGTTGTTAAGGCTTCAAGTGATGTAGCTTCATAGCTATTCGACTTATTGAAAACTGTTGGCTAGTTTTTTCTGTAGATTTTGTACAGGATTGGCACCAGCTGCCTCCATGCTGCCCTGGGCCAAGCCATTCTTTTGATTTCTCCACCTGCTGTTTCTGTTTTGAAAGGACACGTAAAATCGTCTATTTTTCAAGATGTACGTTATTACTAGTGTAAGAGTGTAATCTTTAGTTTGCTCATAGATTTTGTAGAGTAGACGATTATGGTTTATCGTGTCATATGCTGCACTTTGCATCTATAAGTACGGCACCTGTTACTTGGTTCCTTTCATATCCATTTTCGATATATATTATGTCAGATTTAAAATTTGGCTACAGCAAGATTTTCCAAGGTGGAAACTGGTTTGGTTGGGAGTAAGGATACTGTCAATGAAACCAGATATTCTATTTAGCATTAAACGTTTGAAGATCTTAAATAGATGGCAAAGAAGTGAAATAGGCCTAAAGTTTTTGACATTATTTGGCTCTTTTCCTGGTTTTAATAGAGTTACCACGTGAGATTTACGCCACTTTGGTATTTTCATTGATTGCACACAGTTATTCATTAGGTTTAGGGAGTATTATAGAGCTAGGGGGCCAAAGTTTTTAATTTGTTCTGTGCGTAAATCATCAACGCCGACTGCTTTGTTTGGTTTCATATCTTTAATGGCTAGGTTTAATTCTGAAAGGGTAAAAGGCTTCTCCATCATGTTTTTTTCAGATTCCATGTCTAACTATTTTCAGTTTCTTTCTTTTGATGTATGTTTTACTATTTAGTAGCAGTTGGTGAGCGATTTGATTTGATTATTTTATTATACTGATTATAATTATATTCATTGTCACATATATTTTATATGTATTTATAATTGGATTGGAAGCAGTAATTTGGTGTATATTTATCACATACTATATTGTTATTTAAACATGTTCTGTTTCCAATTTATCAATCAATGTGATATGAAAAAAACATAAAAACTAATTTAAAGTCTGTTTAAGATCAATTTTTCTACTAAAATGAATAAAAACAATTTTTATTTAGTCATGTTTATTTTTTATAGAATTTAAGAAATAATTATAATTTTAAAATTCAATTTTAAATAGATGATGTGGCTCGAAGTCCTATATTATTATAAAATAGTCATTGCATAATTAAATGTATCACTATGCTGCATGTTAAAAATATTGTTAATCATATTGGATATGCAATAAAAATAGAAATCACAATTTCTGATTTTTAAATATTTATTAAACAGTAGTGTAAAATTTAAAACAGAAATAGTTATATGTTGTTGTATTCATAACTTTTAAATGAAATAGATATTTTTAAATTAAACATTGGTTAGTTAAATGAAATTATACCTTTTTTTTTATTTAGAAATGTAAAACAGTTTACCGATATCTTGATACTAAATTTTTATTTATAAAAATTGTATTATAATATAATTTTATATTTTAATATAGTATTTTATTTCTTTCAGATAAAAGCTGTTTGTGATATGGTCAAGGAAAAAGTACTCCACACAAATGATAAAGCAATCATTGTATCTCAATGGCCAAGTATGTTACATCTCATAGACAATCAGTTATCTCAATACCAAGTTAAAACTGAATTGTTTAGTGGAGCTGTTCCTGTTCTTCAAAGAAATAAAATAGTTGATGAATTTAACAATCTCAAACATGGTCCAAGAGTAAGTTAAACTACTTACATTATTGTATTTGATGATAAATCACCAAACATATATAAACTAGAGGTCATTCTTTAAATCAGCGGTCGCCAACCTTTTGGACCTCACGGATCACTAAATACATACTCTAAATTCTACGGACCACTTTTAACTTAAAATAGCTTTTTACATAAATACCATTAAATAAATCGATAAGGTATTTTTTTTGGTCATATTTAACTTGTTATTTTCATTGTTTGTTCAATGGATCTATTATCCACATAATACCATGTCTAGGGTCTTATTTTTTTGGGAAATAACGACAAAAAAATTCTGTAAGTACCTAACGTTCAAATTTTTCTGCGGATCACTTAAATTTTCTCGAGGACCACTAGTTGGTGACCACTGCTTTAAACAAAATGCTTTTAATTAAGTCAAATAATGTAATTTAACCTTAAACCTAAAATCATATCTATTCTAAAAAACAAATTTAATTATATATAAAATAAAATCTCTAGTTGCAATTAATAAATTAAATATTTATAAAGAAAAAAATTATGAGGTCTAACTTATTTTATACTATTTTTTTTTATTTTTATTTTTTTTTTTTTTTAAGAAGCGCATTAAAATATTTGCCTCAGCGATTATAAATAAACAATACAATTTAACTTCATAAAACAACTAGAAAAACAATATTAGATAATAAACATAATTAAAGTAAAAAGCCTTCTGAGAGAAAGAAGTTAATGATGGAAGTAATAAGGAATGCATTAGGAAATAGGATAATATATGGAAGGGTAAAGGGAATATTAAAGGAAGAACAGATATTGGAAAGAAGCTGGCGTATAGTGAGAAGGTCTGGACAATTAAAAAGGAGATGGGAAGCATTGCATATAACAGGATCAACGTGCCGAGTACAGAAGGGAGAATCATTAAGAAATAAATGAAATTAGTGGGCTGGGAGGCGGTTGTTGCCGAACTGGAGGCAAGAAAAGGAGATGATGACTTTACGGGAAATAGAGATATTATGAAACCAGAAATTTTAGGACGTGAGGACAAACTAGGCGATAAGAAACAGCGAAGGTTGGTGATAGGTTTGACCATTTCTGATTCCACAATCTCAAAGTGTGCGCTATACTATTATTAAAAACACTTTTATTTAATCCATAGGGTATTCTCTCATTTAATCATAATTTGTTACATTTATCTTATGTAAAAAAAGTTTAAAAGCAAGATTATTTTAATAAATTTCATAAACTTAAAAATGTTAAAAGTAAGTGTAAGTTGTTAAGAAAATTATCTTGCATTGGAATATTACAGTAATTAATGAACATATTAAAGTAAATGCAATCTAGTTAATAATATTGTAATTCATTTTTATTTAGATTTTATTACTGTCATTAACCGCTGGCGGTGTTGGTCTTAATTTAGTAGCAGCCAATCATATGTTTCTAGTAGATATTCACTGGAATCCTCAACTGGAAGCTCAGGCCTGCGATCGCATTTATAGAGTTGGACAAACAAAACCTGTTAATGTGTATAAATTTATTTGTTCTAATACTATTGAAAGTTCAATTCAATCTATTCAATCCCACAAACTTCAAATTGCCAACAACTTATTTGGTGGTTGCAGTAATGTTGAAGGATCCAAGATTACATTGGATGATCTCAAACATATATTTAATATTAATCCAAAGTTCAAACAATAAATTAGGTAATTTATAATACAGCTTGTATTATGACCTATTATTTTATACTGCTGTACTTAATGTGCTATTTCAGTAATGAATAATGCTATTATGTTACTGTCCTTGAAAATACTATCTAGTTTATAATAATTTATTAATTAGTCAATAAATATATATATATACTTATCCTCTCCTACAAACCTGTATTAGCTATAATTATGAAACCGATTTTTCAATTTTCAATCACAATACTTCAAAATGTTTATAATACTTTTACTAAATAATAGCTATTTTAGTATGTTGTAATTGTTTAGCAATTACAATTTTAAAAGTTAATTTTTTCATTAGGTTAAGGATAGTGGTGTTACACAAAAATTTAGGTCTTCATGCAAAAAGAAAAAAATGGGCCCTTAAAATAAATCCAAGATATAACATAAACTTTATATAAGACAATAAATTTATTTCATTAATTTTTTATTGTTCAATTATAATTTTATATAGGGTTTGTAAGGCTTTTATTTGTATTACTGGTTTAGGGATGAAAATACAAATTTGATAATATGTCTTATACTTTTATATTTATTGTTTTAAAATGTTGTTAAATTAATGTTGTTTAAATTGTTGTTTTAAAATTTAATTTGTTAACTATTGACTTCTATAGTATATATTTACTAATCAGTGTATGTATATTGTACTAATGTAGGTCTGAATAATTAGTAGATGACTTAATACTCGTACAAGAAAAAACTTGAGTCACTTCTTAAATACCTACTTAAATAGTATAAATATGATGTAAACTAATATCTTCTTAATCATTGAACTTTTTTATTTTACAGGTCAGAGGGATGATGTTCAATGAAATTTTGCATAAATAAATTGCATTTTAATTAGTTGTACGCATGTTAATGATTTTTTTAACAATAAAATATTTTTTCCGTAAAACAGGATTTCCTTTTATATTATTTAATTATCCGCAGGAACTCTGAGCCCTATTTCTATTATTTATTTATTTATTTATTTATGTATCATAAACTTCTATAAGACTAATACAGCTTAGAAAACTTAATTATTTTTAACTTTGACGATATATTTTAAAATGAACAGTAAATTTAACTGTTTATTTTTTAAATTATTTTTCTATTTATTATATTTATTAGATATCTACTGTTAATTATATTGATACTATACAATTATATTTCGATGTACCTTCTATTAATTATTTCATATTTGTTTAGTTATCACAAGTGTTTTTTATTTTTGTATATTATATTTGATTATTATTATTACTACTGATCTACTTAGCAGCTCATACTTAAAACTTTAAACATATTTGAATATATTTTATAATACGTTTTGATATTTTGAATTATATATTTTATATTTATTAATTATTTGATATTTTATATGTTTGAACCAAAAAATTGAAAAGCATAAATGTTTAAGTATTTTATATTTATATTAATTCTTTACGCCCGATAATACTATATGCACGTGAAATTTGGGTCACAATAAGAATCGAAGAGCATAACTTAGTGAGATTAGGCAGAAAAGTGTTGCGGCTTATAACCTTTGTTAAGAACTCCTTTTTGTTATAAACTATTGCTTATTAGTTAGTAAGTACATAAATACTGAGTCGCATTTTCATCGACAGCCATCGCCATCGGTCTGCCAATGTAGTTCTAGTAGTCGAGTACAGTCGAGCATAAACAACATACGCGAGTCGTCCGTATTAATATTGATAATTAAAACTTAATACTGTGTCATTATGATAAATTAATATATATAAATAGTTCGTCATTTTTTTGTGTTAAACATTCCTATTTACGAACATATTTGTCTTCCGTTGGAGCTAACCGACGGGACAAAACAATTGGTGGCAGCAGGAGAGTTCAATGAAAGATTTAAAACTCTTTTGGTGTCTTTAAATGCAGCATACTTAGTTTTACTTTTACCAGAGACTTCATTATCTGGATTTTTTCTATGAGGTATCATATTGTGGTTATAAATTTTACCAGCTCTTGTCATACTCATATTAAGATTTACAGTCTTCTTTGGTGGTTTTATTGATATAATTGGTGCAGCAGGAGAGTTCAATGAAAAATTTAAAACTCTTTTGGTGTCTTTATTAACATCAGAGTATTTACTTATAATATTTCTCCATCTCATTGGATAAACATTCTTGGTATAATTCATTTGGTGATCCTCCAATTATTTTTCCTAGTAAACGATATAAGCCATTATTTGTTTTTACTAAATCTTTTTCTTTTCGACTTATTATAACACCAGCATTATGCTTCTCTTCTATTATAGTTAATTGATCCGCTTCCAATAAAGAGCCGGTTAATAATACACAAGGTTTTTTGGATTTGATAATCTTCATCTTGATAAACCACTTAGATAGATATTTTTCAAGGAGTTTACTATTATTTTCATTAGCATTACTCCTGGTTCTCTTATTTTCATCAGGTAATCCAACAGCTTTAAGAAGAGAATCTATGGAATTACTATCATTATTTAAATTTTCATGTTGCTGTGAAGCAGAAGGTGATTTATTTTCAACCACATCTTTTGGATTAGATGGACATTTAAAAACAGTTTCAGGTGGATTCAAATGTTCACGATTTGGGTAATTAATAGTAGACGGGATAAATGGATTCCAACTGATTCAGCACGACTTTGCCATGTAATCAAATACATTAGTTGTTTCATTTATATATTCACCTTGTATACTAAATTGTTATCTGAATAGATTCATTTTGAGATAATCAGTTTAAACAATATCGAATAGATGGATTAAAAAAGTTGAAATTGAATGCAATTCCAACTATTTTTGATGTTCCTAACTCTCCAAAAACAATAATGACCTCAAGAAAATCCTTATATAAAGTAAATTACTTAAAGTATATATTATTATTAATGTTGAAGTAGATAGTGAGTAGATTGATTAATTCAGAGTTGGTCTTATTTTCTGAATAGCTGAACGTGCAGTAGTTCAATAGTTCAGCTAATTAGGCATCAGTAGTCCAATTAATTTAATCACAATTTTTTTATAGAGACCTGTTACTGATGACAATGTTTCCAGTCAGATTGTAGATACTGTTTCTGCCAATGCAAATTCTTTAGAAAATACAAACAATTCAAATTTAGAATCTGTAAGCACATTTCTGCAATAAAATTAGTTCTTTTTACAGAGTTAGGAACAGACAAAGTATAAAAAATTAGTGACCAATTATTTTGAAAAATTGGTTAACCAGAAAGTATTGTACTTTAAACTTTGAAGTAATAATATAATATATAAATAGATACCTAGGTAACATCATATAGTTAATTATTTAATTAATATTTTTTATAATGTAATAATTAAGTATTAAAGTAAATAAAATATAATAAATAATATAAAAAAATAAAAAATCATAAACTTCTATGAACTTGATTTATTTCTGTACTTTGAGCATACATTTATAAAGTAAAACATAAATAATATAACTGTAGAATAAATTTAAATAACAGAGATCTTTTTATAACACTATAACTGACAGCCTTTTTTTAAAAATAAACTGAGTAAAATAAATAAAAACATAACTATTAAAAACCTGAATAAAATAACAAAAAAGCAATTTAAATAATAAATATAATAATAAAAAATATTTAAAATAAGTGACTTTAAGTTAAAAAAGTGACTTGTTCCTAACCCTGTTTTTAAAACAATAGCTCCTGTAAATAATTTTTTTTTATTACCTAGCTTAAAAAACTTATAGAGTAACCTTGTATTATGATTATAATACTTATATCTATATCATGTTTAATTACAGAGTATTAATTGCCATCAGTATGTAAATGAAATTGTTGCATTAAAAAAACAACTTGAAATATTAAAAAAAGAAACTGCTGACAGGGAGATGGCTTTGAAACAATTTTTAACTGAACAGCAAATAAAAATGCTTACTAAGGAAACACTAGTACAGAAATGGGACAATGAAACAATTATGAAAGCATTAAAAATTCGTTTTGCTGTTGGTGTTCATGGTTTTCAATTTTTAAGAGAAATTCATTTTCCTTTACCCTGTTATAGCACCATAACTCGTCGACTACAGGGTCTTACATTGGAATTTGGATTGTTTGAATCAATGTTAGAACCTTTAAGCTATGAAGTTCAACAGTTGGAGAAAGAAGACAGATTCTGTGTTTTTTCGTTTGATGAAATGGAAATTAGCTGTGAAGAATCATATGATAAGAACCGTGGTAAACGTTATGGAAAGACTACTCTTGGTAATGGAAATAAACTTGGAAATAAACTTTTATTAGTGTTACTACGTAGTGTAAAGAAGAATTTGAAACAAGTAATCGGTGCTCATATCACAGATGGGGCCCCTGCTCCTGAATTATTTAAGCAGTTTATTTTTGATTGCATAGAGTTTTGTAAACATGCCAGTTTGAAAATTGTCTAAAAGGTTAATTGTTTCCAAAACAAATGCAGATTTTGTACCTCAATTAAATTTTACTATAAATTTTCAATCACATATCAACCTAGCAGATAAAATTTCAAATGAATCACTTTTTGTAAAAGAAAATAGAATAAGAGATAACTTAATAAAATTAAACGAGAATGCAAAATCAATAAAGGAATTACACAGTAAATTGCAGGACACACATAATGATGATGCAGAAAAACAGCAAAGATTTTTTTATATCACATTTTCATTAATAACAATCATCAGTGTAGGCTTAAGTATACTTTAATGTATATTAGATTTAAGAATATTTGTCATAATGTTGAAAAAAATATGATACAAAAGCTCTACGAAGATATAAATTTAGATAACATTAAGGTAAAATAAACAACAAGCGAAGTACAGGAAAATCATTGCCCAAAATTATGTAATGGACGATGATCTTCCGTTTAACATGGGGGGTGTTAAGAACCCCTTCTTATTATAAAGTACTGCTTAATAGTTAGTAAGTACATAAATGCTGAGTCGCATTTTCATCGACAGCCGTCGCCATCGATCTGCCGGTGTAGCTCCGGCAGTCGAGTACAGTCGAGCATAAACAACATACGCGAGTCGTCCGCATTAATATTAATAATTAAAACTTAATACTGTGTCATTATGATAAATTAATATATATAAATAGTTCGTCGGTTGCTGTGTTTTTTTGTGTTAAACATTCCTATTTACGAACATATTTGTCTTCCGTTGGAGCTAACTGACGGGACATAACACCTTTAATTGTGGTAAAATGTTAGGTACGATACATTTATTTCTAATTGTGTACATCCTGATAAATGTCTAGATTTATGATATCCCTAGTGACTTGTGATAAAGATTAGAGTTTGCCGCCATTTCTTTACCTTTATGATCGTACATATTATTAAATTAATTATCAAATATTTTCTTCGGGAAATTAAATTATACGTATCGCCTACCGAACATTTTGCAGAAATATTCAATTTCATTTGATCGGTAACATTATAAATCATTGAATTTATTGACCACAACACAATGTGTTGATAAAAATTATATTTTAAACCGAATCGCAATATTTAAAGTTATAACGTTTTATATTTACTACTACATTTATATACGTTTATTTTATAAGAAGAATCTACGAAATGGATTACCCAGATCCAGATGAAGAATATGAGATGATGCATGCCGATGAGTTAGAAATGATGAACGAAATGGACTTTGAGAATGATGGTAATTTTATTATAATATTTTTATAATAAAAATGTTCATTGTTCACAGAATTAGGTTTGATCGGTATAATGTGTAACAATTTTTAAAAAGTATTTGGTTTTTTGACATAAATATTGTTTATATTTAATTCTTATAAGTTTAATTTTTCTTCAATTTTTCTTAATATAAGTTTTTGATGAAAACCATTCAAGTATACTTGATCAAATTATATAAACACTGAGGTAATTTACAATTATATATCAAAATAACCTACGTATAATTGTTGCAAGAAATGTGACGACTATTATAAGTAATAAAAGAAGAATAAAAAAGACTTTAAATTACCATTAAATTCATAATTTATAATTATTTTCGTAAGATTACAAAAATATTTATTTTAGTAAGGGTTGCTATATTTCTAAATTTAAAAGACAAGTTAAAATTAGGAATTTTTTGGTTTGGTTATATACCTATGATTATACTGAATAAATACATTTTTTTAAAAAATATACATACATGAAACAAGTTTATTCTTTATCTCATATTTTATATGTGTTTATAATATATAATTAAAATATACATTTAAAGACTGCTATATGTAAAATATTTAAATATGTATTTACCTTTATAACAATATGTGTGCTATTCAATATTGTTTACAGTTCCAAAAATACATACACCAAAAGATTCTAAGAGGAGTTTAAATTTTTATTCGCAAGATAATATAGAATTGGAAGGAAATTTAAATTCATCCAGTGACCTTAATGATGTATTACCTTTGTCTCAGACATCAGTGGTTTCTTTAAATCTGGATGACAATACTAAAAATGAAGTAAGTAATTCAATGACTAGTTGTACCTAAACTATTAAGAGATTGAAAATGAATAAAGTAAGTACAGTGTCATCTAACAGATTAAAAATCATAGTTGAAATACTGATGGGTAGAATATAATTCAATTTTAGGTACAACAAAATTCTGTAGATTCTCTTAACAATAAAAGGCCATTGGATGATAAAGATTTATTTGGAGATGTTGATGATATTGATTTTGAAGATGAAATGTGTAAGTATTATACTAAAACATTGGTATAACCATTATACATTATTATGATAAGTAATATTTTTAACCATTTAATTTTTGAATTAAATAAAAATAAACTCAGGATATTCAGTTGGTTTTATAAATTAAATTCAAATATAATAGTTAGGTAAGGAATAAAAAAAAAAAATTTTAAATATTTTTTAATTAAATGTGATTGATTGTGTTTCATAATACTTTATGGAAAATAAATATTTTTGTTGATTTTTAAGGTTTAATCTTATATACTTGTTACCTGAAGCAATAAAATGTTAAGTCATCTGATTTTATATTTATAATTTTTAATTTTACATAATTATATTATTTAACTACCTTTAAATAGTTGTGCATTTATTGTTTGTTCAATCAATAATTAGTGTAATAAATTATATGTAATTATATGCAGTGCTTGACTTGAGGGGAAATACAAGGATAAGGAGTACCCTGATTAATTTTCAGAAATGTTAGCATCTCCATACTATTATTACGTTATAATTATAATGCTTAACAAGTTTTGGGAACAGTCTTGTTTAATAATTATGCTTAAATTCAGAATTCATTAGGTGCATCTATTTATTTTTATTTCAAAGAGAATTTGATTCTAAATTTAATGTTGATTAAATATGTAGAATAAGTTTTAGGTTTTTAAGGATTCGAGAATATATTTCTGATATAGAAAACCATTTGTCTTTTTTAATCATTAAAGTAGGTGGTAAACTATGTGACCGCTTAATCTTATTAAATATTTTTAAATTTAAATGAGGTTTTGTAATATTTCAATAATTTTATTTTTAGTTAAACCTGTATCAAAGCGTCAAAAATATATTGAGCCATTATCAGACAAAGAAACAAAACAGCTAAATCTAATTAAACAAATTATTGATGAAAGAAAAAAATTTAAAGCTGGAAAGAGATCTAACTTTTTATCATCTGCTATGTACCATAGCACAAAGTAATATTTTAAATAATAACAATTAATTATTTTACGACATCTTAAATCTAAAAGTATAATAATTTTGATTTGTTTATTTTTTCCTAAATTTTTATTATTTAGACAGTAAATTTTATTATATTTTTTGTTTTGTAAATGTTTGCTTGTTGAATATTTGTAAAAACATAATCTAATAATTTTGTTTTAATAAAAATAAAGTTATTTCACATGAAACCTTCTTTTTAGTACTAATCAATCATATGAAAGTGTATCAAGAAGAGTTCCATCATGGTCATTTTTTCCTGCAACTGATGATGAAAATCAAAGAGTATACATACGTTTTAAATCCGAAGATGCGGTACAAAATGAAGTATGTATTTTTACGATTGTACATATTCAATGTATGCATTATACTTTTTCAATGTATTCAGTTAAATATATATATTTTTTACTAAAATTTAGATATCAAGTTTATCTTGGCATACAAAATCTGTACAATTGCTTTCAGAACCTATAGATGAGTTGATTGCTCGTGCTTATGAAAAGGTTTCATTATTTGTTTATCCAATAAGTTTATACTATTTTATTTTAACTATAAATATTATTTTAAAAATATTTTAAAGATTGAAAATAATAAGACTATGCAATCAGAAACAGATACAAATAGTATAAATGTCATAGAAAATGGAATTGACAATACTGTAGAATTATGGGTTCAGAAATATAAGCCTACAAGATACTTAGATTTATTAAGTGATGAAAGTACTAATAGAGTTCTCTTGCACTGGCTTAAACTATGGGATAAAGTAGTATTCAATAAGGAAGTACATAAAAAAAAAAAAATTTCAAATGATGCCTATGTCAAATCAGCTGGTAAGTTTTCTATTATTTATTATTTAGTAATTATTTAATATATATATATATATATATATATATATATATTTTTTTTTGCTGAGCTTGAACAATTTAGGTTATTAATCATTAATATGAAAAACTTATAATTTACCCTTTTTTTGTAACTTTTTAGCTTTCATGTTTAATCATTATGTTTATAATTTATTATATGTATTATTTTGGTATATTTAAATACTGAAATTGTAATTAATACATTTTAGTAAATCAATTTTAGTTTTTTTTATATGGTATATTAATTTATAATTTTTATAACTTTTTAATGATTTGTTATGTTTGTCATATCCACTATTTCTCTAACACTAAAATTTTATTTTCTTACTGAAGTCTGTAAGGTCCTAAATTTACTAAATTATTATTCTATAATCTAGCATTATTAACTAAGTGTTATATAAATATTTATATGCATTAAAAATAAAATAAAAACATTACAATAACTATTAAAAATAATTAATCGTGGAGATATCATTTATTTCAGTATCATAATTTTAAATTAAAAAAAACCTAATTTTTCTTTAGTAAAGTATTTTTGTATTTATTTATAAATTAAAAATATTAATGTTTTATTATTATTATTAAATATTTATTTAAAATTAATTAATTTTAATATAGGAAAATATTTTTCTAAAAAACATCAAATCTTAGATGAAGAATTAGATGAAAATAAGTGTCCTAAATATAAATTAGCTTTGCTATGTGGACCACCTGGTCTTGGGAAAACTACTTTAGCTCATTTAGTAGCACGACAAGCAGGTAAATTAATAATTTAGTTGTATGGAATTTAAACAATTACTGACATTTTTTCTTTGTTTCTTAGGCTATAATGTTGTTGAAATAAATGCTAGTGATGATCGTAGCCTTAACAGTTTTAAAGTACAGCTAGAAGCTACCACACAAATGTCTTCTGTTTTAAGTAATGATAATAGACCTAATTGTTTAGTTTTAGATGAAATTGATGGAGCACCAGTAGTAAGTTTAATTATGAACATTTATTATTACTTATTTATTTTGTATAAAATATCTATAATAACTTATAAGTATATCTAATGATATCTATGACAAAAGCAATATAAGAAAAACTTAAAAATATCTAAATTATGATAAAATTATACAACATAAAGTATGAAATAATTGTATAAAATATACTAGCTAAAAAACCTAGACATATATTTTTATTATTGCTATTATTTTATACCTATAGTTATTTAATATTATAATATATTTATAAAAGAGCAAATAAGAAATGAATTAATGAATATTTAAACTTAATTTTTTTTTTTTTAATGATTGATTAAACTTCTTTATTATAATATAATATTTTATTATTTTTTCTTCTTTCTTTTTCATATTTCTTAAATTATTTAATTGATGTACAATTTCTTAAACTAATTTAAAAATAAATTAAACATTTTTGTATTTCAAATATAGTTCCAAACAAAGAAAATATTAGTATTTTATGTTAGAGATACATTTTAAGATTTTTTTTTATAATTAAGGTCATCAAATTTTAATCAGAAAGCATTATTTAATTAATTATTTTTGTGTCTACTTAATATCCTAGTCAGTTATTTTTAATAAATCACTAATACCATTAATATTAGCAATTTTTGTCCTTTTTTTATTGAAAATATTTATTTTTTTAGTCATCAATTGAATACCTTGTTAAATTTGCTACTGAAAAAAATGTTAATCGTAAAAAAAAAGCTGATAAAAAAGAACAAAAAGGTTTTGTATTAAAAAGACCAATAATTTGTATTTGCAATGATATTTATGTACCAGCTTTGAAAAATTTAAGACAATCTGCTTTAGTATTAAATTTTCCTCAAACTTCATCAATCAGGTATGTTTTATCATTAAAAGTTATAAATCACTAGGCATTATTGTCAAAATATTAATTGTTTCCTACAGATTGGCTGAGAGATTGTTAGAAATATCAAGTTATGAAAATATTAAAACAGATATGGGAGCAATGACAGCACTTAGCACTAAGACAAATAATGATATAAGATCATGTTTGTCAACATTATCTTGCTTTAGAAATCAACAGGTGCGTTTATCCCATATAAAAAATTCAAATATTGGCTCAAAAGATATGCAAAAAGGACTTTTTACTGTGTGGCAAGAAATATTTCAAATAAAGAAAAGGTAATATTATATTTTGTTACTATAATGTAGCATTATATTATATATAAGTTTCTGTGTGAATTTTAGTTTCTTTGAAAATAATTCAACTAGTACGAGTAATGGTTACTCAAGCAATAATAATGTCATGAAAGACAGGTAAATTGTTGTTTTAAAATTAATAATAAATACAATAAGTGTTAGAGATATATTATCATAATCAATCAATTAATATTTTATATTATTTTTAATAATATGAATTAATTTAAATATGATGAGAAAAATGTAATTAAACAATTATTATGGTTAGGTTTAAAAGTAAGTTAAAAGTCGAAAACCGACGTTTAATAAAATCTGATCTAAAGAATCTTTGTCTGTAAATTTAAAACTTCAAATAATTTTAGCCATATATGATTTAAAAAATTGTAATTTCCTCAAAATATTTTATTACATCATTAATTCCATATTCTCTTCACATTTTGACTATAAGTTCCTTAGTGTGGGTTAAGTTTTACATTTCAAAGTGATTGTGTATAGTATTATTCTAATAAATGTATTATGTAAAATCTTAATTGTTCAATATACCTATAGTGGTACTCTTACAGATTAGTACTGATTAATAATTTAAGTTAAGATTTTTTAGTTTTCTAAATTTTTAACATCAATATGATCATAGAGAATTACCAAAAGTTCAGTATATTTTTAATTTTAATAGGTAATTTACTGAAATAAGTTTATTTCTTTAATGTTATTGAAGAAAAAAAAATCAAAACTTTAATCTTAATATATAAATTAAACAATAATTTGCTTAAAATTGTATTTATAAATTTAAATTATACATTTGCAGAGACTTAATTTTTTGAGATATTAGTAAAATTTAATTCTATCGTAAAAATATTTTAATATTTCACGGATTTTTTAATTGTTATGTATGTAACAAAGTTGTATTATTACTGTAAACATAGTTTTAATTTAATTTTTATTGGCTTTTGAAAATTAACTTATTAGAGTATTTGTTGATATAAGTTGTACATATTTTTTAGAATAAACTCTGTTTTACACACTGTTCAAAGTTATGGTGACTATGAAAAGCTAAGTCAAGGAGTTTTTGAAAATTTTTTAGTTCTTAAACACAAAAATTCATCATTAATAAATGTATGTATGTCAATTATTTACTATAATTTACTAAACCTATATTATTAATTTAATATATTTATGTTTAGATTACTGAAGGTTTAGATTGGTTTTGTAATTTTGACAACACTATTAGAGTAATTAACTCATTTCAAAATTATTCTCTTTTTCCATACCTGTCATATAGTTTTGCTGCTTGGCACTGTTTATTTGCTACGTTTAATTGGCCTAAAATTACTTATCCAAGTGCAGAATATGAAGTGAGTTAAAAAATGTAAAATATATTTTAAATTATACATATTTTATCATTGTCCATCATTAATTTATTTCAAAATGAAGTATTATACATTGATTAAAAATAAATACTGTGAATTAAAGTTGTGAACATTTTATTGAAATAAATGTAAAACGTATCACAAAACAGAGTGACCAAATACATCTATTTAAAAATAAATATTAAATTTTATTTAAAGTCAATAAAAAATTAATAATCAAACTTATAATATGATTATAATCTTTACATTACATTTATAAGCAAATTCAATTTTCTTTTTGAATTATTGGTATTTACTTACCATAATCTTTTGAAAACCAATTAATTTTACCTAATTCTAATTTGTATTATTGGTTAATATAACTGTTTAAGATGTATTCAAATATTCCAAATCTCTATTCTCATCTAACAAAAACATGAAAATTAATTAAGAAATTAAAATTTAAATACATCATAATATATATGAATCACATATAATGTGTTACACATTCATAAGACTTAATTTTATCTAAGTATATTATTGTTTTTTGCCATTATATATTAATATAGAACTATTATTAAATATAAAAATGAATAATTAATTTACAAGTTAAAAATATTTATTCACAGTTTTCCATATATTTAAAGTTATTCTGTTTTATGGTTGCTATATTCAATTTGATTTGAAATAATTTTATAGTGAATTAAAAAAAAAAAAATAAATAAATGAGTTTATAATTGAAAAAATGTAGAAAGGTAGATGAAAAATAACAATAAGTTGTTAATTATCAGAAATATGTGGATAATTTCTTAGGTAAATAAATGCATATTTTGGACTAAGAAGTAAATGAAAATATGAAAGTAGGTATTAGAAATATATCTGTATTGATGGAGAATAAGGATAGTGTCCTGTTTAAATTGTATTCATATATATTACTATTTAAAATTATGATTATATATGATGCATATTTGTTAATAATTATAGGCAACAATTAAAAAAAAAAAAACATAAACAAATTATGGATGAAATAATGTCTGGTATTATCCCAAGGATTCGAACATTTCTTCACCGTGATCAAGTTTTATTAGATACTATGCCATTAATTATGCATATTGCTATTCCAAATCTTAGATCTGTAAGTATATATATATATATATATATATATATTAAAACATAACTTTCCTTAGTTAATATAGTTAAAAATCATTTTATTTTTCTTATTATGTAGATAAGTATCCAATTATTTACTCAAAAAGAAAAAGAAGACCTTGAAAAAGTTGTTAATATCATGATTGATTATGGCTTAAACTATTTCCAAGAAAGAGATGCTGATGGATCTTTTAATTTTGTACTTACCCCGTAGGTAGATTATTAATTTTAACATTTTTATAAGTTAAAAAAAACACTAAACGAAAACTTTACGTTTATAGATAATTATAGTTTCCATAACAGTGTTGCTAACTGTTAAATGTCAAACTTGAATCAATTAGCATTATTAAAAATAATAATTTGTAGTAAATTTTCTTATAGTTTAAAGTCAATATTAATTTGAGACATATCAATTATTCTTGAAACCCATAAATTCCATTAGATTTATAGTTTATTATAATTTGAATCATCGATAAAGAGATTTTTTGTTACTATCTTAAGTAGTTCATTAATATACTTAAGTTGAATTATATTTATTTAAATGTATATTTTTAAAATTATAGAAATTCAAAACAAAAAAGCTATTTTTATACTTGGTTTTTTATAATATTTTATTATTTTAGTATATTAAACTTTATATAAACTATATATTTTTTTTATATTCATTAATATGGGTTTTTAAAAATATATTTTTTATCATATTTTATCATAAGAATGTATATTTATTATTATTATAATTTTTTTATTTTTTTTTTTTTTTTGATATTAATAATTTACTTTTACCTTTGATTATTTGATTACTTACATTTTAGTTAGTGCTGACTTTAATAAATTGTATGTTAGTAATATAAAAATGAATAACTATTTAGCTAATTTATGTGAAGTACCCATTATTTTTTAAAATATTTAAGGACCTATGCAAAATAAATTGCTCAATATTTAGAATAATAACTGAATTATTAATGAAATTTAATTATTTTTCTTTAGTCGTATTGATGAAACGGTCAAATTTCCTGGTTTAGAAACATTTCCAATTCCTAGCTATGTTTCAAAACAAATTGTTTCTAGAGAAATTGAATTGGAAAAATTAAGGAAAAGAATGCCTCCTATAGAGTTTATTAATGCCACTGAAAATATTGATAAATTTGATGATAATGAAAAGTCTGTTTCTAGTCCAAAAAGTGTTAAAGGTTAGTGAAAACAAATACAAATACAAAAACATACTAATTTAATAATTTTAATTATTATTGTTATTGGTATATTTGAGGCCATTTAGTCCTATTGCTGCTATGCGATATCATATCTCTATCTAATGTTAGCCTTTCTCTATCTCTGATTCCTAGGACCTTCAGATCTTTTACATGATTGTTCCACCTCTGTTTTAGTTTTATTCAATTTGGCTTCCTCAATGTTTACTATTTTATTTTTTGCTTTCTACACATGTTCTGTCGTGTTAAGTTTTTTTAAAACACCTACTATATTAGTTTCATTAAAAATTCTTTTAATTCTGTGTCCAATATTATTTAATTAACAATTTTAATACAGTAGATTTTTTTAGTTTATTTTATTTTCAAATGGTTAATTTTGGTAACTATGTGCCAATTAAACGATTAATTGAAACTTAATATTATAATGTTAAATACTTGTGAGATTTAAATATGAGGTGGTCAATAATAAAACTTAGGACATAAATAAAAACGTGATAAAAGCAAATTTCTATAAAAGAGTATGACTGGATTAACTCCTCTCATTAATTTTAACTGACTAAAAAAATAAGTGTTAAAAATATATAAAATTATTACTGAATTATTAATACTTTTACAAATTTTTAAACTATTTAAATTAAATACCTTAGTGAATTTGAATATTTATTATATAAGACATAAGAATATTTATAAGTTTTACATGTTTTCATATAAATAAAATAACTTAAAAATGATGGTTAATATTTTATTTTTACTTTACTCTAAAGTTCAGTGCTTGAAAATGAAGTATTACATTTTTCAGGTAACATATTTTATCTAATAGTTATATCATTATTTTAGGTACCCAGAATAAGCAAATAACACCAAATCATTTACAAAAACTTACACCCAAAGCTGTTGGTCCAACCAGAACTATTGTAAGTATTGTTCTATATAAATTTATATATAATATAATTTATATATAAATTTTGAGTTTTTAGTATACATATTTATGGTCTATGGATCAGATTTCTATTATTTTTATAGTCATTAATATAAAAATTAGGAATTTTGCAATTGGGTATATTTTGTTTATTAATTAAATTTTAATTCCCCAGTTTTTTTTTTTTTACCAATTATTGAGCATCTTAGACTAAATTTTTGTCACTTTAGTAACTTGTAGTTTTGCCTTGTTGTCTTAATGTTTAATTGAGTTTACATTAATTTTTTACTGATAAATATATTTTGTATAAAAATTTGTTTGTATTTAAATATTTAAATTATATCTGTATGATATAATTTAAAATGATTAAGTATACATTAATTATGTATTAGATTCTGAATATAACAAGAAATTTATTGATTTTAAAATGATAAATATATGAAAATATGTATATACATTTTAGTTTTCTATATTATCTTTCTTTCAGATTAAACTTATGTTTAAAAAGTTTTTCATTGTTCATTTATCTTTTAAAAATTAACCAGGATTGATTCCATTATAGAGTTATTTTCAGAAAAAATGAAAAACTTCTGAAAGTTAAGCTGAAACCTATGTCAGGTTAAACCATCCTGGTTTGATTTATAAGAAAAACTTTCCAATATTTTACAATTTCTTGAGAGTTGAGTACTTTGAACATTTATAGATCACTAGGTCAGATGTCATAGTAATATAACTATTATACATTTAAATAGTATTGCATTGAAAGTTTAAGTGTAACTTAAGTTTGGTTATGCGAAAATGTAAAAAATTCTAAGTATAAAATAAACAATTTACCCATTATTTATTAAAAGATATACATATCACTGTAGAATCAATAAATTTATCACTTTACATAATCTAGAAAAAGAAATTAAACTGAAAATTAAATTGTTTGAAATTATAAAACTAATTTAATTAAAAATCTGCTGTTTTTTCCTCATTGAATAGTTATATATAAGGTAAATTAATTAATACCTATTATAATAGAAATGTTAGGTAAATGTAGGTACTACAAGTGCCTTACAATGTAATTCTTTAAACATATTATATATATATTATGTTTTATGATTAAAAGTAACACTGAACCGAAAACATCAGTGTGCTAATCATTTTTCAGACTTTTAAAATGTTAAGCGCTATTTAAACGAATATTTGTTAAATGTCCGTAAACAATGGTTTTATAGAAAAACTCTTGGCAATATTTTCTTATGATTACAGTTTAATACTTAGGGAAGAAATCACCCAAGTAGAACATTTCGATTTGCTTCATTACTTTCAGTATTTTATGGACAATATTTTGTACAAACAAGTAACGTTGAGTTCATTTACTATATATATTATACACTGGTCTGTATTGTTATATAATTTTTTTTTGTGAATGTTTAAACATTTTAGTAATTTTAAATTGTAGGCATTAGTTAATATTAAAACGTCTTAATGTTTATTCCTGCTTAGGTTCTTAGCTATATCATACATTTAAAACAAAAGGTATTAGTTTAAAATTTAAATAAGACTGTTAACAGTCAGATTATTTTACCAATTGAATTCATTTGGTGAAATCATATATTTTGAAATATTACATTCAGTTGCAGTTTCGCATATGATTTATTTTTTAGAAATTAATACATTTTATAATTGAATAACTTATGAATGATAAATTAACGTAAATACGTGTAGGTATATATATTTAACACATACTAATTTAATTAAATTTATTAGTTACTAATGGCGTGAGTTTAGTTTGTAAATATGAATAGTTTTACTTTTAATGTTTAGAATTTTATTCAAAAATCACTCTTAAGTGGCCGATAAACGATTTGTCTAGAAGACTATCACACCCCAATATAGTCGTTTAATAGTGTTTTGTAGTATTTTCATGTACTTGGACAAAACACCCTATTCGATTTTGTGGGTGGTGGTTCGATGTTTACGATCTCCGCTAGCGAGGGTCGGTTACAACGATAACAATACCTACTTACTATAAAAGGGTGTAACTGTTTGACTAATAGTGTGTACCCGACAGTTATACCATGTATTGCTTTGTGATTTATTAACATGCATCCACTTCCATCTTGTGCACTTGCTCGTGCCCCTTCTTGTTTCCGATTGTGTGGGATTATATAGTATATTATTATTATAGTTCTCGTAATGATAATGATGGTTATGATGAACCACATGATTGATATTATATTAAATTTTATTGAAATAAGTTTGGCGAACTCCTTTTTTTAATGGTCTTAATACTACGAGTCGTAGTCGTTTGCAATTTACAAACGTTTCGCATCGCTGGAGTCTTTGTGAATACACCCGATTAACATGAGAAAAGAAAAATAACATTACAGTGCTTGCAATTATGTACTCAACTCTTAATGGACGTTTCACTTATAAAACAACCTTATGTTAGTTGCATTTCAAACTAAAATTACTCATTTTTAGTTCTATATAGCAAATGGAATTATATTTTATTGATTTAATTATATCGAAGTTACAGTAAAAATTAGTTAAATGCTGAAAATATAATTTATTTTCCAAAATGAATTGTAATAAAATTCTATGATTTTCTTTTATACAGATATGAGTTAATTTGTATATTTTTCTATTACTATTTACGTTTATAACTCGTAACACTTGTACTGTTATGCATACATTGAAAATATTCATAGTTCAAATTCATGCAGTAGTAGTTTCTATCACTATGATTAATTCTATATTGTATAATTTAAATCCCTCAATATTTATTTTATTTTCCAAATGTTACGAATAATTGATTGAATATTTTGTATTAGACTGACATTATATATATATAGCGTTATTTTAATTTCATCCATGTTTCTCTAGTCATTTTTAGCAAACTATTGGAAATTTATTACGCCACGATATTTTTTATATAGACTTTGATAAATTATTTTTTTTACTTACTTACTTTATTTGACTTTTATACTTTATTTGATTTTTAATATATTAAAACTGTACAAAAGGTCAGCGTATATATGTTTAAAGTAATAAATGATCTCGTGTCGTGGTGAATAATATTATCATTATATATTTTATATAATCTATTATCAATGATAATATTATACGGCTCTTTAAGCTTCTTTAACTGTATACTTTTTATGAAACGGTTAAGTGACGTATCTCAAGCAGCGATAAAACTGAAAAATCATAAAAAAAAATTTGAAATACTATCAGCACTGTGTACATTTACAGTTTTATTACCGCACTAACTTTTTCAGTCTAAGCAATTTGTTTATTCAAAAAAAAAAAAAAAATAGATGATGGATCTATGGTTTGTGGTTACGATTGTGTTTCGGATTCAAATGTTTTATTTTTTAACACTACTATTATTTGATGTAGTTTCACATTAGTATAATGTGAAAAAAGTAAATAAACAATTTATGGTGCATTTTAAACATTGGACTACTTTTAGAAATGGTAAGGGTCGCCTAATCCGTGGTTTTTTGGTAACATGGATATGGGGTAATGTTTACACAAGCCTGCGTACATTTTATTCTAAACCCCTTGCCCACAAAAAATTTAAATCACAGCACTGGGAACTTGGATTTATAAGTTTTACGTCCATCCATGTATTTTTATATTATTAAATATTATTTTTTAATCTTTGTTTCGAGTTGGTTGAATCCAATCGCAGAGCGAAAATCCAGTTCAAATCACCACAGATAAAGCATGTGGCGATTGAGTGCTGCGATAACCGTGACGACCGGGATATCACGTATCGGTGTAGAGTAATGTATGTTAAAAACGTGAAATCGCTCGAAGTACGGGCTCATTATATTTTTGTAACTTTTTCAACCCCACCAAGCGTTTCGTACGATTTTTCTGTAACTATTACCCGGTTAATATTGTGCAATCTGTCAAACGTAAGTTTTTCTTCTCTGATTTTTCGACCGATACGCTTCCGGAAAAAACATCTTTCGTGTTAAACTTTATGCATATCTTTGCTATAAATGCACACCTACGAACGCAATGCCGCGGTCGATCTAAATCATAAAAACTTACGGTCGGGCTAAGCGGGTGGTGGTATCGGCCGCAACAATATGTACTAACACTCACAAGCGTCACATTACAGGATTGCGTTAAGAGCGTGGCTCGTCGAACGTCCGTGACCGAGGCCTCGCTCTCCTATTCGTGTGCCGTGTCATCGCCGCCTGGACGATAAATAATGCACTTTATTACGCGGATAGCTTTTATACAATATTAATTGTCTGGTAACGATGTGTATTACGCACAAAAGACGGGACGCGCGCGAGTCACGCCCTCTTAGTTGCGCCAAAGTCATTAAGTCGCGCGTCTTTCATCGCCGCCGCCGTTGTCCTAGTGTAATCGCGGTGATGCAGAGCTGAAAAGGGCTTTATCTCTCTCTCTCTCTATTTCTCTCTGTTCGTTTCTTTCCGATGGCTGAGGGGTAGGGTTAAAAGGAGAAAAAGAAAGAGCATAAAAAGGAAAAAAAGCGCTGCCACTCAACCCTCGACTTGTAATTAATCTTGCCTTCGTATTGTGTGTGTGTGTGTGTTTTCGTATGTATTCTACAACGACGATGACTACATGTTATTTTATTTATTATTTCTTTATTACCGCGTACTTAGAACGTTCTCTCTCTCTCTCTCATTCTGCTATTTTTTTCTTTCATTGTATAACGAACTACTTTGCGATTACGGTGTTTGCATTATTGCTGAGCGCCGCGCGTACAGCATATACACTGGAGTACCGGAAAGGCCGTGTGATTTATTATTATTATTATTATTTTTTTTGCTTTTTAATGAGATGTGCGTTCCGCCAAAGGTTATCCCGAAAAAATACCGTTCTTATGATATTATAAACGTGAAACGGTACACACACTCGCTTCTGAAGCATATTACGTACTATAATTTCGTCTGCGATGAAAAAAAAAGCCAATCGAGGGCAAGAACGCGCCTTGTAGATGTTCGTAACGTCGAACTTCCGACCGCAAACCCTATACTTCGAGAGCCGGTTTAATGTTTCGATCGCCGCATACAAACCGCGACTTTATTCGACCGGCCCCTTTTTCGGAGGTCTAGCGCGAGGGGTAATACGACGTGCCTGCGGCCGTACGGGGTAAGGAGGGCACATGGAAAACGGAAGCTTTTTGTTCGCCGTCTATTGGTGGGCTGTTGTACCTATATAATTTACGTGTGCAAAACACGCCGGCAAGGAATGATATTTCTCTCCCTCTCTCTTTAAGAAAATATATAGCTTTTGGGTGGTCGGGTGTGCACATCTTTTGTCCTCCGACCGACGTCGTCGCACCGGGTGCGCTGCAGTGGTGTACTTATTTTAGATATAAATATGTATATATGTATACACACATTTGTGTAGAAACAATATACCTATATGTATGAAGCGCGGGTGCTTTGTTACACATTGCGGTGAAAAAGAGTTTACAGTTAAACACGTAGGAAACCGAACTTAAACACGTAGTATTTACATCAGTGGGTACTTATGTCGTTCTTCACCTACCCGCATGGCCAGTAGAGTGTCCAAAGAAGGAGTTTCTTGGGCTATATACCATCGAAATTTTTCTGTATGTGCCCATAAATCGTAATCTTATTTATATTTATTTAAAATGTAAATAAAACAGTGAAAGATAATAAAAAAAAAAATAAGATTTTTTCCATCTTTAATGTATGAAAATAAATTAAAAATTATTCTATTTTGTGTATGGTTTTAATTTTTGATGGAGAGAATTATATTATTTAAACCTCCTTTTTATATAAAATTATATCTACATGTCTGCTTATGGTTCCCGTGTTAGATTTTGTAATTTTGTATTTTACATCCGTTACTCCGACGCATCTAATTTTTTTGTCCCTGTTGCACGGTCGTCGTCGTTAAGCATTTGGTGATCCTTTTAGTTAAAATTTTAACGCGTATATTGTGTAGTTTAATACTAAGTAATATTGTTTCAAACGTATAATAGCAGACCGAAAATAATTTTCGTTACTTATATTGTTTTTTGTTTTTTAAAAATATATCGACAGTAAATTATGTTCTACACTGATGACTATTGTTTGAATGAACCATAGATATTCAGTTATAAGTCGTTAATAAATAATTGTTATTTGTACATTTTAACTAGAATGTTTTCATGGAATCAGTTCATAAGCCATTCGAGTAATGTTCAATAATATTCTCTTCGTTTCTGCATAAGTTGTTTTTAATACTCTTTACTCTGTATAGTACTATGATCATTACTGTTTGAAATTATATTCTTAGTTTAAAGTAGATGATTTAATTGTTATAAGCTAATGATTTAGTTATTCGTGGTAATTATTAATTTATATGAATGTTGTTTAGTTAATTATAATTACACAGTTTTTAATTTACTATTTAAAGTGTTAATTTATTAATCTTAATCTGCGGGATGGTGTATTGTTATCCGTTTAAAATGTTACTTCGATGAGGGTTGCTAATAATATTATTTCTCATTCTGTTAATTATAGTGGTAGGGTAAATTTGCATTATTTTTTATTTAAATAAATATTATTGCTCATACTGTAAATAAATGTAAATAAATTTAGTATTTTATTAATGCAAACTTTTAAGCTTTTTTTTAAGCACTAAATTTCATTAAATTTGAAATCCAAAGCTAAATATATAGAATAAATTGGTTTTATATCAGGTGTGTGAATAAGTCTTTCCCGTTTTTTGTAAGAGATGGTGCCACAAATACTGTGCGAGTATTTAATGGTTACATATGTCATAATCAAAGCTTATTCATCTGTCAACAATTCCACACTAACACATTAGTTGAAATTTTTTCGCATCATAAATTTTTGTAATCGTGAAAATGTCGAAATTTGAGCCGAGTCGACGTCATTTGCGGGAAGTTTCACTTTATTGGTTCAATTTGAAGAAATCTGCTGCCGAGGCGCATCGGTTGCTTCAGGAAGCTTATGGAGAAGGTTATGTCGATGATTCAAGTGTTCGTGGATGGTTTCGACGCTTCAAAAGTGGCGATTTCGACGTGGAAGACAAGGAGCGTTCCGGGCGGCCGCAAATCTTTGAAGATCAAGAATTGGCGACTTTGCTTGATGAAGATTCGTGTCAAACGCAAGAAGAACTTACTGAAGCATTGGGAGTTGACCGAACAACCATTTCCAAGCATTTGAAAGCCATGGGAATGATCCAAAAGCAAGGAAATTGGGTGCCGTACGAACTGAAGCTGAGAGACGTCGAACGGCGTTTTTTCACTTGCGAACAGCTGCTTCAGCGACATAAAAGAAAGGGTTTTCTGCATCGTATCGTGACTGGCGATGAAAAGTGGATCCGTTACGATAATCCGAAGCGAAGAAAATCATGGGGACTACCCGGCCATGCATCATCATCGACGGCCAAGCCAAATATTCATGGCGCCAAGCTCATGCTCTGTATATGGTGGGACCAGCTAGGTGTGGTTTACTATGAGCTTCTGAAACCGAATGAAAGGATCACAGGCGAGGTCTATCGACGACAATTGATGCGTTTGAGCCGCGCACTGCGAGAAAAACGGCCACAATACTCCGACAGGCACGACAAAGTTATTTTGCAACATGACAATGCTCGCCCACATGTTGCACAGCCGGTGAAAACATACTTAGAAACGCTCAAATGGGAAGTCCTACCCCATCCGCCGTATAGTCCAGACATTGCTCCGCCTGATTACCATCTCTTCAGATCGATGACGCATGGCCTGGCTGACCAGCACTTCCATTCCTACGAGGAAGCCAAAAAATGGGTGGATGACTGGATAGAGGCCAAACCGGTCGAATTTTTTCGCAACGGGATTCGTATGTTGCCAGAAAGATGGGGAAAAGTTGTAGCTAGCGATGGCCAATACTTTCAATAATTCATTTGTAACCATTTTTTCACAATAAAGGCTCAAAATTTGAAAAAAAACGGGAAAGACTTATTCACACACCTGATAATAACTGCATTAAAAGTATTCCATGTACCATCTTAATTGATCGAAAATTATACCTTATAGATTCTTTCAATATCCTTGGTTTTTTCCCCCAAAATTTAAATTGTTTGAAAAATTTAAATAAAACTCATTGATTGTACGTTTATCTTCAGTTGTATCTTATCTATATGAAAATATGTAACTTGGTTTCAGTAATACACTTATTAAATCTTGTAGGGTACATATATCTTATCGAACAGCTTTTCTCATATTTTTATTGTATAGCTTGTATTCAAAGTTTTTAACTATTCTTTCTTATTTATGATGTTGATATAAGATAAATTTGAAATTAAAAATTTTTATTTTTGCTATTTCGAATTAAAATGAATATTCTATATGAGAATAATATTAATTGCTTAAATTTTTTTATAAACAATTGTTCATGTTAAACTCGTTAACAAGCTAAACAATTAAACAATATATTTATAAGCATTTGTTATTACGGATTATTCGTCTCAATTTATTTAAATTAATACACTTAAATGTTAAAAAATATCGGTTATTCTTGTGCAAAGTATAATTGTATTCATTCACTATAAACGGTATTGAAAAACTCCATCGCATTTGGTTTATCGTGACTAATGATGATCCGAGTCCGTACAATATCCGAAATGTTACCGCAGTATTCGTTGACCGGTGACGATGTGTAGCGTCGGCTGCGTATTGGTGTGAGAAACACCAACCCATTTGTATAGTGATCATAAAACATTGCCGGACATTACTGACCGTCACTTCCGGTGGGAGAAGTAGTGTTTGGCGGTTGGGGCGTCGTCGTCGTCGGGACTATCTTCATCTTTTTCTTCCCCTCGTCTTCCCCGAGCTTATTCTCGTAAGCGCGAGTGTACGACGGCTCTGCCCCGACCACCTATCATTCATTCTCACTCATTCCACCCCTCCGTCTTGCTATCTCCTTCTCAAGACGCTCGCTCGCCACTTTCCTCCTCGTATTATCGGTCATAAATCCAACGCTAAGGCGCCAAGTTTCTTACTTTACCCGTACAGCGTTTCCTGACCCAACATTATACTGACCTTTGGTCTTTTTGATATAAAGTAGTTCTATACGTTTTAGCTATCACGTCCGGTCCACAGCGGTTTTCGATCCATTAAACCGTTTTAGCGTCCCGCACACGCGCGCGCGTGTTACATTATAGACTCGGGGACGGGAAAACGCCGACTTTAAGGGTTGTTGGTGGGACCTTGTATATACATATATATATATATACAAATGGATAAATATATACACGCGCGCCGGCCATATACGGTTTGTATACGAGTCGTTTAACCCGAACCAACACAGTAATACATTTTATAATCAATTAAACTCCACTCGTATATAAAAACGACATAGTATATATATATATATATATTTATATACTCGTACTCATATATATATAAGTATACACACTCACATAGTTTATATATATATATAAATATAGTGTGTTCATTTTCAAGCTTTAGTGCCGCTGTGGTTGGGCGGTTTCTTTTCCGTTTTCGGTCGTTTAAATAAGGGTACTGCCACCACCGCCGACGTCGTCCATGTTTGTTATTGCGTTTGTGCTTGCATGTTCCCACCGCGTAAACCTTAATGTAACTTAAAACATTTATTTATTTATTTACTCTATTATTTTTATTTTTTCAGAAAAAGAAAGACTTTTTTGGTCGTGAAATCGATTTGCCCGTTGCGCCCAAACACAAAGGTAAGCTGGTCAAATTAACGACCACTATACATATATGACAAAAGCGTATTAGGTATACACAATTATCGAAAATAAAATACTCTATATAAATAATCAGTATTGTATCCATTGCAGTATAACCAAGTTACTATTTGTTGAACGTATAAGTAATATATATTGACGATATCTCTTACTATATATGCTTTATATATATAATCCTTATTGCCGCATGCATGCATGCATTTTATTGTATCACTTTTAAACTTACAGACTTGTATTAATAATTCATGACGCAAGCGAGTTTTATCAATTGTAGAAAAATATCAAATTGTTTAGCTTACTCATTTTAGATTCTGAGTGAGCGAGGAAATGTATTGATTCTACCATGATGTGTTTTCATTTTTATTTATTTTTTTATGTCTACGCGATTTCAACCAAAAGGAACTGAGGTTTGATCATTGAAAAAAATTCGTCTATTTGGTGAATTTGAAATGTAACTTTTTTTAAAAATTTACCAGTTTTCAAAATAATAGAGAAAAACAGACGGATAAATAAAAAATGACATATTTTACGGATTATAATTTACAACAAAATTGACTAGTTTTTTTTTTTATTCCTTAAAGTTGCTTTTAATAAATTAATTATGAAGTAATTAGGTAGATAATATAATAATAAATATACCTAATATTATACTATTATCATATTGTAAACTGCTTTAGACAAAAAGCTTGATAACGTTAGTATTTGCTCAGAATCGTTTTTCAATGATACATTAATCTCAAATATTGAAAAAAATAATTCACCTTTAGCCCTATCTTATTTCTACATGAGCCCCTGCTTTATCTGGCCCGTTTTAATACTTATCAAAAGATAAAATTTCATTTTTATCATTTTTGTCATCTTGTACTTAATAATAGTTGACCATTTATAATAATTATAGTAGATACAGACAAAGGTATTAAAAATACCTTTCATTCTTTATTCTAGTTGAAATTCTATGAACGAAAATAATAATAATAAATACAATAAATTCAAATGTTCATACAATTCAAACCATACATATTTGAATTGATAATCATTTAATACAACTGTATTGAAAAGTTTTTGTGACAAAGGACAATATTAATTTATTTGTGTACGTTTCACAAACAATAATTAATCGACTTTTGCGAAGCACTGTAATATTTAGATGATAGGTAATGTTTTAGGTAAACTTTAGTATTATAGTAGAGTGAATTAATAATACGGTTGTGATTTCAACGTTTTCCGTTTTCGATGTGACAAAAGAATCATCATCATCCATCATTATATATGACGAACCAAAAAAGGTGTTATTCGTAAATATGTTCTGAAAAGTCGTATTAATAATAGAATAAAAATATGCGAATTGTGGAGACACTATGGAGTTGAATCTTTCCGTTTTTGAACCTTAGTCGTGTTATTTTTTGTCTCCTGAAAACGCGTGTTAAATGTATAAATATACGAGGATATGTACTAGATATTTCAAATTCTTCGTTAATCGCTGAGTTTGGGTTTTCTATGTGAATATTTTTTCATCGTATTGTCGTGGTGTACTCCGCCTCGTGTGTAGGTGGTGAGCCAATTACGCATTCGCAAACAAGAGCACTGCGTCCCGACTGTTTGTGCACACAGTTTTCGAGAGATTATTATTATATGCTATAGACGTAATGAGATTCGTGTCCGATATGCTCTGTGTTGACACATGGATGAGACGTGGAGCACCGGCTGTTGCTGCTACAGCGGCGGGTCGAGGTTGTTTTATTAATGCGGTTTTCATCCTGGTTTTCATCATAACAGGTTTGCGGTGTGCTCACTGTTTGCTCGATTAAAACCCTCAGCCCTCGAGGTGAATCCCGACAATATGTCAAAAGCTACCGACGGATTTTTATGTACCGTAAATATAATATGTATCTACCTCGTCGTTTAAAATTAATAGGTTAACGGTGAAAAGAACTCGTCGTTTTTATTAAAAATGATGGAGGGAAGAATGTCTATCGACCTGGTTTTTAAATGATTCCATTTTCTTTAAAAAAAAAAAAAAAACACTAAGATGTCGATGCGATAAAGAATTTCTGCACCTAATTTTAAAACATTTTATTAATTATATATTACACGTCATTATGTTTGTTTTGTTGCAGAATTTCGAGACGAAATCGTTAAAAGTGATGTTTGGTTTCATTTCAAAGAAGGCTATAGCAACGCGGTGAGAAAATTAGTGTTAATGAAAGATCTTTATTGATTGTTTTGTTTATTTTACTAACAATATATTTTTTTATTCATCTATATTAATCAATTTACTTTTAAATACTTTATTATTTTATTTTTATTTTATGTGTGTTTGAAATATAGACTAATCATATGAAAATAGCACTGAGTCTACTAAATTATTAATCCTCCGAATCTCGTCTCACTTTATTTTCGCATAACTTAACGTTGAGTACCTATTTTTATTTTATTTTTCGAATCATACTGAACAATTATCGCGTTCTATATCCCTTTTTTCTTTTAACTGTTTGCTAAGTTCCAATCGGATTGCTTGTTCAGTATGAAACTTGCCAACCATTTAAATCGTAGCACGTTAAACATAATATATTGTATACTTGTATCTGATTTGTTTCCCATCTCAAGGTACGGCGCGTGGCGCGCTACAGAAAAGTACAATACACGCGCCCAAAGATGTCTACGTTATTATATTATATTATTATTATATTAGAATAATAATATAAGCGTCTGTGCACCGGCCAAAGAAAATGTGGTGCGGCTCGTGACAAACGTTCGGGAAATACGCCGTGGTATCGTTTTTTCCTTATCGCATTGTGCTTTATTTCCGTTTAGTTTCATGATTGTTACTTGAGTGAAATCAAAATTGGTCTTGGTCTTGCGGTCTCGCAAAATTCTTGCTGCTAGACCAAGACCAAGACGGTCCTGGTCTAGCAAGACCAAGACCAAGATCAGGCTTGCAAAAACAAGACCAAACCAATACCGAAGCTGCAAGACCAAGACCATCACTACAAGACTCTTGTAGTCGTGCAAATTTTTTTTTTCCCCCGAAAACCCATTAGTTATCTAGATTTCATTAACTAATAATTTATAATGAAAATAATAATAAATTATTTGTATTCTTAATAAATTTGATCAATATTCGAGGAAATGACAAAATAACATAGTTTTTTTATACTTAGCAATTACTGAAAAATTATATTTTTTCCCAAAATCGATGAAAATGTCGAAAGTTGTCTTGCTCATAGAATAATTTATGACTTATGTCCATAATACACCTCTACTTTGAATCGAATATACTAATAATTGCTGGAAGTCTTTACGGACTATGGTAGATATCATTTTGATTGGAAGTACGTTTTTACTTTCGTTCGTAGCTTGTGTGATTTTTCCATACTATACATAGTGTACTTAAATTAGTGTCTTGTACAGCATATAATTTCATTACTGTCGTAAACTTGTATTCTATAATATTGATATTTATTATAAATGTAATAGGAACTTACAAAGTTAATTATGCTGGTAAATTGATTCATTAGGAAAGAGTTCCTATTTCTGAGAAACTTGTACGAAAATGTTCGTTTCTCAAATTATAAAAAAAAAAATATTTTTTAATAATAATATTATTTAGTGTTGGTGATTTGGTATCACTTTGTCAGTCATTAATGAATTACCTCGAACCTAGGACGTATCGTGGGTATATTAAATCTTTCATCTTAATTAATTCAAGATTATTATACAAGGTATAATAAGATAATTTAAACCATGGTTGTATGACTGTAATGATGTTACCAGGGGGTGGACACCTTTGGGCGATGGGCCGAAAACAGAGAATGTTACCTTCATTGTTGAATCTGGGTTCAATTAACTACTTATTAGAAAGGGTATGCATTAAACATAAAAATTATCTGACTATTTCTGGTTAAAAAGTTTTACACAAAAAAAAACACCTCTGATAATCGCTCAAATCGTGTTAAAAAAAAATTGTAAAGGAATGGGAACACGTTCCTTTTTAAAAGGAACTTTCCTAACATTGGTATATGATTATAAATTACAATTTAATCATACTCAGTCGTTCTGTTACAAATTAAATGTTTACAAATACTTGTAAATGTTCTAATTCATTAAAGAAGTTAATTAATTTAATTGTATATTTTATATTCGATTATTAGATAATAAAAAAACAACCTCTTGCGAACAACATAAAATACGTCAAAAAAATGTCGACGTTATACTATATTTTATATGTATTATGTTAAAGGGATTGCGTGTATTACGATTTGCTGTCTTTGTTACCTTACCGTGGAACGTAAAGTGGCAATTTGAAGGTATCATTTGATAAAATATACCGATCGATCAAGCATGATGTGAAAAAGATTTTGAAAACATATATAAATAATTCATCACGAGTCTAACTAAAACCGACTTAATATTTTTTTACCCCGGATCTTATAAACAATGAGCTTGTTAACGTTTATACTTAATATACTTCATATTTTTTATTAATTTTGATGTGATTTAGAGTAATAGGTACAATCGAAAACGTGAAAAATTATTATGAATTAAATGTATGGTTTCAAAATAGTCGGTTGAAGATCAATGTTGTTAATTATTAATTTAACATTTGAAGGTTAAACTGTTACTTTTGATTATTATATATGTATACAAGGTTATTAGAAATGTATGTGACAGTGATCTCATCTTATAAATATAAAAAATTTAAGTTAAGGAAGAGTTATATGAAACATTATAATGATTTAATCTTAAATTTTTACTTTTCGTATTTTTCAATTAGTAACAGAAAGTCGCTATCACGTACAATTCTGATCACTCTTTGAATATAACTACAGTGCATAATTTTTCATTCCACCAAATAAGTTGTCAATAAATACTTATTTTATTGATAACAGATCATATTCACTTTTAATGATAGTTGGACGGTATTTCCTTTAAGTGTGTGATCGCTACTTATCGGATTAAAAAATAGTCCGAGCTACTATATACAGCACTATAAGTAGGGAGGATCAAAAGAGTATATCGCCCTACACAAAGAGATGTTATACTACGGAGGTTAACAATTTTGAATTTTTTCACCTTTTATGAAGGGTTGGTACTAATTTAGTGGTTAAGTATATAAAAAAATAACAACCTTTGTTAAACCTATGTTTTATTGTGTTTTATTCTTAAAAGATCTATCGTTAAAAATATATTTATACTTCTAATTGTTTTCCGTACCAATTTGATATTGTAACATATAATATATTTCGTTGCGCCGGTGTGCTAGTTAAAAATTAATTGATTTTTCTCTGATTTTTCTATCATTTTTTTTTAACATTTTCACATTTAAACTTGTAATTTTACTAGACATTTTATATTTAAATTCTGGTTGGTTAATAAACATTAACAAACATGTTACTTTGAATTTATTTTCGATATTTTCATGTTTTTTTTCATTCTTTCTGAATCACAAAAACAAATTACAAACTTTACGCTTATAAATTTAACAATATATTCGTTATTTTGTATAGGTTATGTTACAAATAAAATAAAATTTAAATTTTTATTGAATTTTATATCTTATTTTAATTTTTCAATGGTAATTATTAATTAATTTTATTAAAATTTTCAAAAACAAAAAGTAAAATACAAATATGCAATACGGAAAAGCAATTTGTTAAATTTTAGAAATAACAAATTTAAAAAAATATCATCATAATAAATCATTTTGATTATAGATCACTTTATTTTTAATATGACTAAACTGTTCAATTTTTTTGATGACATGGTCATTTAAATATGTTTTAACTCTCCATAGAGTGGAAAATGATCTTTTCATTGAACAGTTAGAAGCAGGAGTATGTAAAAACATCCGGAGAGCAACATAGACATTGAAAAATATCTTCCATAATTTTTTTTCTTAATACATTTACTAATGTTTACTATATTTTTGGGGGTTTTTAATTGTTTTAAGCAAGCTTTGAAAATGAACATACTCTTCCTTGTTTATTTTTCTTCTTTTTTTTGAAATTATGTTCATAATCAGGAACTAGGTCATCATTGTTAAACATATCATAGCTTTTGCCAACTTTTCATAATCATTAAACATTGATCACTAATTTTCATATTTTTAAGATATTTTCTTTAATAAAAATTATGCTACCGGCAATTTCGAAAAAAAGTTAAAAAAAAACATCAAATTTTTAACTATACCGTGTGTTCACCAATTTAGGGAACACTGAATTTTTCGGTCAAATTAGAATAAATTGGAATAAATCGAATTTTTTTTTCAAGCTAGTGGTATTTTAAACTTTTAACCATCTCGGTATGCGCATGCGCATTGCAACTTATTTTTTTAATAGCAACTGGTATTTTTGATACCAAATTCGGATAGACTGAATTTTTTTAAGTCATTTTTACCAATTAACCATGACTAAAACCAAAATTACTAAATGAGAGCCATTTAAATTTTAATAAATAACACATTTTTACAATTCATTATAAAATGCATAAAATCATTAATAATTATTTATTATTGGTTAATTTTTTAATATTTTTACGTATATTTTTATTATACGTTTTATAAATAAGATTAATAAAATATAGATATACAATTTTTTAATTAAAATTAATTATATGGGTTTATGCATTTTATAATAAATTGTAAAAATGTATTATTTATTAAAATTTAAATAGCTCTCAGTAAATTTTGATTTTAGAGCCATGGCTAATTGGTCAATATGACTTAAAAAAATTCAGTCTATCCGAATTTGGTATCAAAAATACCGGTTGCAATTAAAAAAAAAGAAGCTGCATTACGCATGCGCCTACCGAAAGGGATGGATGACAATTTGAAATTTATCTGAAAATGTGTATTTATATACCACTTGCTTGTAAAAAAAAAAATTCAATTTATTCTAACATAATCCGGCCGAGAAATTCAGTGTTCTCTAAATTGGTGAACATACGGTATATAAATAGCACCAAAAAATTATTTAAAAATAATTTTATCTATAGTGAACAGTAATAAAAACATTCAGCAAAAAAATTCAATTTCTTTAATAACCGGTAATGTTGCCGTTTTTTTATAACTTTTAAAAAATGTTCACTATTTTTAAAAAAAAATATTGGGAAATTGATGAAATGACTTCCCACAACATTTCCTACCAAAAATATTTTATGATCATGATGATAGGAGCAATCCTGGTTTAAAGCGAGTATATAGACATAATAAAAAAATACACAAACTTCGTAGTAAAACCAATAATTTCCTCGTTTCATTCTGA